TTGCTTAAATTACATGTGTACAGGTTTGTCTTGATAACTATTTAAAAATCCGGTTGAGAACATCCAAATTATCTAGATTATTATCACAAATCTAATGTCCTAGTATTCAATATTATTAAAATTAACCTATCACCTTCAATATAATATTGCCGTTACATATATTATAAAGTCGTATTTTTATGAATAGTTGGGAATATGCCTATATACTTGCTGTCCCCAAGTATCGTTTAGAAAAAGTCACCAGGTCTTTTATGGGAATAGGTATAAAAATTTACAATATTTGGTATATACTAAAGAATATACTGGTAAATAAATCAGTAATCAAAAATAATTACTGAGCAATGCCTATAGTACTCACTAAACGATTACTTGAATAACGAGCGTGCATGGCAATAGTTGATCCTGCACTTGATTTTCATTTAATGGTAGACACCTATATAAATATATATTGTAAATAAACTGGCTTTAAAAAAATAATATAAAATAAAAATGTTCAATATGATCTATATACTGAACTAAACGGTAAAAAAAAATTAAAAATGTAGGTAATGTAAAAAAATTGACGTCTAATATATCCTACATGAATAAATAATTTTTGAATTTGAATTAGAAATGCAAGTCAAGCCATTTATTTTTAGCCATTAAGTAATAAAGATAATAAAGATATGAGATAAAAACAAATAATAAAAACACATATATTTCTGCCTTTATGTATACTCTTATTTTTAAGATATTTTTCGATCAACAGATAGATAACACAGTGAAATTTCAGCATAAAAGCTCGACATCTTAGTTCTCTATAGAATGGCAACGCAGGAGTGGTAACACGAATGTCACATGATAATATGATATCCTTAGTGCTGTTCGTGTTGCCATTCCAATTATTTAAAAATTAATATAAATGTGGGAATGGCTTACACCAAACTACCTATATATTTGTTTGTGAACGTTGCCTTTGTAGTGTCAATTAGAAAACAATTTTATTTTTCCTGTAGATTCTATCTATGCATGTGCCGTTATAAATAATTATCCATCTAAGATGGATATCCTACATCATAACACACCCCATACAAATGAATCGCTTTCGTTCAACAACACATTTGAATTTGCCAGACAATTTTGAAATTTAGTGTCCCAACTTAGTATCTACTTCCTTTCCTTACCTTTCTTGTAGTACCTAAAGAATTAGTACACTTTCACTATAATTAAACTGCAGAAAAGCCGCCTTCCCTAATCAATATAAAACTATTCCAAATATCAAATCGAGAACATCAGTAATTTTAGATATATAACTTTACGGTATATATATATATAGTATTGCATAGCTCGCCATCGACAGGGAATTCATAATAACACTGCGGAACTCTAAACGGCTAAAAATCCTAAGATTTACCCAACACTAGCCAGAGTTACAGGAACCCAGTTTACCACGATCATGATGGCGCTGATCCGCCTATGTAGACCCCTTCTCATTGTATTGCTACAAAAGGGAACACGCGCCTATCCCCGTTGGTCCTTAACGAGGCGACAACCACCCCCATGGCTACCCTAGCCCTAACTGAAGAAGAAAATCTTGACGCGCACCCCTCCTTCACCACCATACTTATCTCCTCCTTATCACATCAACAAAAAAGGAGATTTCGGGTTTCCATTCCACTTCCTTTCATTTTTGTCAAGTTCTACTCTATTTTATAATTATGCACATGAACTTTTATTGAAAAGAAATGATGAAACTCTAAGGCAAAGAAAAACATTAAACTAAAGAGTCAATATACCTAGCAAAATTCAGTCGTCATCGTTATTGCTGTAGCAGTATAGGTACTTATGATATATTTGAATGTTAACAACGTTTTTCGAAGTAGCTACCTGTATTCAAATTATGTATTGTATGTGAATTAATCATTTTTTGAACAAATATCTTATCTCCAGATTTTGTTTATAGGAAATTTAATTAATTTTTGTAAAACTGGAGTCTTCCCTGCTTATACGTTAAATATATATTCATTGATGGTACGGGTAATTTAATTAACAACATAAACGTGTTTTAATTTCAACTATTGTTACCAATCTAAACGATTTTACCTGATTAACAAGTTATTTTAAGTAATCATGGAAGTATATATTGTTGTAAAAAACATAATCTATTATCAATCACCTGTAGACACATTGAACAAGCATCATGGTAAGTGAAAATATATTTAATTACAATTTTAATATAAAGTACATTTAAATAATTTAATATACTCGTATAATTTATCGATTTAAAAAAATTCTATTAATAGTAAATTCAATTGTATCCTATTGTACTATTATTACAATGAACATATAAAAACTTTACTATGTAATTTCGACATAGACAGAACATATTTTTTTTAAATGTGATATTGTAGTCTGAAAATTTTACTTCATAGATAAATTTTTAATGATATTATTATAAGTAATAAAAATGTACAGTGTTAAATAATATAAAAAAAAGAGATAAAAAAAGAGTATATAAATAAATAATAAAAAAACGTAGACATATACGTAGTTAGTAGTCAATAGTTTGTTTTTTAATTATAAACAACGAATTTAGAATCGTACAACTGAAAGTATTGTGTAAACAGCTATGTGTGTATATCTGCACTTGTACCCGTTTGTGGACTTGACTGATAAATCTCTAGTAGTTAATATTTTACAGTTTGAATCACTCTATCTATTAAAAAAAATCGCTTCAAAATCCGTTTCGTAGTTTAAAAGATTTAAGCATACATTAAGACGGACATACAGCGACAGCGACTTTGTTTCATACTACGAGTATGTAATAAGGATAATGATGAAATACTCTAAATATACTGTATAAATGTCAAACATAATATATACTACTATATAGGATAATATTCTGCACTAGCTAACTATTGCCGTGGTAATAACAAAAAACTGTTGAAGTAGAGACAGTTATACTGGAGTTAATAACAAAAAAATGTAGGTATAACATAATATTAATACTTCGTTATTTATCTAATGATTTAGGTTTCGAATGATCAAATTTTATTTATATTTTCAGGTACGAACAGAACTTCTTTTATTCCTTTTAGGGACAAGTATTTGGGCAACAAATGCCGAACCTTTGAAATACGAAGTACCCACGGAAATCATCATAGCCAAGAACAAACATGATGCCGATGAGATAATTAGCCCATTAGGGCAGTCACCTTTTATCTCAAACTTCATTCAAAAAGGAACTAATGTCTTTTTTAAACCACAAGTTCTGCTCTCTCCAAGAATAGTACAACAACCAACACTGGTCGATTGCAACACACCACCATTAGTGCCTGCCTTATCTATGCCTACTGTTCCAGAGCAAATTGTATTGGACGAACCTCTAAGAATTGTAGAGACAACTTTGCCTGGAAGTAATCTGCCTGTGCCGCACGTAGAAGAAATAATAGATATAAAACCAGCATCAATACATCATAAACCACTGGGACCAATTTACGATGCACCTGGTTTTGTTGAAATTGTTCCTGATTCCATCAACATAGTACAAGAAATGAAGCCTGTTCTTGTTCCGGAAATTCCAGTATTGCCACCTCTACCGCCATCTTTGCCGGAAATTCCAGTATTGCCACCTCTACCCCTACCTCTGCCGGAAATTCCAGTATTGCCACCTCTACCGCCATCTTTGCCAGAAATTCCAGTATTGCCACCTCTACCGCTACCTTTGCCGGAAATTCCCATTGTTGTTCCAGATTATAATGTGATAGATAATTGTGTAGATATTCCTGCTTCACCCATATTGCCCATTATTAAACCTGACGTTAATTTTGTGTTGGAACAGGTCATACCCGAATCCTCTTCGGTTTCTGAAATTGATCTTTCCGAATTGAATGTAATGCACGAGCATAACTCTGTGCTTATTCCAGAAGCTCCTATATTGCCTCCACTGTCTCCAATTCCTGAGCTTCCAGCTCCAGTTATTATGGAAGAACCAATTCAAGTTCCATGCATTCTTGAGGTTTCGCAATCATCATTAGAAAATGATGACCTAAGTAAATTGCCAAATATTCCCGTTGCACCTGAACTGCCACCTTTGACTTTACCTGAACTTCCTGTTCCTGTATCAGTACTAAATCCAATTTTACCTGCAACTGTGGTTGTTGAAGCTAGTGAAAGCAATGAAATAACACATACATCTCCTAATTATTTCAACGACGTAAATTTCCCTACAAATATTCCACCAGCACCGGTGTTACCCCCCTATGCACCAATTAATGTACCTGCGATAATTGAAGAAACCCTACATATTTCACAAGGTTCAGAATTGTCAGCTAGCCAGCCAGTAGTAGAAATTCACGAATATATAAAACCTTCAGTAATTCCGGACACCCCTTTATCGTCGATTAATTGTTTACCTGAACTTCCTTTGCCTGCGTTTAAAGACGAGACTTCACTTATCAATCAAGAAAATTTAGAAAATATCAAACCTGTAGAAATACCTGCTGCTCCACTGTTACCACCCCTAGCCCCTCATACAATACCTTATATTGTAAACGAACCCGTAGAAGTAGCGATACCTAGTTTTTTACCCGAACATATGCCTATTTTAGTGCCTGAATTACCTCATATAGCAGTGCCCACTCTATCTAAAGAATCATCGCTGTCATCAACTGTCTTGTCTACTAAAGAAAATATTCTTTCATTTTTATCAGGACTATTTACGCCTCATTTGCCTTCAATTGATGATAAAATTGTAATTCCTTCTGTACCTAAAACTGAACTTATATCATTCCCAACAACATGCATACAAAATATTATTTTGAAAAGGGTTCTACCAAATATTTTAAACGAGCATAATTTGAAAGTAGAAGGTAATGTACCAATTATATCCGCTCCTTCTCCCTATATACCTATACAACCCGTAGGACTCCCGTTATTCTAAATCTATCATTCAAATTCGCTTAAATATAATAATTAAAAATACAATGTTGTTTGATTACATATTATTTATTTATACCGATTGTTGTGATAAGGGAAAGTCAAACGCTGTTCAAGTTAATCTATTAATGAAAGATAATGTCACAGGTTGATCAGGTTTGTTTATTAAATGTGTTTGTATACCAAGTTCATGTCCACTCCACTTTAATTCAAATTCACGCAGAACCTAAAATGAAATATAATAAATCGGTAATATGAAAAATAATTAAGTATACAACTTTTGCGTTAGACATATAAATAAATCCAAATATATACCCTAATCAACGTTATGCAAATATTTTGTTCAGCTAATCTTCTTGCTATACAAGATCTTGGCCCAAACCCAAAAGGCAACGTTAAAAATGGGTGTAAGTTTTCATAATACGGTGATCCTCGCAACCACCGCTCTGGTTTAAATTCCAAAGGGTTTTTTACAAATTGCGGCAAACGAGATGCTAACATATTCTGCGTTACAATGACAGTCTGGAAAGAAAATAAGCCATAATTATCTTTAATAAATTCTAAGAATTCATTTTATATAACTATATTTCATTCAATTTGTTCTACACTGTCAAAAATAAATCTCCCCGATAATATGTCGCATTGTACTTTTGTAAACTCAACATAACATGAAAATAATATACATACCCCTTTTGGAATCAAGTAATCCTTTATTACAATATCTTTCTGCAATAAACGGCCTATACCTATAGAGACAGGATTTAGTCTCATGCTTTCTTTTACAGTACTTTTAACATAGGTCATTTTAGTTAATATTTCTGGCGTTATATCTGAATATTTTTCAGGAAGAAGCGATGAAATTTCGTTATACAACTTTTCTTGGCAATTAGGAGTTCGTGATATGTGGTATAAAGCGAAACTTGTAGCATATGCAGTCTAAAAATAAAATTGATAGTTAATCAACACTGAAAGAAAATAACAAAATATGTCCGCAAATTAAACTAAAATTTACCGTATCTATAGCTGCCATTAAAATATCGACCATCATACCAATTATATCTTTTAGATCTAGATTTGGTTGTAAAAGAAAAGACGCTAGAAGTGATTGGTCGGAATCAATGTCATTTGCATCGAAAAAATTTACCCTTTTTAGCAATATTTCCATCGATACTCTAGAAAATAAAAATAATATATTGTATTAACAATAGATATAATTGAAATAGCAAGCATCTGATAAATTTCCACATAAGTTGCTTTAGTACTTACTTTCCTAAGAAATCTTGGGATTCTACTAGTTTCTTATACAAAGGCGTGTTAAAAAATTTCCATAAGAATCCTTTATCGAGTTTCATAATACCACTATTTGAACCAAAAGCAGCTGCTATAATTTTGCTACTGCGAGAATTAGTATATTCTTCACTTGGTGCAAAACTTTGAAACCTTTCATTGAAAGCTACCGCACCAATAACTAAAAATTATACAAATTATAATGAAAATCGATATTATATTCTAATTGTATGATTGATGATTGATGACCTTGATTTTTGACACAAAAGTTATTTCGTAGAAGTACAAATAAAATTTAACATTATGAGCTGTCGTAAAATAAATAGAAATAGTTAATTATTTATTTTTCTCTGGTCCCTAGTAGTCAAAGACGACTTAACATACCTTAATTCATGTTTGTCATACTCATGTTTTGCTCGCTTATCTCTTAGGTACCTAAATGTAAATAACATACCTACTACTGAAAAATTGCACTATGGTATGTAAGTAAATGACGATTTGGTAAATAATTTCTAATATTTTACAAGTAAGACTCTATTTCATAATATTAGGCACACCTTCTAAATTAAGTCTATTTAAATAGTATAAAAAATCATCATTCGCAGATACTTTTCTCCTTTTTATCCAATTTATAAATTCTTTAACTATACAGTCTGTAGTCTTGATATAGCTTTTAATACTTTCCGGTCCTGTAAAATTTTTTTGAAAGGTACTTCTAAGCCTCCACCATTCTGGTCCATTACTGAAAAGAATTAGATTAAAAGTATTTAAAAGAGATATATTTTTACATATCAGAGTAATATGTTTTGGTTCCAATATCATAATAAAAGCTGAACTCAATAAATAATGTCGAAAACAAATTTAGGTACATATATTATGAATTATATTACGTCGAAAGTAGCCCGCCTGTATTGTAGACTTGCGGTTTGTTTACACGGTAATGAAACATTGCAACATGACTTCTTCTAGCTGGATAACGATCGTCCTGTCTAAATACCGCTTCGATATCATCAGGCTCAAATACATGAAGTACATTAACACCTGGTACTTCTCGCACTAATCCCCCATATCGTGTCCAGTTGAACCATGCGTTTTTATCCAATGCTTCAGCGTCATAATCACCTAGAACCAGTACTATTCTTTATTTCAAATAAAATCAAATTCAATCCAGAATCATAAGTTCATGTAAGACATTTTAGCCATTTATGAACGTATTTTTTTTTTATTAATGTTTTCTCTACCTTCCATTTATTTATGCATGTAAAGTCAACACATTTTTATATGGATTTTTATTGTAATATTTTTATAAAGTATTATTTATTGTTTCACACGAAACAATAAAGACAAATCTACATCATCTAGGAACGAAAGATAAAATCTGTTGCATAGCAACGTACCTGGAAACCCCGATAAGCACATCTACATATACTTTAATGGAAACTTAAAACCGTCGGCCGTGATTAACATGTGATACCTATTTATATGAGGGTGATCCCATCTTTATTAATGGCATAAAATGGGGAGGACGGAGCATCAGGGTCCAAAATCATATAGAATTCCTGCCTGCGAAACCAGTTATTCGAATACCTTTTTTATGTCGCTGGAATGGCAAATAAGCTGACGGGTCTTTTGGCTGAAAGTGGCAACAATCGCTTGTGCTAGCATAGATATAGAATATTAATAGCACAGATATAGAATAGCACTACAAATATTACATAGTGCCTTGTGCGTTATCATTGTGTAATATCTGTACCGTTTAATTTCACCGGCAGATAACGCTTCTTAAACTGTATGCTTACAAAGTCAGTTGTTTTACTTCCAAAAATAAAGCAAATGTAAGAGACATATCCAAGCAAGCGGCTTTGTATAAAGTCTACGAAGGTATAAATAGGCACAACAATTTATTATTCTACGATATCACTGCTCCTTTGCTATAAACGGCTCTGTTCCTTGATGAGAAAATAAATAGCTAAACATTGTTGTTATTTTAAGTAATCGCCCAAAATATATCATTATAACTTGGTTATCAATTCAATTTATTATTAAAAGAAAAGTAACTCTACTTACCAATAAATGGTAAATATTTGTACAAAGTGTACAAAATTGGATAACTTTTAGGACCAGGAATCTGATCGAATCCTTTAAGGCGAATAGGCATCTGACCTTCTTTGTGAAATTTATTAGCAACATTCCGTACACTTAATTTCATGGTAAGATATTTTTTGTTTATTACAGTGCTATTTAATTTTGATTTCACACACTTTAACATAATTCGAACTCAATCTGAACAAAATATAAGTCTACTACGCAGAAATCGTACTATAAGACTGAGCATCGTATTACTTAAAGCGATATCCTCTTTGTATTATTATGCACATAATAAGAACAATCTAAGCAAAAAGAAGTGAAAAAACGCAGGTCAATCCAACCGTTTTACTTTGCATTTTTAGCTTCAGTGAATATGGTATTATATATATATATCCATGTATATATAATACCATATTCACTGAAGCTAAAAATCAAAGTAAATAGGTACCAAATAAATGTGATATGGAAGAAGCAGATGATGATGATGTAGATAAATCTATTTAACAAATATGATATTACTTATCAAAGATCAGACGGAGAAGTCAGAACTACAAGGAAATTGAAACTTAATTTTTCATATATCTTAAGTACCTAGATACTTATAGATTCTATGAAAATGTCTTATTACGACTACAATTTGCTCTAAATATTTCATTTTTTTTCTTGAATACCCTCTAATGGCCTCTAACTTAGGTACGACATTTAAATATTTTTTTTCGGACAACTCTAATGCTATTGGCCGCATCTGACCTGTCAACAGCTTCAACGGACGATAGGGAACGAGTGCAGATAGCATTCCACTGCTAAGGATTCTAAGCCAATTCACCTCAGTATTTTGATCCCCGTTTGAATTGGACGGGGGATCGATCGAAGGGGAAACACCTTATACATATTTATATGAGATTTTTACCTACATGATGAAATTCAAAGTAGATTTTTTTTAAATACGAATTAAATATTTTAAAGTTCGAAAGCCTTGGCAAAATATAGGTAATGTAATAAAGTCAGTAATTCATTCTATGGTAATTGCGTAAGATTTTATAATAAACTGCCAGAATCTGCACTAAATCTGACAGAGAGGCAATTCAAATCCTATATTAAACAATTTTTGTGTAAGAAAGCCTATTACAGGATAGACGAATTCATAGACGACAACATATCAAGTAAATAACTAGTTTATTAGCATACAACGTTATAATTTAATTTTCTCATTGCTTTCTTGATTTAATTGATTGATTTTAGAAATATGAAAGCGTAGCGGTTTGTGTATTGATTGCCGCATGCATTCTTATGTAAAATGTGAATACTATAACTATCAGATAGCAATTGTAAGTAGCTTTGACGTAGTCTAGTGTTTTGAGTAGTCATGCTCACTAAAATGTCCAGACTTGTGGCGGCGTGGTGGGCCGGGTCATTGGGCTCCCTATGATGGCTGGCTCATCCGTCATACTCGTGAACGGGTGCTGCTTGTAGGGACTGGTCTGCTCTAATCACTATGACTGATTTCCTCTTATTAATTGTTTAACCAGTTGGTTATATATTCAATATTATTTCTATTTGAGTATTTAATAGAATTAGTGCTAATTGGTGGTTTGTATTCACACACTTAAACTTAAAAATGTAAAGTAATAATAAATTATTTTAAAAGTTCTTGCTCGTTCTTCTTGTGAAGACAGCTTGACCGAGTGGTAGATTAAAAAATGTAATGACTATTCAAAAGTGCTTCAATGTAAGTTTATTTGAATAAATGATTTTCTATTCTATTCTATTCCATTCTAATAAAATATTACCTATACAGTACCTACCTACCATCTACTCAATACCTACCTTACAAAAACTTTACAATAAATATTTGTGAATCAAAAGTACTAACACATTTAAAAACTACTTCTACTACTACTTCGTCTATTCATGGCATTGTCAATATTGATTTTTATAGGTTTCAACTTGTGTGTATTTTATCAGATATATTTTATTAGAAGATATTAGGTTTATACTCTTTTTGAGTTATAGCATGCCCTCCAACTAAAATCGTTAGGATTCAGTCACTCTTTCACTCACTCGCTCCATAAAACCTAACTCGGGCTTCTAGTGTCCACTGTCCTCGCCCGCCTTTTAGTCCTACATATCTCTATTCAAAGTCTCTGATCTACCCTCACTCAAGCGCAATAGCAATATTTTCAAAAATGGAATTTCTCCCGTATCTTAATATTTACGTTACGCCCTTCTTGGCTTACTCTATTATTACAGTAAATATGAAGTTGTTTTTGTGAAAATTCACCAAGAATTTATCAGGATGATTTCCAGGGGGAACCACGTGGATGTCAATTTGACATGGTACATTGTTAGCAATAAGATCAAACCACATTACTAACAATCCCCTTTCCTCCCTAACACATAGGTTAAAAATTTCACGTGGGTACCAAACCACGAACGTTAGAAATCCGACCTACCAAAGGATGCCCTCAAGGAGGCGTTTTATCGCCACTGCTGTGTCTACTAACGGTAGACCAGCTCTTAGATATTATGACCAAAAACCAATTTGAGGTACAAGGCTACGCAGACAATTTAGTAGTCATGGTCAGAGGGTTCTGTGCAACAACAATATCAGACCGCATCCAAAGAGCACTAAACATCATAGTTAAATGGTGTAAGGAAAATGAATTATCAGTAAATCCTGATAAAACAGTAATTGTTCCGTTTACAAAAAGGAAGAAACTTGACAAACTTGTCATGCCTAAAGTAAATGGAAGAATATTAGAGTGCTCCAAAGAAGTCAAGTACCTGGGCGTAACCTTCGACCAAAAACTGACATGGAACACACACATAGACAACATAACTCAAAAGGCGAAAACATCCCTAGGAATAAGCCGACGGGTAGCGGGGCCCAGATGGGGAATCAACCACAAAATTGCCCTATGGCTTTACACAGCAGTGGTGAGACCGCTTACCACCTATGCCTGCGCAATCTGGTGGCGGAAAACCCTCCAATCCACAGCTGCCACCAAGCTAAACAGCCTACAGAGAATTGCTTGTCTGATTATTACAGGAGCCATGAGCACCACGCCGGGAGCAGCTCTAGACGCATTATTGGACTTGACGCCCTTTCCTTTATTTATACAGGAAAAGGCGAAAGCCAATATGCTCAGAATAAGTTCCCAAAGGAGGATATCTTGGCATTCCCTGGCCATAAAAACTATACAAGACTCGATAATGAGTGATCCTATTCTGGGAATGCCTGAAGACAACATGGCACCAGAGTGTAACTTTGTACAATATTACAAAATCGAAATATCTGGAAGAGACGAATGGCAAAATAACCATACACCGACTCACTCAGAGCATGACCTAGTCTGGTTTACAGACGGGTCCAAAATAGGAGATGATGTAGGATGTGGAATATGCGGTGTAAAACCCAAAATCTGCAACTATATAGGCTTAGGAAAATACGCCTCAATCTTTCAGGCAGAGACTTACGCCTTAATTAGATGTCTGGAAGTAATCCTAAGCCTCAACTACATCAATCAGAACATATACATTTATTCGGACAGTCAAGCTGCTCTACAAGCACTTAACTCGTATGAAATCCGTTCTAAACTTATTAGAAACTGTATCCTGCTACTAAATGAAGTAGGAAGCAGAAATAATATTATACTGAGATGGGTCCCCGGGCATTCAAATATTGAAGGCAATGAGAATGCCGACCATCTGGCAAAGTTAGGGGCAAAAACCGTCCAACTGGGCCCCGAACCCTTCTGTGGTGTGCCTCGTTGCCTAAAACTGGGAGATCTCAAATTAATAACCAAACGAGAAGCACTGAATCACTGGCAAGAAATGCCAGGATTAACACATTCAAAAGACCTGATATGACCCGAGGAGATAAAAACGATCGCTCCTAAGAATATCCTTCAAACGGGCGACTCTGAAAAGGGCGAGCACAATAGAAATACAATCAAATCTACCCCCTCCCAATACCCCTAATGAACCCCCTTTCACCATAGAAGAAGTCCTCCAAACTGCTAAAGAATCCAATCCAAAAAAAGCTCCCGGACCAGATCACCTTACCGCCGACATCATTGTTGCAGTCGTCGAATCCATTCCCGAAGTAATCACAGCCGTCATGAACAGATGCGATAGGACATTTCCCTACGATTTGGAAGGTAGCACGTATCAAACTCATCCCAAAGAATGGTCAACAGAGCAATCCCAATAGCCTTACCTCTAGACCAATAGGTCTCCTCAACATCCTAGGAAAGCTATTGGAGAAACTCGTCATGCAACGCCTCACTCATCACATCTACACCACAAACGTCAACAACTCCCGTCAATATGGTTTCAAACCCCAAGTCTCCACCGCACACGCTTTAGATAATGCCATCAACAAAATTAAAACAGCCTCAACATCCGGCCACCAAGTCCTAGCCGTATCCCTTGATATCAAAGCCGCCTTTGATCACGCTTGGTGGCCTAACATCCTAAATAGACTTAGGCTCATCGGCTGCCCCAGAAACGTCTACGCTGTTCTGGCCAGCTATCTGAGGGACAGAACAGTTTCATTAAATCTGGCAGATGCCTCACAAACCACTGTCGAGAGGTTGCATACAGGGTTCTGTATGTCCGGCAATGTGGAACCTGGTCCTGGACAGGGCTTTTCGACCTGAGCCTTCCGGAAGGATGCCATCTTCAAGCATTCGCTGATGATGTGCTCATTGTTCAACGGCCAGACTTCCAATCGCGGATGAAAAAATTCACAAAAAAACCATCCAAAACTGTCGCCATCACCTTCACCAGAAAGAATAGAAAATCATCCCATTATTCATATCAAACTACTCGGAGTCATCATCGATCGCAAACTCACCTTCATCCAACATGTCAATCACACCATCGACAAATGCACAAAACTATATCATTTTTCATTCGTTCCACATGGGGTGTCAGCCCGGAAACATTAGAACCATCTACCATCAAGTCATTGAACCCATCATCTGTTATGCTTCCGGAATTTGGAGCTCAGCGCTCAAATTCAAACTCTGCAAAACAAACTCACCTGTGTGTTCGCTATCACCATCATCAGAGGGTTCAACGATCAGCATCCCGCGGCTATCGTCCTGGCCGGTTTATCCCATATGTGGCAGGGTTCGGGCGGCTAAGTCGAAACGTGTGCCAATACAAACTCCACCATCCGATCTCCTACATCCTAGGCAAATTTTTTGGAAGTCAAATATTCTCGACCCCACCTCATTCACTTGCTACACCGATGGTAAATCAGTCGTAGAGATAAGAGCAGACCAGTTCTGAGCAAGAAGCTCAAACTGCATGATGTCTGCTCGGTGTTTCAAGCGGAGATGGCCGCCATCGATCAAGCATGTCAACTCATCATCACAAAAAAACTGTCACCCGCAATCATCCTCACGGACAGCAAGTCATCGCTGATGGAACTGTCCAATCATAACAGCACCAATCATCTCTGTAATAACATCTTTAAATCACTCCAACTATCCAAACATCACAACATCAACATTTCATTCATTTGGATCCGATCACACATCGGGATATCTGGCAATGAGGAGGCCGACCTCGCGGCCAAATCAAGCCAACTCCCATTCATCCCCCTCATTCTGCAAATTCCCCCTCAGCTACATAAAACATCACTATATGGTAGTTACAGGACTTATACGACGCGACAGACAATTGCCAGTATACCAAGCAGTGGTGCAGCAATTACATGCGCTGCTTGTGATACAGGCCTCAATCCAAACTTTCATTTCACCCAGCTTCTCACCGGTCATTCATACTCCAAATCATACCTCAAACGGTATCACCTCGGACGACAAATGCCCTTGCAACGATGATGCTCCGCAAAACAAAGCATCTCGTCAAAGTTGTCCCACGAGGCTCGACCATGAGACGGCCTGTAGCATGGTTCGGGTCTCAGAACCATTCCATCTCCCATCCATCATCAGACATCAATCAACCATCGACACTTTCACATCACACATATCATACATCATTCACAACCTCAAACATTTCAATCAAACATAATCATCATCACCAACATTCCCATACCTCTATCATCAACATTCTCATACCATCATCATATCCATACCATCGTCATCCAAACCACCAACGTCTCTATTTTGCTTTTCGTTTTGTTATTTTGTTTAATCTTCTGTTATTTGTTTTGTTTTATCTCTATTGTTGTTTTGTGTTTTGTTCTTTTATTTCTGTTTTATATTGTTTTGATTGTCTTCGTATTTTTTGTTTAGTTTTGTTCTTTTCGTTAATTTTGTTTTATGTTTTCTTATATTAATAATTGTATATATCTCTAAAAATTTATATATCACAATAATTATACTTAAAGTACAAACTATTAAAATCATAATTTCCTAAATCAATATAAACTCTGCTGAAGCGAGCGTAAACCAAAGGCGCAAACGCTAAAGCATTGAGTACACAAAGAAATTCTCAATTTAAAAAAAAAAAATAGATCTATGTAAGGGGGAAAGGGGATTGTTAGTAATGTGGACTTAATAACCCATTACTAGCAATGTACCATGTCAGGTTGACCTCCACGCGGTCCCCCCTGGAAATCATCGTGATAAATTCTTGGTGAATTTGTCACGATGGGCTAACTGACCTGACCTCATGTTCATCTTATCATCCTCCACTGGTGCCCCGCCAGCGTAAACCGTTAGCGCAGGCGGGTGCACCATTCCATTAACATCCTTAAAAAAAAAAATAGATCTATGTAGGTCGCAGTACTGCAGGTGCTACACATCTGACAATAGCCCAAACAACCCAATAAAAAATATATATAGGTATATAACGTCCGGTGAAGCTGTAAAGGCCAGGTGCGGCCAATAGCATTAGAGTAGTCCGAAAAAAAAAAACTAAATAGTCTATAATCTGTTTTTTTTTTTAGTGTTTATTTATTATTTATCCTTATATAAAAGGCAAAGAGTCTAAGCCCATACAGCTGTTGTCTTTAGTATATTTTTTGTACTATAGTCTGTTTTATAGTCCCGAAGTCAAAATTGATAGGTATAAATGTAAAATTTTCAATAAATGATCTCACCTATAGTAGAGTAGTGGTGTACCTGATATACCGATTTGTTTAATCGGAAACTTTAACGCATTAATTTACTGAAAAATAAAAAAATCTATTATTATACAACAACTAAATATTTATTAATACCTATGCTTTATTATTATTGATAATGTATTTTAATTAAACACCCACACATTTATTTATATATGGTAGTATGTCGTAAATGTTTACTCTGTGCTATTCGCCTAGATCTATGTATGTGTGTGTATTATTATTATTATATTTATTATAAGTATGAAGGCGTCCGCAGAATACCAGCGCCGTGCCCCCCTGTCACGATATACGCTGACCGGAGACCTATTTGGTACTATGTATTTAATATAAACCAGTATGTAATTTAAAATTTAAAAATTATTTTTATGTAACAAATAAACTATTTTCTTTCTTTTTTTCTTTTCATTGTTTTGAGTAACATATAAAATAGGTAATTAATATTAATTTCCGATAGTGCCACAACCCTATTTAGAAAATGCAAGAACCTGGCAACATAGGTAATGTCAAATTTGTCTCCGGGATTAAAAAGAACACTGTACTTTAGTAAATATCAAAATTATTAATTCTAGATATTTTTAATGTAAAAATCTGTTTTGTTTTTCTTTTTATAAATGGTTTTCTGGTATATAATTTCAATTTGTAATATTTATTTCCATTTGACTTCCATTCAGTAAAATCTCTTTTAGACAGATTTTATTGCAGCTGGACTCTAAAGGAATGAATTTATATTTTATTAACGGTTTGGGCATATATGATAATAATATAGCTTGAAAATATTACATCTCCAAACATCTTCAATTTTAATTATATACTAACAAATAAATAAATATTGCTAATAATTTCATAAGTAGTAAACTAAGTACAAGAACTTAGAAAAATATTAAAGCAAGATGTGAATTACTTAATATTTATCAAATAATACTTTAAGGTCAATTATTAGACCAATGTGATGTGAAGTAGTGACCAATGTGACAAAGAGGAGAAAATATTACATAATTTACTTCAAAATGAATATATTATCAAATAAATGTAAAAATATTTATAAGAGTAAAGAGAAATTTCTGAAAAATATATATCCTATTAAAAAGTATGCAACACACAAAATACTTGGCATAGAAACATCATGTGATGATACTGGTTGTGCAATAATCAATGATAAAAATGAATTATTATCTGAATCATTACATTCACAAAATCTAATACATTTACGAAATGGTGGCATTATACCAGATGTGGCCCAAGATTTACACAAAAGTAATATTGAACCAATAGTTTTTAATACTCTGCAAAAAGCAAACTTATCAGTGACAGATATATCAGCAATAGCAGTGACACTTAAACCTGGATTACCTCTAAGCCTGGTTGTTGGTATGAAGTATGCAAAACATTTAGCTCACCGTTATAACAAACCAATAATACCTATTCATCATATGGAAGCTCATGCACTGGTAACTAGGTTGCAGTATGATATACCATTCCCATATTTAGTGTTATTAATTTCTGGAGGCCACTGCTTACTAGCAGTGGTTGAAGATGTAAATAAATTTAAGCTCCTTGGAGAGAGCATTGACTGTGCACCTGGAGAGATTTTTGATAAAGTTGCTCGCAGAATGAAATTGAAAAATGTCCCAGAGTATTCAAAGCTCTCAGGAGGGCAAGCAGTTGAACTAGCTGCAGCAAAAGCAACCAATCCACACATGTTTAAACTCCCTTTGCCATTATCTGAGTATAAGGATTGTAATTTCAGTTTTAATGGTTTGAAAACCTCAGTATTACTTCAACATTATAGAAAAGAGGTTCAACACAAAGTTGTAGCTGATGACTTGATACCCGAAGTGAATGATTTATGTGCTGCTATGTTAATGGCTACATCTAGGCATTTAATACATAGAACACAAAGAGCTATGGAATTTTGTCACCAAAAAAACCTGATAACAAAGGATAATAAAATATTAGTTGTATCAGGTGGTGTAGCATGCAATGACTACATATATAATGCTCTATCAATATTATGCAAAGAAACAAATTATAAAATATTTAGACCATCCCACAAATTATGTACAGATAATGGTGTAATGATAGCTTGGAATGGTTTGGAAAAATGGAATCGAAACATAGATGTAGTGTCAAATCTTGATTCATTAGACATAGAAGCAACAAGTCCCTTAGGTCAAAGTCTTATTTCTGATGTTACAAATGCAAAAATCCCAATAAAATTATTAAAAATAAAAGCATAAATAATCCTATTGTAATTATTCTACCTGTTAAGAAGCAAAAGCTTTTTACCCGGATATAATGGTATGTAGTATGACATTAAATGTAGGATGAGAAACAGCAAAAGTGGAGATAAATGTTATACACAAACAAACATTCAGAACATCAACCTTTTTTTTAATGCAACTGGAATGGCAAACAACCTGACGACCACCTGAGTAAATATCACCAATATAATGCACCATTCATGGTCCGCAGTACTGGTAAGATGTCATGCACCCGTAGCTTGCAATTTCACTGCCTTATCTCCCCCTTTAACTGAATGAAACACATCTCACAAAGCAAGCTGCTGGGAATAGACGAAATAGGTAAGACAGCATAGATGAAACTGTTAAGACGGGTCTGTACCCGTCTTAACAGTTTACTATGCATGTGTAGTCTCTCGTGCCTCATCTACCTCTCGCAATACTTCAGTTATTTTGTTATATACTTGTTTATAATATTAGTATCTATACTTCCATCCACATATAAAAAAAGGTCCCTATTTCTTTGATCTGTGATTCCATTTTAATATTATTAATAAAAACTTAGGTATTTTCATAACTAAAGAGCTTAACGTATCTTTGGACGTGAATATACCTCGTTAGTATTTTAAAAAAGGAGCATTGGCTGTCTAAAAGTAGACGAGGTCGCGCATAACATCTAGTACATTACATATGTATAGACTATAGTAAAGACTGATCACTATTTGTATAGGGAACATATAAGAAAAATCTTACTACAGGAATAACTCAAAACACTGAGCATTAGAATTTTGTCTAATTTTATCTATGCGTTTGTACGCACCAGTCTCAGAAACAGCTTAACCAATATAGGTGCGTTTTAAACTAATATATTGTTGTAATGTTACAATAAAATTGAGTGATTGTTATGGATGAATATGAAATGGTGCTGCCGCTTGCGGTAACGATATACGCTGACGGGGCACGCGGCGGTGCATTAAGTCAAGTCAGTTAACAAATTCGCCAGTTTACTTGTAAATTTATAAATTTAGTAATAATAAAGTATTGCGCACTGAAACAGAAGTACAAAAAATATTATAATTATAAACGTATATTATTATTATTCTCACGCACAATTATACAGGTTATATATAAAGTATAAGGTTGCCTTGAAAAAAATACTTTTATCAATAAGGCCTTATATATGTATATGTACAGACGTATTAATTGTTACTTAAATGTGCCTATTTCATGTAAATGTGGGTATAATGCAAATAAAAGCATATTCTATCTATCTAAATAATATGCAAATATCAACAAATATATCGCCTTTATCAGTTAAAGTAATCTCTTACATACAACTTATTTTTATGAAGTTGCGGACTCTGCTCCATAGACATGTATCTACAACTAAACACTTTAGTGAGTTCAGTTTGGAGGATATCAGTTATCTGGCAATACTATGATACGCTATTAGTGCCCCTAGTAACAAACTTTTTACAGATGTTACGATCCACACCTATGGCCCCTCCAATTGATTCCCTAACCCATTCAAACAGGTATCGAAATTACGACGATATCTGGGTCACTCTTTACAGGGGGAAGGGGGTTGTTAGTAATGGGAATTAGTAATACCCATTGCTAGCAATGTTCCATGTTAGGTCGACCTCCACGGGGTTCCTCCTAGAAACCGTCATGATAAAATTTGTCACGATGAGCTAAGTGACCTCACCTCATGTTCATCTTATCGTCCTCCACTGGTGTCTTGCCAGCGTAAACCGTTAGTGCAGCCCGGTGTACCAATTCATTGTCATCCACATATATGTCCCTTTGCACATGCCCCTTTTTTTGTTCTAGTGAAGTTGCAAAGACCAACAAGGACATTTTTATCTTCACACAAGTGTGTAGGAAGATTTTGGCTTACTGAAATTGGTCAAACAAAATATAATGTACAAGGTTATATGGTCGAATTGCTCCAACGTACTAGAATTACGAGATTTTTAGTTTTTCGTACCAGGCAAAAAAGGTTGGCAACACTGGTTAAGCATAGAGACGTAGCCATGGTCATGCATGAATAAAGCATTATTAAAAGTAAAAGGTATAGATTAAGCCGAATAGTATCATATATTTATACGTATATATCATCTATTTCGTTCATCTGTGCCTTTGTGGACCACAGTTAATCTAAAAGTGCAGTGCAAACTGTGCAATGCATTGACTTTGGTTGTTGATAAAATGAATTGACTGAAAATTATAATTTATAATCTATCACAAACTGTAACACTTGCCAAATAATGTGTAACGACGTAATTGGACCTGAATAAACGCTTAATTAGAGCACTGTAACTATTGATAGGCAAATTCAGGAATGAGATCATGGAGTACCTGGAAAGAATTTGTCGCAGTATAAGAGGACAAATCTATAACTTACCGGTTTCTGTGCCGAAAACTGTCGAATATGTTAATAGATCTATGAACAAAGTGAGATTACCGCCTTTCACAAAGGATAATGTCTTATACTATTATTTACCGTTACAAGGTCTAGTTAGTTACACAACTTTATCTGTCAGTGTTATGAACCCTCATTTGATGGTCAGGTAAGTCGAAGTTATTTGTTTGTAAAAGATTTAAATTTAGTTACCATGCAAGGACATGTCTGACAATCTTGTACAAAATTACAGGCTATTCCCAAGGCGTGATGTCACCGATGTGTTATTCTTGACCGCCGGTGGAGGTGCTGGGCTCTGGTTATGGGCCAGACCACACATGTCAGCAGCTGCTCCTGCTAGAAGATTTTCTTGGGCGTTCCTTGGAGGTTGCTTGTGGCCTCTAGGTTCAATTTTTTTGTGGGCAATTTTAAGAAGTTCTGTTGGTCAAAGACCTGTTGTTGGTACAATACTTGGAGTAACCACAGGAGCTATGCTTACAAATATTGCTTTAGATTATTTTCATTATGTAGAACTGATGTTTTGTGGAGAAGTACACCTTCCAGAGGAAACATATACTCCTAACAGTGATGATGAAAAATATGATATTGATATTTAAATAAACAATTTATCAAGCTTCAAATTCTTGTAAATAACATTAAAAAACATACTTAGGTATATCTATTTGTCAACACATATTATTTTGATAGTTTAAGGGAACTGTTTATGTATATTCAGTAATGAATTTCTATGCACATAGTAAATTATGTGATGACCTAAAATGTCTAGTCTTTTCACTGGTTGCTTCAAATAAAGTATTAAAATAAAAACATTAGTTATCACTTAATTACAAATAATTTTAAAGGAACTAACTAAAAATTTTAAGGCAACAAAATAAAAGTAGAACTCGTATCTCCCAACTAGAGGACCATTGATTTGTTTGGAAACAAATAAATAGATAGAAAATGTTAATATGATCAGCATATATTCTACTTGGAAAAATTCACTCTGGTTTTCTATGTGGTATATATCACAAATTCTCCCAAATTCTCCCAAATTCAGCAGTGTATTAATTAAAATAATACTAAATCTATATTTATTTTAGGCTTATACATATAGCCCTGGTGTTCCTATAACAAACCAATGTAAAATTATTAACATTAGTTAAGGAAACTAGCAATAGCACTGTTATTTATACTCATGAAGGTTGCAGTACTTGCAATTTAAGTTTAAATTCACATCCTAATAGCAGTATATAAATACTGATCATCTAATCTACAATGTTTAAAATTTATTTAGTTAGCCATAATTTTTTTTTGTTGAATTTTATTATTTAATGATGTCTAGAATGGCTTAACCTGAAAATAAATTTGGCACACAGACATGCCAAGTAGACATATAGGCATAGCAACATTTCTAGGCCGTCCCATATATAATCTTTGACACCACTTGCACTCACTGGCTTGTTAATAATTGGGGGGCCAATGTTTATAATATAGTTAATCTCTAGAAGTAATATAAAATCTTTCAATTTGCCCTATGATAGGTTTAAATAAAATCTGATGGAAGTTTGTAGACAAAATGGCTATATTTTGATGAAATATTTATTATTCTTTAGCAAAATGTTTATTATTATGAATACAGTGAAATTCTAGTTTAATTATTTTGAGGTGGTTTCGACCATTCCACATTCAAAATCAGGTGATCATAACCATGGCCGTTAAGAGTTTGGATAGCCTTAGCCGCATCTGCACGAAATTTGAAGTGTACATAAGCAAAGCCTTTGCAATGTCCAGTGCTCTGAAAATAATAAGAATAATTAGGAAACAAGCACATATTTTGTCTCATCATAATTATATATTTGATATAAGGGTACCCACATATTACACATTAAATAAAATATATGGATATGGCACATTGGTAGCAATGGGTCACTACTGCCTTGAGTTCCTTTATTAATGACCTCATTGTTTGTTCCTTTAGACTTTTGACCTCAATGTAGAAATAAAATTAGTTTTTAAGTGCAATGATTTGTGATCTACAGCAAATTGATTAAGTAAGACATGACAGTCAGACATCAAGATATTACTTTATATTCTCCATCCTTATTATACTGTCCTATAAACTAAACAGTTTTTACAGGCAGACTTTCTAATAAGTCGCCTCATAGTTCTGTCTGATCAAATTTTAGATGTCATGCAGCTTGTTTTGTGGATAAAGTGAAATTATAGGTTGAGTAAATATACATGACAGCTCAGTGTTTGGAATGGCAATGCAAGTAGTATCATGGGTATCACATGACCTTGAGACATCTGTGGTACTATAAATGTATATAGGCAAGGTTACCAATTACCATCAGGTGTTAGCTTTTTTGCCATTCAAATTACATAAAAATAAAATAATATTAATGTATATATAGTGTGCACCTTTTCCTTTGCGAGATACAGTTTTTGAACTGGACCAAATCCTTTAACAAGATCGTCAAGGTCAGCTTCTACTGCGAAATTACTAAGGTTGGAAATACGAATCGCAGCAACATCATCACGGCGGGCGCCAGGAGGTTCACGGCCTGCACCACGCCCTGCACCGCCTTCACGCAAGAATGGCGTAACATACTTATTGGTAGTCGGTGCTTTCGCCTCTGCAAATAGAAAGACATTTCAAATTTATTCGGTCCAGTAATTTAAAGTCAGCGAAATTAGAAATAAAAAACTGTCTACAGTGACTTCATAAATTTCATTCAGTAGTAGATTTTAATGAAGCTATACTATATTTTACCTGCTGCTTTAGCTGCCTCACTAGCTTTTGCCTGTGCCAGCTGGGAATGCATGAAAGGACAACTTAAAGTCCAATGATCTCCTTGGCATGTACGACACTTGAAAATCACACTGCTTGTCTGGGGCTGTAAACAGATATACATTTTATAGCAGGTGAATAATAATAGTTATTATATGTACTATAGCATAGATTATAAACATTTAAAACCATTGACAATCCAGGTAATTGTTGCACCAACTAGATTCCATTACTACAATGCTGGTATTCAGACTTTGCTTTTGACATTAAGAATTGTACTCATGGTCTCCCTGGAAATCAGTACAGATAAATTGTGGCAAATTTACAACAATGTGTTAATTGGCCTGACCTAATAGAATAACTGACTTGACTTTAGTCATCCTACCTTCCTCCATCAGCTAGGTGTTTTGCCAGCAAAGATCATGAAAACATGTACGTAGCCATTCCTCCAAAATCAATTCTCCAAATTCCTCCAAACTATAGTGGCCACATAGGAGTAATAGTAAACTAGATATATCATTTAAAATTTTTTCATTTTGAAAATTACAGTGATATTCAAAGTAGTATTAATAATACTATTTACTTACCTTCAAACCATCTAATTCTCCATCATCTGGATGTTGAAGGAATAATAGTAAACTAGATATATCATTTAGAATTTTTTCATTTTGAAAATTACAGTGATATACAAAGTAGTATTAATAACTATATTAATACTACTATTTACTTACCTTCAAACCATCTAATTCTCCATCATCTGGACGTTGACTCTCCTCTTTACTAGTAATAAATTGCATGTATACATCTTCAGACACATTAGTCGTAGCAGGATTTGGACCTGGTTTATCATTTGCAGAATCTCCAAATTTACTCCAGGTTTTACGTTTTGCAATGCTCTAAAAATATAAGTCGACTATAATTGTATAATAAAATTTTATCATTATTCTGTTATAACATTTGTATCTATAGTTTAAGGAAAAATGGGATAAAATTGCTATTTGTCATAGGTAACACTTTTTTTCTTTCCATATACTTTTCAAAATCTATCTACTTAAATACACAATGTTGTAATATATTGGGGAATGAAAATGGAAATTCAAAATAAAAGCCAATACCAAGTAATCTAGCTAGCAATATGCTAAATTCTCGTTCCATGTAAATTATCATATAATAAAGAAAACAAACTTTTACCTTTGATACTACTCGTTTTTCAATTTTGTATGTCCGCACAATTTTTACTTTCTTGTTGTCATTGTCATATTTATATTCCGTAACAACCTTCAGACCATTTTCTACTACCTCTGATGGTGGTGGAAGGGCTCCTTGGTCTATCTCTACCTCGTCAGCCCATGAGGACTGGATATCATCAGCAACAGGCATCTGTCAGTGTTTATTAAAATAACTATAATGTGTTTCATTTCATATGAACTTAGCTGACTTCAATTAACCAAAATTAGTAGTTAAAAACTATAGTTATAACAGAATAGAATAGTTCAGATTTTTAAGTGTGCCTTAATACCAAAGGGTTTACGTCCCAATAAAGATACAATTTATAACAGAAATAAAAAACTTATAATGTCCAATTTAATCATTTAAATCAAATTAATGCGGAAGGCAAATGTTTTGAACTGGATAATATAAAAAAATAAATTTAAGCGCATGATGCTATAAGACTGCACTGACAAATGACCTGAACTTTCATGTGGAAATTATAGGTTGGTTTAGACATTAAAAAGAATCGAGACACTGATTTCCATTTATAGTTCAAAACACAATTATTTGCTGCATTCCACTTTTGTACTTACGGTTTAACTATAATATATTCTTTAAGATTAATATCAATTAAAGAACTTCACGAGGAAACTCGCCACATATATGACAGAAATGTAATGTAAAGTTAATTTTGAACACAGATAATAAATACTCCACAGATCAGAAAACTACATCTATTGGGCATACAGCAATACAATATATATATAATAATAGATATTGAATTGTTAATTCGTAGATAGGGCATCAATAAAAGAGGAAAGTAAAATATTATATCACAATTATATTTCTCGATGAAGTCTAAATTTACAGTCTTTATTTTCTATTGTTCTAACGATGACAAGGAATGTACAATTTTCAAATTTATATTTTCTTTATACAAACTAAAGAGTTATTAACAACATCAATGCATTTTTTTTTAAATATGCAGAATTTTTTCTCCTTTTAGCGATGGAAGACGAATACAATTTTATACTATTACTAGAGGTTGCGTGTGTGCGCGGACCAGGAAGCTACGTCAGCCTAATTAATATTAAAATCTCTAAGGACAGAGGTAACAAATCATAAAAAGCTACTATCTAAGTTTAGTCATTTGACATATAAATGAAATTGTAGTGTCTATTTGTAATATTGAAAAAATAGTTTTTTGCTACATGCATATGAATATAAATATGGTACATACACCAAAATAATATTTTTTTTAATTTTTGTCTGTCTGTCTGCCTGTTTGTTTGTCCTAATCTCTGAAATGGACCGATTTCGACGAGACTTTTTTTGCCAGGATGTAATAAGTGTTGACGAACATAGAGGTTCATATACATAATTGTATTTAAGTTATATATTCTGTCATTGCAAAAAGAATTTTTGATAGATTAAAAGTTACGTATTAACATCATGTCGTTCGTATTTTATTAATAATATCTATTAAAATGTAGGTCATTTCACTCGGAATATCTCCCAATTCAACAGGTTATGGGCTAATAACTATAAATAATATAAAATATATTAATATTTACATAAATTATAATAATTAAAATTAAAACCATTAAAAATGGCGAGATCGGGTGATAGTAATGAAGACCACATAACAAGACTAGTAGATAATGAATCGTATAATACCTGGAAGTTCGAGATCAAAATAATACTAAAAGCCAAAGGATTATTTGAAATAATAACAAGCAATAATTGAAAAAAGATGGCGACTGGGAAAGAAAAGATGCTGAAGCTCAGGCTGTTATAATTACATCTATTGATAAAAAAACATGTACAACACTTATTAAATAATGAAACACTTATTAAAAAGATATGTTCGACAATCTTTGTAGTTTATATGATGGTTCAGAAGAAGAAGAACGTAATAATGAGTAACTTAGGCTACTTTTATTTTACAAAAAATAAAGTTAATTCCCACGCGGACGAAGGAAGTCGTGAGTACAGCTAGTAGTCAAATAAAACATAAATCCATGTAGTTCTCAAGTATAACAAAGCAACTTTAAACCATCTGTGAAACTACAATACTCTGTGCTCAGTTTGCTTCTCAATTTAGTTCTCTGTGAGTATGTAGTTTGTGATTTTAGTTTTGTTTTGTCAATACTTAATATTTCGTTTCTATTATTAATTTGTTTTTTGTTGTCTTCCAAAATTATCAAGGGTCCAGGTAAGATGATCAATTAAGTAATTAGTTATTGAAATATATTAAATTTCTAGTAATTTTTGTGTCATACTCAAAACCACTCGTGTTCGAAGTCTTCAGAGAGTATTGACGTTGTATTGGCTTAGCGAATTTTTTTTTTTTGGTATTCGACAAATAATCTTTTAATTTATGAACAAAATTCATCATAATCATACACCTTGTATCTTCTGATACTTACGAGGATAAACTTTAAAAAACAGGATTTGGCCTACTATAACCACGATGGCAAGGTGATTTAACATAAGGTTTCAATTAGTTTTCCTTCTCTTGAACCTGTATATTTGTATTTAATTCTCCTAGTTTAATTCTCAGAAATACTGTAAGTGGCTGTCTTACGATATCTTAAGGATGAAAAGAGGATGTAGTACTCTTATTTCGTTATTACAATCAGTTTTGTTGTAGAATTATAAAATACAGAAGTATATTTAGGTCAACTGCAATTTTTTTTATTTTGACATTCTGGTCTAAAAAAGTTAAGAGATAATTATTTTTCAGATGCTGTAAGACAAATACAAGCATGACACTTATAAAATTTAATTAAAATTAGATATCAAAGCTAAATACATGTCATGGATGATAAATTTATCCCTTAGACAACAAATAGTAATTGTTTTTTTTTATTACACTAATATAACAATAACATTGATATTTTTTTAGATTTCTTAGTAATAAAAAATAATTAACAGCTTTTATTCATAATTTATTTTAAAGTAACTAATATTGAAGATTATTAAATCTCAATAAGTACATAATCTATACCAATAAATAAACTTGAAGTGTTCAGCTTTTCACTAAATGAATACTGTATGAAATACATTAGAAAGTATACTATACAGTACTTACATCAAAAAATGTTTGCATATTTGATATATTTCTTCTTGATTATTATTCTTGGTAATATTAGTAACATCTGGATCGATTTTGACAAATAGCTAATATTATTTAGAGTAGCTTCATTTTGGATATTTGATTTCTACATATTTATAAAAACAGAAGTTTATATCCACAGGATGAAATCCACAAAAAATACACAAAATTTATGTTTATAAATTATCTTTACCAACTTTCAAAACCCAATCAAATAAAATCCAAATATTCTTTTCAATATGATTGTGATTTGTTGTAAGTTTTATAAGTATATCAAATGGCAAAAGTTGCTACTTGCCATCAGGTAGTTCTTGTTTGCTGTTCCAGTTATATAAAAAGCTTTGCCTCTACAAATATGAGCTTGTTTCTCAGATGTTAAGAAACTTCATCTCTCTCTTTTATATATTTAAATTATCTATTTTATGGATATTTTGACTGCACTTGTGATTTCAGAACACTAATGTTTTCATTGTTTTAAAAGAATGTTTAAATTTCATAGGTCTCTACAGAACGCAAGATGTTGCGGTTCCTCAGTAGAAGAGGAAGATCTTCGAGCCAGAACCGTAACAAACAAGGTCAGAAGACTTTAATAAATAAAAACCTTATACAATGCAAGGTCATGTTGCTTGATGATACTGATTTATCTATAAATTTATCAAAAAAAGCTAGTGCTGGAGATCTCTATGAACAAGTCTTTTATTCATTAGATTTGATAGAAAAAGATTATTTTGGCTTGCAGTTCACTGACACAAATAATGTCAAACATTGGCTTGATCCAACAAAAACTATTAAAAAACAAGTAAAAATTGGACCCCCATATACTTTAAGATTAAAAGTAAAATTTTATTCTTCTGAACCCAATAATCTACGTGAAGAATTGACTAGATATCAATTCTTTTTGCAATTGAAAAAAGACATTCTTGAAAGTAAATTGGAGTGTCCTCACTCAACTGCTGTTGAGTTAGCTGCTTTAGCTTTACAGTCAGAGCTGGGCGATTTTGATGAAAGTATCCATACACCAGCAACTGTGTCTGAGTTCAGATTTGTACCAAACCAAACCGAGGAAATGGAGATTGAAATTTTGGAGGAGTATAAGAAATATAAAGGCCTTACTCCAGCACAAGCTGAAGTAAATTATCTAAATAAAGCTAAGTGGCTTGAAATGTATGGTGTTGACATGCATATTGTTTTGGGCAAAGACGGATGTGAATATCATTTGGGATTGACGCCAACTGGTATATTAGTGTTTGAAGGCCCTCAAAAAATAGGTCTCTTTTTCTGGCCGAAAATAAGCAAATTAGATTTTAAAAAGAAGAAATTGACCCTGGTGGTTGTTGAAGATGATGATCAAGGTCGGGAACAAGAGCACACTTTTGTTTTCCGTTTACATAATGAAAAAGCTTGCAAACACTTATGGAAATGTGCTGTTGAACATCACACTTTCTTCCGCTTGCGAGCACCAGTTAAAGGACCATCAGCTAGACAAAACTTCTTTAGAATGGGATCACGATTTCAATATTCTGGAAAAACTGAATATCAAACTACTCAGCAAAATCGTGCTAGACGTACTGTGCAATTTGAAAGACGACCAAGTCAACGTTTTGCTCGACGGCAAAGCCATGTATTAAGAGAACGTGAAAAGCAAAATAATTCAAAAACTGAGACAAATTCTCCACCTGAGGCACCGAGTGAAATTCCTAGCACGTCAGCTGAAGTACCTGATATTAACGCTGACACCTTATCGAGAAAGAGTAGTGCAAAATCACAAAGATCATCTGTAGTGGAAAGTGAAGTAAAAGTACTCGAGGTTGGTGAACCATCAACAAAAAATGTTATCAATGATGAACCTTCTGAAGAAGTATTAGTGTCTAAAGATGATGCCATAAGCAATAAAGTATTATTTAAAGTTGAAAAGGCTGCAGTAGAAGAAAAGAGAAATAATCTAACTCAATTAGTTCTTAATAAAACACCATGTAGTTGTTCACCTGTTACGGAATCGAATCCACTCAATGATCTTCTTATGAGTTTAGTTAAAGAAAAATTAAATAGTGATGATTCTAAAAATGAAGTGAAACGAGATCAGTTGGATTCTGTTAGTGACATGGAAGTACCTAACAATCAAGCAAAATGCTACTTGTCGTCAACTAAAGCTCTTCCTCCTGGTCAATTAAAATGTAATAATATACTGAAGGCTCGAGAAAACGAAGTAAAGATAATCAATGAATCTACAAATATTAATGTTCCTGTTCCATCTACGCCATCACCAAAAATTTTGAACGAACCGTTAGCTTCAAACCCTATAAATTCTCAGTATGTATCGATTGTTGTAGTTGAACCGCCACTTACTCAAACAAAACTAGCATCTCCAAAACCTGTGGAGAGAAAGGAAGATACAACACCGAAATCGCAACCTATATCGTCTTTATCGCCGTGGCTTGTAACTTCCGAACCAAGCTCTCCATCTGGTATTGGAGAAAAAGAAATTACAATCATTCATCGCAAATCTGTTATTACAACGCAACTTTAGCTTTGTTTTAGTAAAATAATTGTACTTAAACGAGTATATGAATACTAATATTATTATATTGTTCTGATAAACATCTTGTATTTTGGACAAGGTTTACAGTTAATTGCAAATTTTATCTTAAATTTCCATAAGCTCGATAAAAATACTCAAATGTACTTTTTGTCCAATAAATTTATATTGGATTAGTACTATTAACTGTACTTGCTGTATTCATGATTTCGATAAATATATATAAGATGGGTTTAATATTTACGAATAAGGATATATTATGATGGGAGGTATTAGCATAAATTGCAATACCAGCCATTGTTCATGGCTGGTATTGCAATTTATAAGAACATTTTTTATGATAGGTCCATATATAATACCTTTTTTTCACCGTTATCTGTTGGTAACATACTACGCTCTGAAGTCTATATAGGACTTATAATTTCGCTTTGAAGTTTCGTAAGAAACCTAAAGTGAGATGAATCAAATGCGATTGGAAAGTTTTCATTATAATGTTAGATATTTCATAGGGATAACCTGTAATTAATATATTATTCAATTATTTTTTATAATTAATTTTTCTATTTTACAACAAGAACTTTAGTATTAGATAATTACGAATAGTATTTCTATGTGAGTGGACCAACTCAAAACTACTATTACAAAACATCTTCTGTAATAAATTTGGACATTAAATATTATACTACTTTGACATTGATATAAAATTAATCTTTTTTAGTTTTGATAAATGTACATCTCTTTTAAAATACACTGTCATTGATATGACGCATGAATTTATGTAACTTGATCGTAATGTCCAGATAACTTATTACACATGGCAATTCACAGTAGAACTGTTAGGTTTCTAGACTAATACAAACGGTGATTATGCAAATAATGGCTATATTGTGCATCTGACTACCTTGTCAGATTTTTTATCTCAGCGGCTGATGTGTTGTACAACATAGTTAGGGACATGTAGTACAACTTAGGCGCGGCACCGTACAACAACAATGTCATAATCTTCACAAAATATTCTGTTATATTTTATTAAATATGTTGAATTCTAATAAAGTAATTGGTCGACTCGTATATTTATAAGAATGTAACTAATTACTTAAATGTAGGTACCAATTTGAACATAGTTCATTATTACAAATTTATACATGTGATAAATGATTATAATAACCGTCCATTTCACAGGCTTAGATACTTAATATATTATGTAGTAACATTCCTAAATAAGATATAAGTAGGTATTGTTATGTTCATTGGTGTTTTGTTTCAAATGAACCGATATATCGCTCTGATAGCATTAAGTACAATGGAATTGTCAGTATTATGAATTCGATTATACGTTGGTGCCATAGTGGTAGTATGACTAAATCTTTTTATTCCATAAAATCACATGATACACTCAAGTATTGTTAAGCATTTTTATATTTTTATTACACATAATTAATCTTTAAATAATATGATATATGTACATTAATCATAATAAATAATTATCAAATAATTTGTGCCAACTTATTGATTGTAATAATCTATTGTAACAAATTTTAGTCTTTGGGTACAATTTTATTTTGTGACATTATACATTTATATTAAATATTTATAAAGCATTATAGCGATATAGAATCTCAGGATAAAGGTTCCCAAGTATTACTGTTCCTACAAATATAGGTTCAGTCTTTATAGGGTATGGAACAATGAGTATATATATGAACACCCCTAATCCTGCATCGTACGGATTTTGATGTTTGTGGTTAATCGCCGCATATAAAACGTAATTAGAAACTGGTGATCTGCAACATATGTATTATATAGTGTCTGAAGCAGGGCCGTACTTAGCCATCGCGGAGCCAAGTTCTTTCAAAAAGTTTATGGTTTGGTTTCAGTTCTTATGTTTGCTTTGAAAATTACAATTTATTTGCTTCAGTTAGACTTTCTTAAAACTAAAAATACTTAAGGATTAAAACCTTTTTTTTTTATTAATTTTTAGTTGTTTTATGTCCAGACAGAAGTGTGCGAAGGGCCCGTAGCGATTGCTACTCTTGCTACCAGACTAATACGCCACTGACACGAAGATTTTTAAACCGTGACCACTCGCACGGTGTGCTGTCATCACATCAGAGCTTAATTTATTTTTATTTACATTAATGAAATAAAATAATATATTTGCATTATATGACACTCATATTAAACATATCTTTAATATTGAGTGTATATATAGGGTGGCCACAGAAGGACAAGCGAGTGATCACGGATTAATAAAGTTGCTGTGACATATTATTGAATCACAGAATATGCAATTAGAACCTTTGTCCTGTTAGATATTGACAATTTGTAATAGTATGTGTGTCTTGTACGTATGTACAGAAGTACGTTATTCCGGATAATTATGTAATACCTACATATTATTGAGGAAATAAAAAGACATATTAATGCTAGAAAATGCTTAATATGGTTTGGGTATGACATACATTTTAATGATATTATAAGCCTATATTACATCAATATATACGTACAGTCAGTTTCATATTAATAGAACAAAATTCCACTGTTACTCAGGTACTCGATTAAATTAATCGTATTGTTGTACTCGCATTGTTGCCATAATAATTTCGTCATTGAACCTTTTCAATATTGTCGATGAGTAAGTACTTTAGTTTGTTAGTTTAGAACCCAAAACTTAGCTATAACTTTATGAAACTGACTGCTTATAAATAATCAAAAACAAGTTTTTTTTTAATTCTAAAGAGGTGTCCATAGATAAAATGTAATAATTATTATAATAATATTATAAATAACAAAATCATTCATTTCCAGGAAAGCATTTAGCTAATACCTGCATTACCTACAATTGTTAATAATCCCCAAAAATGAGTTACTATTTAGTTTTGTTACATCGTAAGCACTGTAAAGTGTTGTTGCCCTTTAAAGGGATTTTAGTCATTTTTAAGGATTAAAATATATGTTAATGATTAACGTCCTTATTCATAGTTTATATTATTGAAATATAACGTAGAACTAATCTAAACTATATTCATATTTTGTTATAAACATTTATAATAATCGAATTAAATACTAAAATATGTATATTGTAAGAAAATTACATTCCTTATACATTTACTTTAATATTTCACGTGTGCGCATTATTTGTATTGCGTATATTTGGTGTCATTTATCTACCCAATATATAAATGAATTATTGTCAGTGATAAGCTAGTGTGTCCTATTTTAGGCACATACATAGAATACATATTATTTGCTCCAGGTATGGTGCTAATTATGTAATAAAAATAATGCGTAGACTTGATGAACTGTACTTAAGCCTAAATATGTCTATTGTACTTAGGTCCTTCATATATTTTTATTACAGATAATAAATTATTTTATCGAAAAAGACATATTTTATTATATTCCAGATACTGGTCTTAAATTATTAATATAATAAGAGGCAACTTAATAAAAAAATTAAATCCTTTGCAAATTGTGAAACCGCTGACCTATATAAGCTTACTAAAATCTAAACGTAGGTATAATCTTGAGAGCTAATGCTCAAGACACTTTGTCTGGAATGAATATATTCATCATGATGTTGATGATTACAATTAAAACAAAAATACACACGCTGTATTAGTATAGATACTAGTTGTTGCGCATTATAGCGAAATTGTTCCTGCTCAAGCAAAAGTTCTTCAGAGATCTAGATTCGATCTGCAGCATTATAATGGTTTAAAACAACAATACATTTAGGTACTACCAGGTGGTAGTCAATAAAAATAATAATTAGGAGCCTTGTTGTATTAGGTGTAAGGTTTATTTAAGGGATTAATGTAGATATCGACACATCGGTTCAAAGGAATGTTATGAAATAATTGGAAATTTAATTGAAATAACATGCACCATACTTCTGTCCACTTATTATCTCGTCAGAAGTATTATTTAGATAAAATATAATATCTATCAAGCGGGCCTGATATAATTTACAACGTGATAAACACTACTACTTGTAAAAATGAGATCAGTAAATTGTACCTAGATCGGACACGAACAGCAAGAGTTCCAAATCAAAATTACTTTAAATTATAAATCAGCGTTTATATTGAAATCTAGGCGAACCAAAAGACCAGTTTTACTTACTTCAGGATTAGAACCCTAAAAATGTCAAAAATAATGTCAATTTTAATTGACTGACTGGTATATTTTTTTTTATTAAAAGTATCCTCGCAAGTCATTAATAATATATTTGACATATTATTAAATTTTAAAACTATTGTTACTTAATATTCAATAATTTATTTACTAGTGTTGAAATTAGGCTATTGTCGAGAAAGAATGAAGAAATCGTTGGAAAAAGTATCTTCAGACAGATCGTCTTCAGAACCGGGAAATCTATTTTCCTTCAAACGTTATTTTATTAATAATTTGGACTCATATCATGGCGAATACGTCTTAAAGGAATTTTCTAAAATGTTAGACAAAAATTTGGTTGCATCTTCAAGAGAGTCATCTCTGACGGCCGTGGGAGAGGATGCCGAGCCCCTGTTACGACCACCACCCGAACAACCATATGAAATTATTGGTATATTGTAATATATATTCAAACAAATGTCACAATTGAATATACATTAAGACTCGAATTAAAAATTAGGCTTAGAAAAACGTATTAAAATCCGAATTATTAATTTTAACTGATGCAGGAAAGAGCAGAGAGGCTAGAGCATTACGGAAAGTAGTTCAGTAATAAGGCACTTAATTACATTATCAGTTACATTTAACAAAGCATTTGTAGGATAACAAATTTGAGATATTATGGAACAGAGTGTAATAGCTTTTATCGTTCTTTAATAACGTTTCAGGAAATTTTGATAATAATAATATTACTAACATAATTATCATTCCCAGGTACTGTTAGTGACATAAAAATGAAAAGTTTAGACAATGTTACCAGAATAATTTCAAAAGCTGAATGTTTACCTCAGATGCTTACTTGTGGTACTGTTATTTTGGATATAAGCAGCGATAGAACCGAACTTAATATTGTTTTAGACTATTTGCAAAGTAAGATTATCTATATAAATTAATATTTAGTTCCTTAACAGAATTTATCCGTAACAGTTTTGAGGTTAATAACTTTGTTTCTTTTATGTAAATTGTGAAAATATGACGTTTATACTTCACTGAAAAATTAGAGTAAAATCCAAATCAGTTTTAAGCATACTGAAGGTTCGAAAAATATTGTAAGTAGATTTTTATTTTATAGGTTTTGTTATCTATGTAAATGTGAGGTAATTGATTACAACCTTTAGCATTTTTTGACCTGGCCTGGCTAGCCCACGCTTTAGACCAATGTAAAATGCCTAATAACTAAAAACAAACTGTAGAAAGAGTGTGATTGTATCTACTTAAATGATTCTTAATCATTTTTAAAAAACTACTAGTTACGGACTCATACAGTTATAAACGTCCCAATAAACCATTTTGGTTCGTATTTATTAAATGTTGAATAGTATTAATGACGATATCGAATATACTTATCGTACACATTTAGTACGTAGGTATACCTACCACCAGAGAAGTATTTTTATTGTTCATGAGTATTTGAACTATAACCGATTAAACAGACTATTACTGAATTTAATAGTTCTGAAGGATTTATTAGAAAAACAGACACTGCTAAACACAACATCATCGGTTGTGGAAGACGGAGGAGGAGAGTCGAAAAAACGATATTTAATATTAATTTCAACTGTTATGACATGGGCTGCTACAAAACCGTTGGACCCGGTAAATTGTTTTATATGTTACTTTTTATATATTATATAGTTGCAACCTATTTTATATTCTACCGTACCTATTTAGGTATTTGAAAACTAATTGCCTTTGATAGAGATCTCTTAGTTATGCCTGTGTTTAGTAAAGAAATCTATATTTATAGGACACTCCAGACATGCCATTCATCGAGTCGGATTTCCGTAAAAGGAAGCCCCATTCTAATTACAAAATGCATTATGATATTGAAAATGAAATAATAGCTATCGCGAGAAAGTATAAAACACAAATTGGGTAAGTAATTATTAGTAGAGTGCTATGTAGTTAGTTCCTTCAGAATGGATTCTGATGATTTATCAAAAACTATATATAAGCGTCTTTCTCGTCTGCTATTACTGTATTTTAGAAACTTTTAAAATAAAATTATAAAGAGTATTTTTATAAATTCAATCGCCAGTTTAAAACTACGGGACATAGATATAATAAATATAGTTTAGGATGTATGAAGGAACTCCTTTTACAATTAAATTTTCTTAACTTCTGATTCTAGTGCTCTTGCAAAGGCAGTGTAGATTACATATTTTCAATTTTAAGTAAATTAATATTATAAATGATTATTTTTTTCGTGGGCCATCAGTAGGTATATATAATAATTCCAAATAATTGATACCATTACAATTTAACTATGTTTCTACAATCTACTAATGTGTCTGACCTACGAGTATAACTCTGTAACAGATGGACATATTAAGATGCTATAAGGGATGCGTTTTATCTTTTTGTGTTGTAACAGTAAAAACAACTGTTGCTTTTAATCTTAGATGTAATAAGGTATTAGGTATTCTATGACTAAATAATTAGTAATTTGTATGTAAATTACAATCTCTGCGGTTAGTACGTATAACGTATTTTTGTACACGTAATTGTTTGTGTCATTGACGTCAATTTTTGTAATGAATGTTTTTATTACCACTGGTAGAGGATCTTTGATTTTGTGACATCGTTTCATTTTTAATATGTGATGATAATGGAATGTTGCACCCACCTGCGCTAACGGTTTACGCTGGTGGGGCACCAGTGGAGGATGACAAAATGAGCATGAGGTCAGGTCAGTTAGCCCATTGTAACAAATTCATCAGGAATTTATCACGATGGTTTCCAGGGGGAACCGCGTGGAGGTCAAACTGACATGGTACATTGCTAGTAATGGGGTCATGAGTCCACATTATTAAAAATCCCCTTCACCCCCATTTTTAATATTAAAACCCGAAATTCATTTGATGGCTTCATTTGGTACAATAAAGACTTATTATTTACTAGCTACTCGCCCCGGCTTCGCACGGGTATACATTTATTATATATTTAAACCTTCCTCTTGAATCATTCTGCCTATTTAAAAAAAACCGCTTCAAAATGCTTTGCGTAGTTTTAAAGATTTAAGCATAGATACATATGGGCGAACAGACAGCAATATTGACTTTGTTTTATACTATATAGTGATAATAATATGAAGCGATTCACAATGATATCAACATAGGTATAAAGAAACCAATATCCTTATATGGTTAAAATTTTATAAATTTATTATTTCAGTCTCGTTTTCTTATACAAATCAAAAATATATTTTATAAGACAAATCTTTGAGATTTTTTTCTCTGCTACAAAAGTTAATCAATTATTTAACGAGAATTGTTAATATGGAAATAGATGTCAAAGATCTGAAAAATGAAATACCTAAATATTAGCCCCGAAGGATTTGTAATTGCTGAGAAAAATTAAGGTTTTTGTGGTCAATATTTGCGATGCGTCGCCTTAACATAGAGTATATAATATCGATATGATTTTAACAATTCTTTACATTTTATACAGTATACTCCTGTTGTATTGAGACCAAGTTAATTATGTTAGGTGTGGCTGAAATATTTTTCTTGTGTAATAATATCTTATATTATAACAATTTTAAATAGTGCTTTGGTCGTGAACGCTGGTGTAACATACGGTGGACGCGAAGATGTTCTCTTCTACTGGTTCCAGAAGGCCTGGGAATGTGAAAGGATTTTACCATTACTTGGTCACGGTGGAAATGCAGTGCCGTTGATTAATGTGCTCGACTTAGCACAGTTAGTTTTATTTTTACTTATCCCAGTCAAATATTAGTTATTTTTGTTTATTATATTTATTTTTGACCCATTAAGAGATTTTAATTTATTTGTGTGGGTCGTTTTAATGTCTTTTGCAATTTCAAATGGAGTGGAATTATGGAATTATGTAAGTGGTAAATTTAGTTATTTATCTATACTAATATTTTAAATGTGAAAGTGTTTCTATCTGTCTCTTTGTAAATAACAACTTATAGTCGTCCAATGGTAATAAATAAGTAGGGAGGTACCTACTTATTTATTACAATTGGACGACTATACGGCTGACTGATGGTAGTGAATGATTATATCACGACACTTGTCAAGGATATCTTTTATCTCAATAAACAAATAGGAAGGGCCTGATATAGAGGATGAAAGTTTGTACAGATGAAGTAACGAAAGAAAAAAGTAATTATATTAAACTACCTTTTATAAAATTATAATTGATAGATAAGTATAAAAAAAATAAAGAAGAGATCTTTATTTTTTTTTTGTGATGTGATTATTTCTTATGAGTAGTACATTGATCATCAACATTTTGTTTTCAGAATAATATACAATTTGGTGACAGACTTCCCGAAAAAGCTTTATATTTTAGCAGTAGAACAAAATGTCACAAAACAAAGAGAGGTAATAAATTTGCAACAATGAGATTATACATTCATTTTGATAATAGATAGTACGATAGATAATTTTTGTTCTTTATAGATAATAAAACCACTTGGCCGAACTGTGGGATCGGGAATGTTTAAGTGTATACCCCCAGAAGACGCTTTTTTGATTCCGGAAATTAACGTAAGACATAACTTAATTTAAAAGTAAAAATTTCACGTATCTAATGGTTACACTCACGCGTAGGCGGTGCCCGTTTACCGGCATTCTGCAACCGTTATATATATTGTACAAGCCCTAACCCTTGGTAAATGCTTATGTTTAAATTTTAGTAGTAATCGAATAGATAGTAAAATATTCGTCACCATAAAAAGACATGGGATCTGGAATGTAATAAAATTGGCAGCTGTACGTGAAATAAAAGTTTTTATTTAAGGTTAGATGTGAGCTCGGATGCTCGACTCTTGAACCTTTCATACTAAATTGATGACATCAATTAGCGATATGTTACATCGTCATCGAGTTAATTGTCCAATTCGGAGAATTATCTAATTGAACTATTATTTTATCCTATGCATGATACAGTTGTTTAGGTGAAAACCCTGATTGTACGCCTGGCGTACACATCGTCTTCTCCTATAAAAAATATTATATTTACAGCAAAGGATTTTCGATTTGATGACGCTAAATTTAAATATGGAACCTACCTTTATTGTGGAGACAATGGGACTTCAGTGGAGTTCAGAATTATCCTTTGCCGAGAACGTACCTGTGCTTATGAAGCAATTTAAAAAAGAGAGAGGACTGAAATCGTTCAAAGTAATATAAAACCATAAATAATTTTGTTTATGTTGTAAACATAGATCATATTAAACTATTCTATTTTTTCTTCGCAGGTTATAGTTTATGGTCCGCCAATCGTAGGAAAGACGACATTGTCTAAACTGATATGTGAGGCATATGGATTAGTGTATATTTCACCAGAAACAGTAGCTCAAGATATTTTAGATGATCTTGTCAGTATCCTATCCTATCTATTAAAGACAATATCTATATATAATTTATATATATGTATACCAATCTGGTAAAATATTGCATTGTTGCAATTAATTTTTAAAAACTAGTATATATCGCTATTAATTTGTTAAAAACATATGTCCGCGTGGAACTTAACATCCTTTTTTATTACAAAAAATAAATATAGCTTAAGATACTCCTTATAACCTTAACTATCTCTGAGTCAAAGTTTCGTCAAAACCAGTCCAGGCGTTTCAGAGATTAGTAAGAACAAACAGACAGACAGACGAATATTTTTAATGTAAGTGTACTTTCACATGCATTTAGTGAAAAGCTGTTATTTTGAAATTCCAATCAGACATTTTAATTTCATTTATTTGTATACATTGGGTAGATTTTCTACGTTACTTGTTCTTAAGGCTTGGCGAGTAAATCACTGGGAGGTTGGCGAGATGACAACTGTTGGAATGGCCGTTGGCGATGAAAAGGCCCCTGCGTTGGCAGATAATGGTGACGATATTGGTGATGAGGAAGGTGTGCAGGAAACTGCAAAACAGGCATTAGCCATTTTGCGGTCTGGCCGAATACTAAGTGATGATGATGTCATGGGGTATATCAATTTATTACTAAATTCAAGAGCTTCGGCATCTAGCAGTTTACTACTTGGATCCGAAAGTTCTGGAATTGCAAATTGGTTTACTCTAAAAAATTAACAGTTTGTAGTTCTGTGTAAATCTTCAGTGCTTTATGGAAAATCTAATAACAAACCAAACCAAATTAGGCCACACCATACGAGTAATACGTACTGTGGTCAGTAGGATCACCAAACTGAAATGTGAGATTCCAATGACCGTACTTAGGGAACAAAATTTTTAATAATCCTTGAATGACACAGTTATAATGGGGAGGAAATTCAACATAAACGGAAATTAATAAGGACATTAACTTTCTGAATCCTTAGATTCCATTCGATACTACAATATGTGTATTGTGTTGTAATGATAAGTTTATTGTTACACATATATACGTATATGTTTTTATATAATTTAACAGATATATACGCCAGAGACTTCTGAGTCGTGAAGCTTTGAACAGAGGTTGGGTTCTTGATGCATTTCCTACATCTATGGCTCAATGTATAACACGTAAGTCCAATTATTATAATTATCCCTAATTAATAATTGTTATACTAATAATAAAATAATATAAATTGATTGTCTCCTTCATTCAGCGAGTACGATTGCCGCACAATACAAACATTTGTATTCATGTCTAAATGTGTTTTATTTTAGAGGATGATAATGGAATGGTGCACCCGTCTGCGCTAACGGTTTACGCTGGCGGGGCAGCAGTGGAGGATGATGGCATGAACATGAAGTCAGATCAGTTAGCCCAACGTGACAAATTCACCGGGAATTTATCACGATGGTTTCCAGGGGGAACCACGTGGAGGTCGACCTGACATGGTACATTGCTAGCAATGGAATCATTAGTCCACATTACTAACAATCCCCTTCCCCCCTGTCTAAATGTGTTGGTCTGGGCGTTTTTCTTTGTATATTATGTGTGTATTTATAAAAAAGATGTCTAAAAGTTTTCGCTTTGGGATTGAATGGGTCTGTATGCTTATTTATTTAATTACTTAATATAATGTTTTTTTAAGTTTTCGATAAAGCCGATGAACAAGATTCTGATATTGGGGTTGAAAAGGAAGAAGAGGAATTTGATGAAGACATCGATTTGTTTAGCAATGTTTTGAAAAAGTTACTTCCAGGTATATGGATGATGGACTTTTTGTACATGAGTTATTTATTATAAAATAGACATTCTGTGCAATTACATTATATTTGTAGACATTGTGGTATCTTTAGAAGCAACGGACGATTTTATATGTGAGAAAGCGATGCGTCAGCCAGAAGGCGACTCGCGCTTAGACGAAGAAGCCGTACTGAAACGACTAAGCGAGTTCAGGGCCGGGGACACTAGAGACGTATCGCCTCTTAATTTTTTCGATGAACTGGATATACATCCTCTTGTCGTGCCTGTTAAGGAGCATGCCGACTACTCTATGAAAGTATCATACGCAGCGGTTACTCTACGAATGGGGAGGCCTTGTCGGTACGGCAAACTTATTGGTGAGTTAGACATGGTTTTGTAATTATAGTACTTGTTATTTAATTTATCTGTTCTTTTTTGTGAAAATGTCACTAATAATATTGTATTTTAAAGCTCTTATAGAAGCAGCTGAAAAGAAAGAAAAGGAAGAACTTGAGACGTTGCGCGCTAAAGAAGCCAAAGCGTTAAAAGATCTGGAGAAAAAACTAAAGGAGGAACGTGAAGAGAAAATGGAGTATTGGGTAAGTACCTATAATTAATAATAATAAATAAATTATATTGGTATTGGTTCAGAACTATTTACAAAGATAAGTTGTTTAAAAAAATAGAAGTAAATACAGGTACATATATCTATTCTTTAATGTTATTTAACTAGATAGTACTTACCAGGCGGACGGTGCTGCAGAATATTGCAGAATTACTAAAATGTTCTGTACGTCACATGCTCCACATAGGTTAATCGTCTAATATTTAGCGCAATTCACAGAACACAATGGCAACGTTTTACATTAAGTTTATTTACATACATTATTTTGTTTACAGTCTGAATTATATGCATTGATGCGCGAGGAGGAGGAAGCTGCCCTAGCTGCGGCAGGAGAGCCTATGCGTAATTACTTAGTACATCATATATTCCCCACCCTAACACCAGCTCTTCTCGAAGTGGCTAAATTGAGACCTGAAGATCCCATTGACTTTCTTGTACGTATCTCGTAATATTATCATTGTATGTATGTTAGACTTTCTTTTCCGCATTTAGCCTCTTATTAATTATAGTTCATAAATGTTGTCGTCATACATCGCTCTATTTATAGAAAGAAGTATTTACGAAAGATATTTTAAGCCTTAGTATGATGTATTGAAAACAAACGCATTGCATATAATGTAAAAAATCTTTACATATAGTAATGATAAAAATAATAAAATCGTGACGAGTCGAAAACTATCCGTTTTTTGTTTATGTAATAATATTTCACGTAAAAAGGGCTAGAGAAATTAAGAAGATTTTTTATGGAATATGCTACTAAATAAATATATGTTGGCCTATATATCGGTATAGATTAAACAAAATTGGAAAAAATACCCCCAAGAGGGATACATTCCATTATGTGCGTACATTAAAAACCTAGCTAATTTTGTTAAATCAGTAAACAAATAACAAATGGAGTCATATGTCCTATGGCTATTCATGGAGTGTGATATGAAAATATTAACAAAAAGTTGTACGCGGACACCACTCGATTTTAATAATTATACAACTGAAACAAAAAACGTTAATCACAAGGGAACTGAGTTACAACTAATATTAATTAGGTACATATTTCTGGATATGGATCTCTTCCAATAAACGTAGAATATTATAGCCTAGTATTCCAGTAGTAGTACGTACCTGATTCATATTTTCCTATTTTTTTTTATATGTTTTGTATTTGCCATTTATTGTTCCTATGTATATAGTATTTGTGATTGACCTAAGACAACATTTTGATGACGAAAACATGAGGCAATTCTCACCATACAAAGAAATCTATAAACCGTATACATATGTATTACAGATGTACCTATATAGATATATATTTTCTAATTTCTTGATGATCTGTGAATTTAAATACGAATTAGGTACATGTCCTAATCAGTATTGTAGTATTAATTATTGAATGATTGGTCGTATTGTTGAGTTGGACATTTGATATTTTTATTATGATCATTAAATTAGATTTTTTGTACACATTGAATTTATATGAGATTACATTATTTGTTTCTTTTGCACAGGCTGAATATTTATTCAAATTGAATCCAAGTGGGAAAATGCTTGAACCAGGTTACAATTTACAAGCTGAAAAGTTGTTGGGGAAGATTAAAGTACTAGACGATGCACTTAAAGATTTAGACATTAAAATGGATCCGCTTTTGCCACCCGAAGCTGACGTTGATGAAACCTACATATCAAAAAAGAATATAAACAAAATGAATGCCCTTTAAATAAAAATAAATATGTATATCGTACCGACACAGGGCACTTTTTACAATTTCAATATTGCATTTATACTTACTTATTTTAAATATTTAATTTACGAACCAATACGAATAGTTGAATATTACCTTTGGAAATAATTATAGCAATGCCATGTTTTGTTAGATTATTAATTGTAGTATAATGGCATGTTAGTACATTGATGTTATCTGTATTAGATCGATGACACATACCGTGCTGTGTATTTTCTATATCTACCATTATACAGTTGTGTGTTGTGTAATGTTTGTGGTTTATATGCCACATGTTTCAATATTGAGAATGGAGAGTAATGTACGTAGATATATGATGATATAAAATACCTCATCATGTTGCTATTAATAAAAATATGTAAACAATACTTAAGCTTTGCTTTTTATTTATTTAATGAGTAGTAGATATACTGTTAAATAATTCTAAGTTTCAGTACTTATACATAAACTCGAACACAGTATAATATAACAAAAAACATTTTCCATAAATATAATATTAACAATATATGTATAGTAATTATTATGACGTGACGAGTAGGTAGTTCGGTGTAGTTATATGCTTACTAATATGTTCTACAATATGTACCTATACTGTATACCTAAAGTTGACTGTAAAGAGAGTCAAGCTTTTAATTCGCTTTTTGTACGAGTACGTACCGCAGTTTAAATAAATAAATAGTTTCTTATAAATACGTTATTTAGGTACTTCATTAAAATGTGATAGATAGTAGCTTAGTACGTATATACGTATAGATATAAATACGTAACATGATAACAATCTACAAAAAGTTTGTCATATGAACGTAACACGCAATGGGTGGTCGATAGTTTCGATGTTATCGGAATAGCCTGCTTTAGTTTACGTATTGTTATTATAGATGACACACGAAATGTAAATTTAAAAAAAATGTGAAAAGATAATATGAGGGTGCATCCTGAACCGCTGGGACCACGCGTGAGGAACAAATCGAACAGGACAAGCGGCGACGGAAATGGAGAACGCTTCTCATTGTTGGCTGCCAGTCTGCGTCATCAGACAACAGAATTCTTTAACAACTCTACATTACATGGCGTTCGTTACATCGCAGAGAAGGAAAGACCTTTCTGTGAAAAGTTTGTAGAATCTACAGTATCGATACCTACTATTTTTTTTATATATAGATCCGACTGTTAATTGTTTTTTTCTTTGTTCATTGTAGGTTCATGTGGTTTAGTTTTACAGCAGTAGGTGCTGTTACAACCTGCATCATTATTGTCAGCTTGTGGGAGAAATTTCAAACTAACCCTACTATTACTGGTCAGTTATTAACATTTATATTTTGGCATAAATCTTATTAAGAGGACTATTACAAAATGATGCCGCTCAACTTTAGGTTTAATCGCATGGATTTACGCACACATACAGTAATACACGCACACAGACGCAAATAACCGTGTAGCTCAATCGGTGTGGATTTAGTATGAACCATTTTGATCCTTGTAATATTTTAATTAATAATGTGATATGTTTCTACTTAACTAAGTAACATAAACTACTTATTGGATTTTTTTAAATAACGTGATTTATCTTAATTATCAAAGTGCTAATAATGACCATATTTTTTTATTATATTATTCCTAGAGGGTTGATGTCAGGATGCTGGCCGATTGTACAACTAAAAGCCAAAACCTTAAGTAATATGAATAACAAATAATTGGGACAGGAAGACGAAATTATTATAACATAAATTTACTAATTAATTCTTCTTACGTATTAATTCAGTTTATTTATTAATAGATACAATATAATTTATTATAAGAGTCGGATACATTATTGCCATATTCACTTGTTCTAAATATTATACTTAGCAAATAATTATTTTATTTATATATAATAGTTGTGTTTTCAAGGCTTTGTTTTGATTTAAAGGTCCCATCCTTATATGTATATTAGGTGTGTCTGCGACTTCGTCAGCGTGGTATAATGAAATTGACCAAATAAAGGAAATATATTTAGATTATATCCTAAAAAAGTTTATTTGTTTCACTTAAACAATGACGATACTTTTATACAACCTTTCATCTCCGCTTTTAATCCCTTACAATACTTTTTTCGCACTATAAAGTAGTCTATGACCTTTCTCAGGGTATACTATCTGTGTATATGTATATCTATCTATATAGACTACCTGTGTATATATATGGTAGTGAATTTACAAGGTACAGGGGAATAACACCCGAGTTTTCAGGAATGGCAACGCATGAGGGAAACAATGTGCTGATATGAACATGTCAGGTACTGCTCATGTATATAGGCGACGGTTACCCCTTTCCATCAGGAGAGCCGTCAGCTTGTTTGCCATTCTAAGTTGTAAAAAAAAAGCTTCAACTGCTATCATTGCTGTTCCTGTATCATTGACGTCGCCGCATGATATTGGCTGATATTGCAGCTTCTCGTTCTTGGTTGGCCGATTCTTGATTCTTGATAAATAATTAATTGTTAATGTCAAACCTTTTTATAAATTATTATAAGACGCCTCATTGATTATATGTAATGAAATCACCATGAGCTATAGAGATTTTGGACAGAACCTTAAAAGACCTTAGAAACACCTCTGCTCTCATTGGCGGGATTACTTTTATACTTTTGTTGGAGATTTCTGAAAGACTCTGTGTCATTAACATCGTCTCCCTTATGGACTTTAATTGAAAGTTTAAAACTACTGACAAATTTGAGAGCTCATTTTTATGGAAGCACAGATAGTGATTTCCCACACTAAATGCTCAAACTTGAGGAAGGAATTTCTCAAAAGCATGATCCAGTCATGAAATTTAAGCCCGCCGAACATGTGCAATGGCGTCCCATTGGATATATTGCTTATTAAGAATTGAAAGACAATTTAATTGTAGACCATTATAACCGGTACGTTAGCTGGGCAACCAGCTTATATACCAAGAATACCGATGATTCCAACTGATCTGCCAATACCATTTTAACGGCTTCAATTTCCGGTTAAAATATCATCTACACATGTAATAGATCTATGTATGTTTTAATCTTAAAAAACTACGCAGATTTTGATTCGTTGTTATTTTATAGACAGAATAGATAGACTCAAGAGGAAGGTTTATATATAACGTCCCAATACTGTACACGGATCTTTAAACGCGCGATAACCTATATATCCCATATTCACGCGGGCGAAGCCGCGAGCTAAAAGCTAGTCTCTAAATAAAAACATTCATAATGTTGTTGACTTTTCACCCAAACACGCATAATTATTTGACATAACTGTACAGTAATGAAAGTCCAACGAGTATAATAACAGAATAGCTGCAATTTAGAAATATCTGTATTGTGTAAAATAAAATAAAATTGGATAAAATATCTCTAAACATTAAGGAATATAATTTATATATAATTTGGTAATTTATTTACAATCCACATTGCATACTAGATGATATACACTATATAACACAAGACAAATGTACGTAAAAATAATAATGGTATTTTTATAAACAATAACCCTATTTTAATTTAGAAAAAAAACTACAAAATAAACATAGAGTAAAATTGGTTTACATTTTCTTACATTTTTCTCTCAGATAAGCGTTATTTTAAAAAATACTAAAATGTTCTCTTTTTTAATTTTAACAATTAATTGCCATTAGTGTGACGAAATACCATGCTCTTGTGCTTTTCATAGTCCAGCAGGGTAGGTAGGTTTTATTTGTAGCATAACTGTACTTTTGTCTTGGCATGCTAAAATAAATATTATATATATATATATTTAACAACAACTTTAAATTAATATTCGTAGAAATAAGTATATATTAGTAAAATTAATTAAATATTACTTAAATTATCAAAATTGTTTAGTCGCTCTATACTAATGTTCACTGACCAATGTCTATCTTAGCGGTGTTGTAAAAAATGGCATAGGTACTACCTCGACGAGCGCTAGCGCAGCACTGAGAATTTACTTTTGGCGCAACGGAATTTATACAACTTTAAATTATTATTATTGTTTATTTTTTTCTTAGAAACTTATATTTTTTTTTCATATTTCTAATTTACAAGTATATTAACTTTATTATTATGTTTTTTTTATGCAAAAATTTCGTAGTATTTATGAGAAAATTAGAAATGATTATGGCAAAGTTTTGTTGAAATTTCGGGTTTAATTATGATCAATTTTTTAGATATTTAAGTTGAAAATGAAAAAAAGGACGATGCTGTCTCAATTTATAAAGTAATTATCAAGTTTTAGTAAAGTTATCATATCAATTTATGTTTGTTTATTAATGAACGACGACCCCAAACTTCTGTCATTTAGCGTTTTTGAATAAACTATTTTAGAAATTAGGAAGACTAACAAAGAGAAAATTAACATTTCAAAGATGTTGTTTTTAAGATTAGATATCTATCTATATAATTCAGGAATCAAAATGTATATCCGACTCTTAATTTCTTAGAACCAGAACCCCAAAGACACTGCTTTTAGGCCAAAAAATGTGAAAGGCCTCTTAAATACTAGAAGATGCGCGGAACGTCATCGCCTATATATTTTACTATCAATTTTGTTTCAACGCTACTACGACTTAGGTACCTACGCTTCTTTTGGGCACCTTAATAATCACTATAAAACTGTACTTAATTGCTTTTACAGTCATACAAATCTGATTTTTCATCTTGACAATTTTGAAACCCTTACTAAAATTCCACGCTCATTCTACTCTATTCCATTCAACCTTTCGATATTTTCTATTGTACTATCTGCGTTGTTGTTCCCAATATAGCCCAAGAGCCCACGACGGCCAGACATACGTCTTATTAGTTAATGTGAAAGTTTTTGTATGTGTGTCCCCAACATAGGTAAGAACGATCTCGAAACATGAAACCTGGATCATGGTTCCTTTGGCAGGTAACAGGTACTTACGACATCGATATGAAATTGTGTGCACCGTTGTTACCCAATATACGGTTTCAATGCATCTGGCAGGATGATAGAACCAATAAAACTGTCTGGCAATTTAGGGAACACAGTTTAATAGTTCTCTAAATAATATATATAATTTTCAGCTTTATTAAAATAACGTAAGTTTATTCTTAAATAATCCGGCGGGGGTAGGAACCATACTAAGTGTCCGGCAATGAGCAACGCAAGTTATAATACTGCTACGAATTTGATATGAAAATTTTTACACCTTTGTTGCCTATTACATGCCAAAGGAACCACGATCCAGGTATCATGTTTGGGGATCGTTCTTACCTTTGTTGGGGACACATATACAATAACTTTCACATGTAGGTACTAATAAGAAGTATGTGTGGCCGTCGTGGGCTCTTACTCTACTAGAGCGCCAGAAGTTTGGAAATACTGGAAAACTTAGTCGTGCACAAAAATCTTTCTACTATGTAAAAATTTTTTATCTACCTAAGTAATTATTTATCTAAGTAATTTATTTGTGTTTTTAGTTAATATTTGTTGTTTTTGTGAATAAAAATCTTAAATTGTTTGAAAGATAAGCCTAGTTAATACAATATTTGTTTTTTAATTGCTATAGGTTTGGACACTGACTTTCACAACTGGGATGTACCATTTCCAGCAGTCACATTATGTGATTTAAACCCAGTTGACGATGAATTGTTACAGGAATACATTGGAAAGTAAGTCATAAGTCGCATGAAACATAGCATATTGGCAATGGGGTTAATAGTTCCTTGTATACCCAACCTCTTCTCTTAGCATAAGAATTAGCAGAATATTTGCAGACACGTTTCTGTATGTAATGAGTACTTAAAATTCCATTATAAGTTAAGGCTATTTGAGTTCTGTGGGAATATTAGCAAGCTTGAGATGTTTTCGTTTTCTATCATGAGCTATCATGAACTAAATAATTGCTATGTTTATGTCTGATGTAAGATTATGTCTTAAATTTAGAATACTTTCCTTATGCTCCCCCATAAGGAAAGTATTCTAAATTCAAGACATAATAACACAATCTTTATATAAGAAGAGTTGAGTTTATATTTTTCACATTTCCCACAGTAATTATTATAATATTTTTACATAGTTTTTAAAAATTCAATGATATGTATATTTGTCAGTAAACTGGGTATATGTATGTATAAAAATTGTTACATGTTTATATAGCACATGGGGTGCGGAACCTCCTGAAAAAGCAGCAGATATGATGCGGTGGCTGGCAACCCTGAGCTATACTAGCATTGCGGAACATGCCGCTAAATACGCGGATGATCGTGAACTTTTAGGAAACTCAGAGAATACTCCTACGGAGCCATTTACTAACCCGAAAGATGCAATTTATAAGGTACGAAAATTACATCGGCTATAGCTAGTTTTGAAACAAACATACATTATCCCCGATATTACTCTAAGTATATAATAAATTATATATAATATAATTTGTACTTTGACAACGTTTTGGTCTTGATGTTCTTCTCAATAACTAATGATTTTCAATAACATCATTGTAAATTGACTCTATACATAGGTTGTACGTCGGTGTGATTCATTATTTTTTGATTGCGAATGGAAAGCAGACTCGGAGGAATGTTGCGATTTACTTGTCCCGGTGTTCACCGAAATGGGTTTCTGTTACGCTTTCAATTCCCGGCATGCAGAGAAGACCTGGCCATGGTGAGATGATATTTTATATTAAAATTTATAATATAATATATAAGCAAAAATTAGTCGGCTGAGTTAACTGCTGACGAAAATTCTTTTAAGGGAATATTTACCATTATCGTAATTATTAATCATAAAAAAATTACACTTACCAACGTTCTACCTTCCCTTTCATTAATAATAGTTAGTTTTTTTGGCTTAATTGGAAGGAGGATTCCTTCCAAGATTTATATCGCTAGATTACATTTGATCTTAAATTTTAGGCAAACAGAATCACAGCCTGAACAATTCTCTGAAGCTTTTATCCACGAGACCGATGCAAAATGGTCTTTTCTGTTCAACTCATATCGTAATGATACTATAATCGATGTAAGTATGTAACCCATTGTATATAGGAGTTACTGTGATAACTTTGTTTTTAGTTAGTAAACCCACTGCATATAGGAGTTACTATGATGACTTTGTTTTTAGTTTATTTTATTAATTAATTGTTGACCCAATATCATCAATTAGCCACTGAACAGATATAGGTACTAAATCAGATAAATAACCATATTTGCGTATTTTTTATTGGGAGACTATAAGTGTCACTTTGTTGTAGTAGTAATTTTGGTAACAATAAATCGAAATAGAGTCCGATCGAAACTAATAGATAAGTAGTTACGGCCGATTTTAGCCGAAACTGGAAGATCGGTCAGACAGTACTGTAATACTTAGATACATATGTAAGTAATTAGGATTTCGGGGTGTTTTTCGTAGTATATTGAAGAGCGAATCGAAAGTAGTATAATTATAAATAACGCAATTGATAATAGCCATCGACATATTGTTTTATAAAATTTATAATAAATAGATAAAAAAGTTGGCAACGCAGAATGTTTAAGTTAAATAGCTTTATCATAGAGTATTTTCCGAATAAAACAGTTCACGTAATGACAACAGTACAATATTCGTAATATTTTTATTGTAGATATATATCCATTCTGCGGAAGAAATGGCCGGCCTAGAGCAAAGCGCGCAGCATACATGGGATCGGCGAGTAGAGAAAGTGTCATTTTCGGTCAAACACACATATACGACCGAAGATGCCCGCCAACTATCTATACGACAACGTCGATGTATATTCGCAGACGAACAGAAACTGGAAACTTCTAATATATATACATATTCAGCATGTATGCGCCAGTGCCGTATGCAAAGAAGTCGCTTGTATTGCAAATGTGTACCACATTTTTATCCTCCTATGAGTAAGATCAAAATGCGAATCTATATTACTAATACCCATATTACAGGCCTTCTCGAGGGAAACCAGTTTTATGGTAATATGATCTAATTTAGAACTCAATCAGATGAGACTAAAAAATGAAATGAAATCCATTACAACAATACCCATATTACAGAACCCACAGATTACCAAGTTCTTTTACGTAAGCTACATTATCGACTTTATTTGACTTCTCTCTGGATTTGTTTGTAATGAGATATTTGGAGTCAAATTTAGGTATTTTTCGTAGCTGACATTCTCTCATAAACAATTGTTTTGTTGAATACAGTACAGGTACAGCCTTCGTAAATGACCTACGGTTTAGTAATTCGCACGCCTGTTACCACACACTGCTATGTAGATATGACGCTCGGTTACATATATATATATATATATATATGTAGGTATTTAGCTACTGTACTTTAAATATATCCGTTTATTATTTAATTGTAGATATGTGAAAATTATAAAGTTACTAATTTTATGAAGCGTTCGATATATTGACTCCTTGAATAAATAAGTAACACATATTTAATTACATTATTATAAATTTGTCGGATTTTAATGCAAGTTACGTAATCCATCTATACTATTTTAAATGCGAAGTTTCTGTCTGTTTGTTTGTTACCCTTTCATAACTAAACGTTTGAATGGAATTAAAATATTATATTACGTGGAGAGACACAGGATATCTTTAATCTCAAAAGAGCAGACGGAATCGCAGGCTACAGGTAGTGGTATAAAATATAGCTAGTGTCGTAACTTTGCCAAATTGTCGAATGTGGTAAAAATTCTATTGATTAAATAATTTGTGTTAAAGTCCGACAAATAGTAAATCGTACTAGTGTGCTAAAATTCACAATAGATATGTCATGTTTGTTTATATAGGAGGATATAAACAATGTTCCATTCAGGAACTAACATGCATCGCAAAACACGTGGCTGCCATTACGGACGTAACACGGTGCCCTTGTGAGCTGGGCTGTTCACACACTGTGTATGAAGTCGAGAAACTTACAGAAATCGAGTAATTATAGTTTACCTATTTACCTATATATTTACTATAACTAAGAGCACATAAAAAAATGTCTTCTTCAGTCAGGACATTTTGCAACAAACTTATTTATAAAAATGATGGGAAAGCAGTAATTTTGTAGGTGCCTACGATCGTAATCTAGATATAAAGTTACATTGTCAAAGTAACATTGTTAAGGAGTTCAAACATATTTTAAACAGTAGATACCTTAATAGTGTTAATTTGACAACTAGTGCTTTTAAACCCAATCAGAGCAATTTGAAAATAATTTCTTCTGACAACACTCTTACTATTGTTTGTCATATGTACCAGCGCGCGCACCGTTTATAAAGGCCTGTTTTTTTATGTGTAGGTACTAAAGTGTTGTATATTAGCAATTGTTTATCATATTAACAAGTTGGTATCTTCACTTATCCAAAAACATTGAATAACTTATTGCTACATATGTAAGGAGAAATATTTAAAATTAAAATAACAATACCTATATTATACCAGTAAACCATGTATGCAGATACATAGATATACCACATAAGTACCATAAAATTAAATTATAATTTCGTGCTATGCATTTTATTGTTATTCTTATAATATCTGTTGCTATAACTTTCAGCACAATGAAAAGTTTGGGAACAACCACATCTTTGGAGACAGAATTTGTTTCCTGGCCAATGGTGCGCTACAAGAGAGAGGTGCTCTTTGGTTGGGTGGACTTGTTAGGTATTATATTACACATTAAGTAATAGCTGTGTAAACAGCCTTTAGTGCTCTTGTCTGTAATCTTAAATGTACTAGTGATTAATAAATCTTTCTCCAGTATCCTTTGGTGGTATAGCTGGTCTCTTCCTGGGCTTCTCACTACTCTCAGGCGTGGAACTCGTTTACTATTTCACACTGCGTGCCTGGTGCGCCGCCGTGAGAGAGACGGATACATTACGACGTGAGCGGGCAGAGAGACTCGCTCAACCTAAACCACCCCATGATCTCAGTCTAGTTCCATGGTAAATATTATACAATAATAAAATAACATCGTGACCTTGACGCATTGGCAGGAGTTTTGCATTTTTTAAGTGAGGTAATGGGTTCGATCTCGGTGTTTCAAGTTAAAATAGTTTTACAATGTGCTTTGAACATTTTTGCTAGGTACCTTAAATGGTATGAAGACGTGAAATCATGGTTCACAGAGAGCAAATGAGTAATTTAGTCTAACATAAGACGTTTTTTATTGCATTGCTCTTGGCAATGGCAAACAAGTGTACGGCTCATTTAATGGAAAGCAATAGATTTATAACAGCACCACATTCTAAGATATACCTTCTGTAACTCGAGGTTGGTATGTGTTTTCAATACTGTTATAAAATGTTACAACATTGCTTATTTTTCCTTAGGTGGAAACAACCTCCAGGAAAGCGCTCACATCGTCCAATAATGGTGCGTTCGAAAGGCGATAGACCTCCGGAATACTCGCCACCTCCAGGCTACAATACTTACCTACCTTAATGAGTTTCTTATCGCTCTTTACTTACTAGAACAGACTAACGTTACTTATTGCATTTCTTTGTGGTGATTCACGTGTATTTGGTACTTATAAATAAAAACTAGATTATAAATTATATTTGCTTTCTCATTTGATCTATATTGTAGTAAATTATAAGATGAATAAGAAATAGTAAATATAATACTTTTTAATTGTTAAATCTATACGGTTTTGTACAAATCATAATCCACCCACTCTCGAAAACTACAATGGTTACTTTCCAAATAATAAATACCATCGACTACCTACCACTGTCTATACCAAATTACTAAGATATTAAACTTTTTTTTAATCTATAATTAGCCATAACATATAGACGATTAACTTTTCTATAAGTAGTAAAAAAAATGAGAGAAATACGTTATATACCCAGTTAATATTTAAATTTGAGGTGGACTAGAATGAAATATCGGATTCCAATTTGGTGTAACTCTTTTAGTTCAAAGTATTTTACAAGTTAATAATATATTTTCACAAACTATAGGTAATGGTTGTAAAGACATATCGTGGATTGCTCACGCAAGTTTTAGAGAGACCCGGCGCGACCTGACCCTAGTTGGCCCTACGGCTACCATATTATTTCTGTATTTTAGGTAGGAATGTCCTTTTTAATGGATAATTATGGAACGGTGTTCACTAGTGGCGCACCAGTGGAGCATAATAAAATGAACATGAGAACACTATTAGGCCGTCGTGACAAATTCATAAAAATTTATCACGATGGTTTCCAGGTGAAACCGCGTGGAGGTAAATCTGACATGGATTACTGCTGGGAATGAGGTCATCAGTCCATATTATTAGGAATCCCCTTTCTGCGTAAATAGGCATGTTATGACCAATAGATATAGCGTGGGACTTTTTACATGGTGGTTTTATATATTTTGAATTAAATATTAAAATGGTATTATAGGTAGGGGAAAGTCCCCTAAGCCCGGACGGCTCCTAAAGCCGGACATAACTTGAATCTGTACGAACAAGCGCGCCAATTGGTTGCTTATGCCTAGGTAAGCAAGCTTCTCTCAAGTGAAATGTTGGGGAGGAGTGTCAACAGCCAGTGCTGACTTGTTCGTCGCGGAGCGTGGTTTAAATTTTGAGGTGAGTAAAAATTTTGTTTGGTTTAATAATATGTAGTCTATAAACAATACATATTTAAAGTATAGAATTTTAATCATTCTTAATAATTATTATTGCTATGGTACTAATTTAATATAAATCATGCGTTTTTATGTGATTCATAACTCACAATGTTAAATAGAATTTTTCTTGTATGTATCTAAGGGTCCCTAAGTTCGGACACTCTCCCAATCAAAGTCCCCTAACACCGGACAGTTTTAGAGCAAGTTAGTTTTTGTTTAATTTCTTATTTTTGTTTTTTTTTATTTTAGATTCAACATGGGTAAACCCAAACCGAGATGTGAGAAGAACATCAAACATGAAATATTGAAGAAGGCCATTGATAAAGTGATCAACAATTTAAAAGATACTTCTGAAAAAAATTATATAATAGATATTGTATTTTTACCAATTGTTTATTAAATAATGTTTAAGTTTAAAAATGAACGAAAAGTTCGCTGTCCGTCTTTAGGGGACCTTTTTGAAAACGTCCATTTTTCTAATTATTCTTTATTATCTAGTATATTTTAAGTAACATTTGGGACTGATGATATATCTGTATTGATTAGTTATATAGCAAAGAACTTATTAAAGTGAAATAAACAAATTAATCTGTAACACGGTTTTTTTTATTTTTGTTATTCCTTAAGTGTCCGTTTCTCGGGGACCTCCCCCTAAATATAATAAGCGAGATATGGCTTAATATATTAAAACAAATGTTTGTAATTATTTATACTATTTATTTTTTTCTTCATCACATCCATCTAAAAGTCACAATATGAATAAAACTTACAAGTATGTTGAACTACATTATTATAATTTTTATTAGGGGCGCAAAAATAGTTAACAATTTCTAAATATTAAATAAGTACAATGATGTTTCCACTAGTAATATTCGTTATTGCTCCCATACATTTGCTGAATATAACCAGTTTTACGTAAAGTTTACTAGTGAATACATTGCTTATTATGAACCACAATAATGTAGTTCAAACAGAATAAGTTCAAAAAGAGTATACAATCTTTCAAAAATTTTGTATCTTAATTACTGGTTGCCAATCTTAATTATTAAGTTAACGATGTATTATGTTTATTCCAGTGGAATTAAAATAAGAATTCATAACTTAAAAATAAAGTTTTGAATCGAAATTACTTTGTTTTAAATAAGTGTATGTCTATACATAAAGTAAATCATAATATAAGCGTAGTTTCTTAAGTATACAATAATGACAGCGTTAAATATTCCTTTACCAACGGTGTATCAACCGTCAGTCTTTAGGTCTTCTAATCGGAAGTACCCATTATGTTAAATGTATTGTATATAATTAAGCATGAAAGATTTTTTTTGGAAAACTTATCGCACTGCATCTCTCAACCTTTGTGAAACAGAAAGAGGTCAATAGAATACACAAATAATGTAATAACAAACTATATCAATCGAGAACACCAAACGAATACTAATACAAACAAGCACCAAATAGCTAATTACTAACTTAACCAATAGGAATGCTATAAAGCGTGTTGCTTGTCGCTTGCATAATCTAAGTAACAAATTCCATGTGTAAGTACTAAAATTCACACTATTTGCCACAATACAGGTTTTAACACGTAATTAAACTTAAAATATACTATACATTAAATAAATTTCAATTAAATACAAGTATTGTGATATCAAATTCAAGTAATATTTTACGATATTTGTAAAAATGATATATAAAGTATTGTATATATCGAATTAACATTAAGTAAATAAATATACACAACCAGGAACATTAGGTAATGAACTTTGGTATTTCCAATTTTGCCAAAAATGTTAATAGGTTGATTTGTTCAAAACGATAGTGTTATTGAAAAAAAAAACACATTTAGAGCACTTGGATTTGGTAATAGTTATTTAGTACCTTGTAGTACCAAGCCTATGATAGTAAATTATTTACTTTTTTCACATATACATATTTTGGACAATGGTAATTAAAATTAAAATAATTTCAACAATCTGCCATACCGATATGAGAGCTAATATCATTTACAATGGCTAAAACACAAGGAAACAGAATCACTGAACATGGATGGAATAAGTGCTAATGAGATTAATGGTACGACAACGAATATAAGGGTATTTGGCACAATCGAGTTCTGCAGAGATAAATGAATATTATTAGTATGTCATGGGTTTAACGATATGGTATTGTTCGAGTTATTTTACGCAGACAATACACCCTAAAATAATTAAATATGTAGTCTAATTTTCGTAATTAGACCATGTACTGGATTTTGTGTACTTATCTCGTGATATAACCATGCAAGATATCTTTATACACATCCAATTATGTCTTTCTTTAATCTAACTTATGTGTCTTATAAATCAAACAAGCATATGTATTTAACAAGAAACACCGAGCATGCGAATTCCCTTGTTATATAGTTTGTATAATAATTTACGTATTTCATATAATAATACAGAACAGATACCACTGCAAGCAAACTCTTCCACAACGAAAGTATGTGTTTTATTTATACGCATCATGGGTGGTGCAGAGAATATAATAATGTTAGTGGCGAAAATATAAATAAAAGATGACACCCACCCATATATATACATATGAGTAAATAGCTACATATATATATATATATATCTATAACTTGAGTAGTATATTTCATCACGAGAAGTCCGTTAAAGAATAGCAAAGGTAATTGCTTGAAGAATTAGCATTACATTGCAAGAAGTAGCCAAAGATATGAGGCAACGTATACAAGAATTATTATTTTATTTTAGTCCCACATAAAGTAGGCTATGATTAATGTTCTTGATATGTAAGAAAAGTGGAAATACAATCTTTTTGTTTACCACCTCTTTACAATGTGAATAATGAATCAAAAATAACGAATAGTTCAGTTTACGGTTTACTTTTACGATAAATTAAAAATTAAAATACATATATAACCATAAAAATTCTTTTCAAGGGGTAAATAAGAAATATAATTAAATTTCATATTGCACCATTATTATTGCATGAATATTTCGTAATTTTACAAGGATACTCCTTGTAAAATTACATACTCCATACACGAAGCTTTTTATTCCTCAATGAATCGTTTCAATAATACTATGTGTACGGACTGCGACTAATGTTGGTACCGAATGGCCTTAGGAGTGGCAAAATAGGTGCTATAAACTGTACAGTCACTGGGTATATGAGTATAGTCCATGAGGGTGTTTATATTCAATCATATCGGTCGACCTTTTGATTTGATTTGCTCCGAAATGTGAAGAAATCGCCTTCGACAAGAAATTGATCAAGCCATGAAATTGATCAGTTATACTGAGTTTTTCATTGACTTTTATATTTTTTGTTTGTGCATTGTTAATGTTATAGGTATTTACTAGACTTATAATGCATACGCTATATAAGTAACAACTGAATCACATTCACGCATAACTAGACCAATTTTGAAATAATCACAAGCATTAATATATGCTAAACTAATAAATATGGTTAAATATACTGGCTAACTACTACATATTTAAATGTTTACTCAAACGACTAATCATACAAAACCTCTATGCTTCTACATTTATTTACAGTAAAATAGGACATTACTTACAACAATATCTAAGTACTAAAATAATTCCATAATTTACAGTATGTTGGATTTGCTAAATCATTTTATCTATTACATATAAATACAAAATATTTTGTAAAAAGGTAACCAGTTGGGAAGTTAATATTATGTTAATTTATCTTATCACTATATATTCGTAAAATTAATACATGTTAGTTAAAAGCACGCGTTAACCATGCTCGTAGCATACGGATAGTATTAAAAACTATTATTGAATTTTATTAATTCCCAGGCAATAATTTAAAGTTGACCTTATAATATACATATCGATTCCATTCCGCATGCTACTATTTTGTATGAGAACACATCAAAATTTATTTCGACTTGACGCGACGGGATTTCTAGTAGGTTTCCAACACACTATGTGTTCGTCGCGTTAAGTCAAGAAATTTAAATAATATGTGTAAAAACGTTGACATTTAAAATCTAAGTACATAGTTTCTATAACAATAATATAAACGAATCTGAAACTGATCCAGTTTTATCTAAATATTGCTAGTTGAGAACTTGATAAATACACTCACTATAAATTTGTAGTAATTGGCTAATGTAGTTTTCCGTGACCACAGAAAGGTCTACTTTTAGAACAAAATAGCACTGTAAGTAATATATTATGCACTAAGCTAAATCCATACTATTGACAAAAAATGGCAACTGCCTAACGTGAAAATAACGCAGTGCACACTAAGTTAGCTACGGGCTATAGATGTGTCGATTTATATATCACAGCCTCGTCACATCGTCAACATGTTCCGCCCACGTAACGGTCACAGCATGATGATATAGTGATGTTAAATTAAATTATAATGTAGAAAATTAAATCTACTGACGTTAGTGTGCAATAGCACGTGACACAATCATATATTTTTTTAGGATTCATACATTCGAACATACAAACTGACCAGCAGAAAGTATGATCAGATTTATAGTATAATTTTAACTATTTCAATATTCGAGCGACGTGGAGACATTCAAATCATTTAATACTCAGAAGCATACATATTTTGTATTCATACAATAAACAAATACCGCCTTGTGTGTCTGCTCGACAAAATATACCAAAATTTATTAATTAAAATATTACGAGTTCTAAGACTTCGAATAATATTAATTTGTAGTAACAATTTATTTCAACAAAAAAGATAGTCACATAAATTATTATCATTTTAGATCCTTTTCTGTATAACTAGACGATTCCAATGAATCGAAGTTAGAGCTCTGTTTTAATTGGTAAAGAGTTACCTAATTGGTATTATATAGATCGAAATCTAGAATAACAAAAAACAATGCCTCTATATCATCACCGTAATACGGAAAGCTTACTCAAATAATATGCATGTACCGGTGCATGCATGTAACGATAACAAATCCAGACCGTTAGTACATACTAAATATTTACTATAACTTAGTTCAGCACTAACACGAGCTGACGAACTTTACTAACTCGTCACTGGGTGTCCTTCGAACCCGTTGCGGGTTCGTATCTCCTATTTTAAAAGGTAGATAAAATCATAATATGTATCCCCACAGTTGCGTACAGGAATGGTAGGGTCGCGTCGGTCAGCAGGCGTGTGCGGGTGTGCGCTGGTCGGCGTGTGCGGGGGCGGGTGCGGGGGCGGGGAGGGGCGCGGCCGCCGCCCACGGCCAGCCCTCGTCGGACCGTTCCTTGCCGGAGCAGCGCCGCCGCATCACGCGGAACATGGCGCTGAACTTCTCCGTGTCGGAAAACGTCGCCTGCGAAACGATCTCATGTAAATTATCTGGCACAATAAGGTCTCTTAAATATCGTTTATCCTACTGAAAATACTTTCATTCGAACATATTTTAACTATTTGTCACTTGTAAAGAAAAAAGCTACGAAACAGTTAAATAGCTAAAGTAAATTTATAAGATGTTTAGTGTGTACACTATAACTAAAATAACATTCTGTTTATACTTTAATTACTTACCTCTATAGCTATAGCCAGAACTAAATGCAGAATTGGCATAAGTAACAAGTATACGCGGAATATTGTTTGTTCATAATCATTAATATTCATAACTTCAACTTCCATGAAGTCGGCGAGCCAATGCCATGGACAAAGCAATAGTACTACCACAAAAACAGCTTGTGTAATCAATGTCACGACCATGTAATCTGTGAACGAAAAGGCAACGTGAAATACCTATAGCTTATTTCTGTAATTTCGCCCATAACTTATACCAAAATTGTATATAAGATAGTTTTTAAAGATTTTGTTCCATATTCACACTCAAATGACTGGATTCGGATGAATATTGGTAACCAGAAAGATAAACAATAAGATACAATAAATAATTTCATAGGTTCGTCTGTAAGTTTGCTTTTCTACTAAAATCACTATTAATTAAAACAAAATTCATATTTACAGTTGGCACAGAAGGGTTGTCGGAAGGGCCAGCCTTTCGCATATACACATGCCATAATTAAATACTGGAACGAGGAGATAATGAATATAACTGTGTTCTCCCAGCACAGTATCACTTCTACATCAGCAGCACCTTCGACAGGCTTAAACCTGAAAATATATATTTATTATTAATGTTAGATGTTCTTGGTACTTAAAAATAAATCTGAAATAACAGGTGTTACGTAATTTTAATATAGATTACCGTGCCTCTGTATTTAATAAAATAAGGTAACAGTTATATTATTGTCATTGAATCGCAATGTGTCGCAATCATTTTTGGAAACCACGTAATATATAAACAGAATCACGGACATCACGTCATCAATCTGGAGAGCTAAGATGTCGACCGTCGTTTCCCTATAATTTTACACTCTCATCCTTCGAACCGAAATGTTTTACGAAGCATACTGCTCGGTGGCAGAGACCCACGCAGACGACTACGTGAAACATCTAAACATAACATAAGTGTCGAATTAGTGCTATACTTGGGGACCGATTCGTTTCGTTTTTAATGTACCAGGTCTGCTCGTAGAGGAGATAGAGTGCGGCGAGCTGGAGGAGCAGCACGAGCGCGACCTGGAGCACGAGCGGCAGCACGCCCGCCGCCGCCACCAGCGACGCGGGCGGCGAGCGCCGCGTCAGCAGCGGGCCCGGCGCCGCGCGGCCCAGCGACAGCGCCAGCAGCGTCGTCAGCACCAGGTCGATGTACAGGAACTGGTTGTTGCCCAGGATCGAGAAGAACTGCCCGCGGGCACGTCGCACATATTACATACGCTTTTACAGTCGAATTCAAAACTTTGTATTTAGGTAACACGGTTAACACGATATTTACTAGGATCTATATAGTAGTTGAAGCCTGCTTTTAAACGTAAGCCCGTGCCAGGAGGCTCTACTCTTCCATAGCACATATAGTGAGTGATTTGAAAAATATAGGTATTATAATTTTCTTTATTTATATAATTCAACTTTAAATGCACACATTGTTGTGATGTGTCTGACAGATCACAGATAATAAAAAAATGTCCCTATAATAAATAGTAGTCTCAGTAAAGATGCAATGTCCAAAACAAAACCAAAACCAAAAGATATTCGACTTACGTTGTAGAGGATGAGGATAGAGATAAACTGTATCAGGGAATAGAGAGCCATGTATTTGAATATAGCGAAGGATGTGCTCAGAGCGCAGCGACCTTCCAATGCGAGCAACTTCACGCATCCGATGTTCTGCACGCGGGAAGTAAACGGGGCCGCCACTGAAATAACAAAAATATCGACATTAATAACACACTGTCAAAAGGTTACATGTCGATTGAACACTATTTTAAATTGAAGTGGATAGTCACAGATTGTAATCTGTTTTACAGGAATAGTTTATACACAATTTTATATGTCACTCCAATGCTTTGTAGTTGAAACTGGAATATAATACAAAAAAGCACCAGCATTTATTTAAATTTTTAAACCAGTTCAATTTATTGGTTTCTCTTAAAAAGAATTGGAATACTTTACTATTTTAAAATAGTCTGTCGGGATAACATTTACTAATTGAGTGTATATGACTAACACTTTTGGGTATAATATAATATTACCTGAAGCATCAGCCTCTGAAAGCGAAATCCCAACGTGGGCAGCTTTGAGGGCGCCACAATCGTTGGCACCGTCTCCGCACATTCCCACTATGAGCCCTTCGCCCTGCAATGCTGTCACTAATTGCGTTTTCTGGTCAGGACCGAATCGACCAAACACCATTCCTGAAAGAAAAGTACTATTATATACTACGTATTACGATACTTCGGAATTTTATTATTATTATTTTAGAAATGAAAATATCTCAATTTGCATTAATCAAGAACGGAACCCTAACAATATGTGTATTGACAACCTAAAATATTTTATTTTCATATTTATACGACATATATACTGAATATGATCACATTTACATAAATAATATCCTAACTAACTTTCATGTGAGTATACTAGTGGATTAATTTAACTAAACCTTTTAATGCTACCTAGGTCACGTATTATAATTCTACTCATGTTGAATGCCAGCATACATACTCACCCTTACTCAGAACGACAGGCATCAGCTCCGGATAATGCGTACGAATTACTGACCATGTCTTTCCTTCTAATGCTAGCACATATGAGTCGATTGACAATTTTGGGGGACCGCCTTCGCCCACTACCTACAATATGAAAAATATTTATTATTTAAGCATATTATTATTATAAAATATTCTGTCAAAAACGGAAATGGACACATATTTATCCTTTCCTCCTCACATCTATATTCCACCACAGGGAGTACATATGTTCAAGCAAAGAACTGCAATTCTATTAATAGAATAGTCTATATCTATATATTTAACCAAATGAACTCAATAATAAAAAGTATAGTACTATTTAAACGGGCTTACGTTTAAATAGTACTACTGACTCATCACAAGAAAAAGAGCAAGATACTTATGTGTTGCCGTCTTAAATAAATATTGTTCAGCATTACATTTTTAAGATTTCGTGTCAAGAAATCTAAGTCAAGTACCTATTTATTATCCATAAACAGTTACTGGTGTACCAAAATAAATCAGTCATAGTTATCCAAGCAGTGCAGTCCCTACAAGCAGCACCCTTTCACGGGTATAACAAGTGAGCCACCCAACATTGCGGTCTACCATATTTTAGGGAGCCCAATGACCTGTCCCAAACAAGATAATGTCGCAAATGACGCAATGCAAAGTCCAGTTTAACACATAAGGTATACTTTACTCACTTCCATACAAAGATGAGGCCTGGATTCATCTGTCTGCTGATGGTCAATGGTTATCAATACTAGTTTTTGGTGTGGTTGCACCATGAAACATCCACGAGCAACTGACATTGCAGTCATAATATTATCACCTGGTAACAACGAATAAAATAATCTGAATAAATTGCTTTAGGGCTGAAAATAAAATACATTGGAATAAGTAGGTTTTCATAACGACGAAAAGGTCCTACAAATGTAAGATACAAGTCCACTGGTGAGTCAACATTAAACATACTGAGCTTAGCTAACGGTTTAAGTCTAGAGAAAAGCAGCTGTAATTTTAATATATAATATATATCTAAGTGAATGATTATGTCTAGTAGTTGCAGTCTTAAAATATGATGTTAGCTTTGAATCATGATATATGACGGCCCCGGTGGTCTAGCGGTTTAGCATACCGCCTTGCCTCTGGTCGCCGCGGGTTTGTTTTCTGTCACGACGTAAACATTTTTATTTATGAATATGATGGTTTGTATTGATCTGGGTATTTTCTATGTACGAGTATATTATCAAGTTCTGCTTAGCTGAGGACTAATGACGCTGTCTAAAGTATCTATGGTTATTATTACTACTATTTATAATAACTCTTAAAATTCAATATCAAGCAAAATCGCATAAGAGCATAAATAAATAAACAAATTTTAAAATATATACCTGTCACCATTATCTGCCTCATATTCGCTTCGTGGAGCTCTTTGATCACCTGAGTGGTTTCTGGCTTCAGGCTATTTTGCATGACTAGAAAGCCTAAAAATGTCATGTCACACTCAAGTGTTTCTCTCTTAATTCTTTGCGCATCCACCCATTTCATTTTGCGGTCTAGTTTTTTATAAGCTAATCCAATTACTCTGAAGCCATTCGACGTATATTCATTGAGGACTGAACTGAAGTTTTCAGGTAAAGCCTTTTGATTGCACATACCTGCAACCTTAAATTGTGCTTTCAAAATAGATTTATGTGCCATGAAACAGCAAAACAAACAAAATATTTTATAATGAATAAGTTTTTTTAAAATTAGTTGAGTTAATTGAGTTTCATATATAATATTATTAAATAATATTTTGATTTATATGTATGGTACGTCATATCATCACCAAAACTGAAAACGGGATTCAGATAAAATTTTGCAATTTTTATGGTTTCCATAACATTTTCTCCGAAACAATATATAATTGCTATTAAAAGAGCAGACTGAGTAATGAACACTATCGAAAGGAAATAAAATTGTTAAATGATAATTTTTGAGTATGGTCAATTCAATATCAAATATTATAGTTAATAATAAATCAAATATAATGGCTTGTAGAAATTTGCAAAGTTGTTTACAACAACAGTGAATTATATGTTTGATTGATCTATAAAAAGACTACTAATATGATGGCCTAAATTATACCGATGGCCGAGATACAATTCAATTCTGATTTGGTCCAGATTTTAATTGGTTATTAGGTTAGATTGTAAGTTGCCCAACTAGTAATAATTAAATTATTGCTATTACACCGCGTTGGTAACAGTTTCAATTATTTATTTTATATAGATGTTATTTATCTAAAATCAATTACAAATCTAATTCTAAATACCTTCTCTGGAGCGCCTTTAACGAAATACACCATCTGTGGTTGACCAAGAACTCTAGCAATAACTCCCATAGATTGTTGAGAAGATGAGAAATGAAATCTCCGTAACAAGCCAATCTAAAAAGAATGATTAACTATTAAGAATTATTAATAGTAATAACTTTGACTGTTAATATTTTTTAAAAAGCTATTGACTACAGGTCTGAGATTTAGGAACTTGTAAAATTATATTCTTATGTGAAATAGAAATTAAAGAAACTTTAAAATGTTTCACATTCTAAAATTTAGGCGCTATATATATATTGGCGCATCAAAGTAGTAAATCGATGAAGACACCTTGATTATGAATGTTAATGTACAAATTTAGTTTGCATTAGTTGTTAGCAAAAAACTATTCGTTTATTGTTAACTTTTAGCAAAACACGACTAGTTTTTGTTAACTTTTCGTAAAACAAATCCAAATTTATTTACACCATCTCTTGCAGGAAGCAAATGATCTACTTATGTTATTGTTTGCATACATATTAAAAAATAATATAATTTGTCTGAGTTCATTATCTTAAGACTCTAAAAATAATAGTTTTAAGTTTATGTCATTGCTACTATAAAATTCTAATTACTTCGTATGGTATTTCCATAGTAAAAGGGTCATAATTTTCTAAGTCTTGTAGGCTTCCATCATGAGTTGCAGTCGGTTTAACTATGGCAGGCGTTAAATTATCATATCTCGTGTTCTCAGGGCCCGGCTCATCGAGTACCTGTCAAGATTAAGTCACATTCATCAGAAGTGCGCCGACACATGACGCAAACCGATCGTTTATTTACTTAGCAATGTTAATGTGGTGACAAAACTGTTTGCTGTGACAATATTAAAGATAAATGCTTGTTTGTTTCGGTTGAATATCGGTTCCATTAACAGGTTTTTTATGAGCATTCCATTCTTTACAACTATAGTAAATCGAGTTTGTTTCGATTAAATCACATTTACCAAGTTTAAAACTTACTAAGATGATTTGGATAATTTGATTTGGCAATTCTTTTAACTTTAACAACACAGACAATTAAAAAAATTAAGATCTAAATGTTTTATGTCTTATAAATATTTAATTACAATAACAATATAAAAAGGCAGAGAGAGAGATTTCATTATGAAGAAAGTAAACTGTAGAATGATAGAAGTGGTATAAATTCTGAAACCAATGAAGTGGCATTGCTTTCAGAATTTATATCACTATTTGAAAGGTACATTATTTCACAAAGATATATTAAGTTGGGTTGGGCCATTACTAATTGTATAAAAATTTTAACTTTGGAATATATTCAAATTACGTTATGAATCATCATAACAATGACTGTTCTGATATATCGAATATTAGTCATTATGAATCATATAAATGGAATAATTAGAAGTACATTATGAAAAATGTTATAAATACTATACTATACCACCAACTACTACTACTAATTTCTATTCTATAGTTTAAAAATTCTAATACAATTTCAAAATCTGTTAATAAAAACCATAAGCCACAAATATTGTAAAATTGAGTTAAAACTTTTAGATGAAAAAAAAATGTGAATGGTATACACTATTGTTTTAACTTTAATAGATCAGAACATTTTTTTTTAAATAATTAATATGAACCGTTATTGTACTTACCCATTGAGTAAATTCAAACATTTTCAAATCCAATGGATCGCCTTTGAGCTGTCCTTGTATACTAGTGAGTGAGTGGCAAGAAGCCAGTGCTTGCATCATAGGACTCTTAACAGGCAGTAAGTTAACATCCACTACGCACGTCCCGAATTTATCATTGGACTGTGCTGGTATCACCGAGTAGAAATCTAAACCGTCTTCAGTAAGAGTACCAGTCTGTCAGACATTTTTATAAAAATTAATAGAAAATAAGTATGGTGATTTTTATAAAATTAGAGGCAGTAATAGTAGAAGTTAAATATGTACCTTATCGAAGCACATAACTTGCAACTTTCCACAAATTATAATTCGGGGTGGTGACACACAAAAGATTTTATTTTTACGCAGACGCTGTTGACTGTACACAATACCGGCCGTCATAGCAGCAGGTAAAGCGGGAGGTACCACGATAGTAATTATATCCAAAGTACGTAGAACTATCGTGCCTGCATGACTCTACAACGAAAATTAATATTTACCATTAAATTAATGGGAAAGGTAGAATGAAAGAATAATAATTATATTATAACAAAATAATTAATAATACAACTTATACTAATAAGAATATTTAGACATATTAAGCGATAGTATACAACTACATGTAGTATAATTTTAATATAAATATTAAAAAAAAACATACTTACGCCTCTTAAAACATAAAGCCAAATTGAATACGCCATTCCAATTGCGGCGATACAGAACATAAATATGACAAATTTAACAGCATCTTTGTAGAACTGAAATCCGAATCTCTTGGGAAAGAGAATACTTTTAATCAATTCTCCTTTAGCAGTGTTGAAGCCAGTTCGTACAACTTTAGCCAGAACCTAGAATCAAATAAATAAAATACATTTATACAAATGGAGAGTAATTTAATAGCGTAATTGTGAAGGAAAACATTATACTGACATCTGTGTGGTAAAATTTGTTTTGAAACTATAAAACATAATAATTATAAACACTGTGAAGACTAAATAATACTATTTACTTTAAAGCTAAATTAATATTTATTAATTGTAATAATGAAATAAATTTTAAAGCTTACCTGATTGTTACCATAGAATCTTGTTTGAATAACATGAGTGCCAGCAAACAGCGTATGCCTTTTGTGTCCCTCCGTTGAATACACTTCGGGAGAAATGCATGGCGGGCCCTTCATTACTGGTACACTCTCACCTATTGCAGTGATGAATAATATGTATTTAATATCGAATTGATTATTATATACTTATTCTGAGTGCAAAATAGAAATAATTTTTGAATCAGCTGCCTACGTCTGTAAACATTTGATAACATTAATATTTCGATAGCATTAAAAACTATATATTATGAGAAGGCGACCTAGTGGTTCATTACGAAAGTATGTTCTGATGTCAGTAATGTTCGTAAGCCACACACACACACACACATTTTACTTACGGGGGTAAGTAAAATGTGTGTATTTATAAAAAAGATAAAGGGGGGGCCTTCATCTTTTTTATAAATACACACATAATAAACAAAGAAAAACGCCCAGACCAACACATTTAGACAGGGGGGAAGGGGATTGTTAGTAAAGTGGACTCATGACCCCATTACTAGCTATACCATGTCAGGTTGACCTCCACGCGGTTCCCCCTGGAAACCATCGTGATAAATTACTGGTAAATTTGTCACGATGGGCTAACTGACCTGACCTCACGCTCTTTTTATCATCCTCCACTGGTGCCCTCCAGCGTAAACCGTTAGCGCAGGCGGGTGTACCATTTCACTATCATTCCCAAAAAAAAAATGTTCGTATGAACTATATTTTTCACATTTTGTATGACACATATTCAAATACGTTGAAGACTGCTAATAAAAAAATTACGTCGTTTTGAACTGTAATAGGAATCATTTTCAAACAATCAACATTAATTTTAAGTCCCAATTTGGAGTAATATAGACGAAGAAATATAAAATTATTCTATTTTGAATTTATTTCAAATGACAATATTTTAGATTATTTCTGTATTCTTTTATAGAGACATTACATTACATTTCTCTTAGGATTGTGAGTATAAAAATAATATAAATCAATAGCATTAGGAGTTTTTTTGTTTTTATATTATCTAAATTGATTTTGGGGTTTTTGTTTCAAAACATGTCAACGCCATTATATAAAATGTATGTAGTGTATGTAGTATGTATGTAGAAATCTTACAACTACTAAACAAAATTAAATAATTACTGATTGAGAAGGAACTATTTATGAAATTGTATTTCATAAACTCCTAATGCCATCGATATGACATCATTTTACTTATTTAATTGATGCTAATTAATTAAAATAAAATATTTATCTCTACATTATGCAATTATTGAACTGTTAAATGGTCGATTAAAAAATATAAATAAAATTTCTTACCAGTGAGCATGCTCTCATTAACTATGCAGGTTCCAGTCAATAGCATGGCGTCACACGGCATCACGCAGCCATCAGGAGGTAACACCAGCACATCGCCGGGTACGAGCCGGCTGGCACTGACCACACACTCCTCACGTCCAGTACGCGATGGACGGACAACTGTCACAGTAAATGCGCTGGTAGAACCAGCCATACGATGCAGGTTGATACTCATCTGCAAATTGTTATTGTAAAATAAGATTAAGCCTTTTTTATCTGAGCAATTTACACATTATTCCTCAGTATCATAATATCAGTAATATAGCAATGATATAAAAAAATAACTAAACCTTGCAAAAATTTATTATTAAAACTATAAAGGCAAAATAATAAAATAGAAGTTATTAACTGTTGTGTATGATAGTGCATTACAGAGTATTTTACCTGTTTTGTTTGATATAACGCCAACATACAAGAAACAGCAGAAAGAAGGAAAACGCAAGTGGCATATTGATAGTATTCATCCAGAGACCAAAGAATTATGGAAAATACTTGAAATAGATAAAATGGGTTGAAAACTTCATTGACGAATAGTGACCAATAACTCTTCACTTCTACTTCCACTGAATTTGTTCCATAAAGTTTGATCCTAAAATTATACAGTACATGGTTAAAATATAATAGTTACACCTATAGTATTACATATTCATGGGAAAGTTCAGAACAATAGTTATTTTTTTTTATATGAAATCACTTACTACATAAACAGTAATTTAACTATAATAGGAAATATAACAACGATATATTATGTTTAATTGGTTTTCTAGATTTAATTGCACTAATGACTGATCTAAATAAAATAGGAAAACAACAAAATTAAAAAGAATAATAGATAAATATTAATAAAATAAACAAACATTGTTAAAAACAAAACTTATTATTACTAATATAGTATGAAAAGTATATATTATAATTGTAATTGCATTATATTTACAGAGAATATAAGAGAGAAGATTGACCCAATCATATTATTAAAAAAAAACGACACTTTCACGTCAAAACTACTGAACCGATTTTAATTAAATTTGGTACACAGTCTAGACCCTGAGAAAGGTCATAGGCTAGCTAGCTTGAAACTTAATTTTGAGGCTGTTGATTAAATTTAAATAAAGAAAAAGTGTTTGTAAGGGGTTGAAAGAGAGATGAAGGTTGTATAAAAGTGTCATCATTATCAAAGCTAGATGCTTGAAACTTATTTTTTAGGCTGTTGATTGATTTATATTGAATTTTGTATCCTCCTTTTTTAAGCTAAAACAAATGAATGAATGAAATTTTTTTATTTGGCTTTCATTGGGTTAGGTAATTAAATTTTTTTTCATTATTTACGTGGACGTAGTCACAGGTACAGCTATTATCTATATACCTGGGTTGCAATAGTTAAAATCTTTATAGAATCTAATTTAGAACTTAGTTGTTATAGTTATTCTTTTCTATCATATCTGGATTTTCTATATATTAAAAACTGTATGTACATTAATGTACAACACACACACAAACAAAATAAAAATACGAGAACTAAATGCAGAAAATACAATTATTTAAAACTGATACCACAGTTACTAATTTAAAAAAAATTGTATTCTAGGATTCAAGAAATTAAAAACATAATTTGAACAGTAACATTTATGTATGACATTTATTAAGCATTATTTCTCAGTCTTACCTAGTTCAATTGCTAAACAGCTTGCTTTGTAATAGCCCAAGAGCCCACGACTGCCAGACATACGTCATTTTAATAAACGTGAAAGTTCTTGTATGTGTGTCCCCAACACAGGTAAGAACGATCCCCAAATATGAAACCTGGATCGTGGTTCCTTTGGCAGGTACCAGGTAACAAAGGTGTAAAAAAATCATACCAAATTCGTTATTTTAAGAAACTCCATATTTTCATATATTGTTCGTAGCACTTAACTTAAGTCAGGAGAAAAAACTGTGGTAGGTAATTATAGGCCTATATCTATCTTACCAGTATTGAGTAAAGTGTTTGAAAAAATTATGCTCAATCAAATGCTACAACACTTTAAAGTAAATAAACTGCTTCACAGTCGACAATTTGGTTTCACGGCCGGTAAATCAACTACTGATGCCGGTGTAGCTCTCATTAAATATATATTTGATTCTTGGGAGAGGTCTCAGGATGCAGTCGGTGTATTTTGCGATCTTTCAAAAGCATTTGATTGCGTTGAACATGAAACACTTTTGCTCAAACTTGAACATTACGGTATTAGATATGAAGCACAAAGCATGATGAAATCCTATCTAAATAATAGAATGCAAGTTGTCGAAATAAATGGTGTAAAGTCTGAAGGAACTAGTATTAAAATGGGTGTTCCTCAGGGCTCTATTTTAGGTCCTTTCTTATTTTTAGTTTACATAAATGATCTTCCTTATATGGTAGAAAAGATAGCTGACATAGTTCTGTTTGCTGATGATACTTCATTAGTATTCAAAGTCAATCGACATATTGATGATTTGGACGAAGTAAACGGTGCTCTTTCTTATGTTTTAAAATGGTTTACGGCTAATAATATGTTACTAAATGCAAATAAAACTAAATGTATCAAATTTACTCTCCCCAATGTAAGGCCGGTAGATTCAAAAATCATGTTGGACAATAAACCTATTAATTTTGTGGATGATACTGTATTTCTAGGTATCACATTAGATTCCAAGTTGCAATGGGGTGCCCATATTACTAAATTAGCGAGTCGACTTAGTTCTGCCGCTTATGCGGTAAGAAGAATTAGACAATTAACAGACGTGGCAACGGCTAAACTTGTGTACTTTAGCTATTTCCATAGCATTATGTCGTATGGTATTTTGTTATGGGGCAAAGCAGCTGATATAAATACAATATTTATTTTACAAAAGAGGGCCATTCGCTCCATTTATAGCATGGGTTCCAGGGAGTCTTTGCGAGAGTGCTTTAAGGAATCAAATATCCTCACCGTTGCTTCTCAATATATTTATGAAAATATCATGTATGCCAGGAAGAATATAGACAGTTTCAAAAGAGTTAGTGATTGCACTAATAAAAGCTTACGTAACAATAACAAACTGATTTTACCTAAATGTCGTTTGGCTAAAGTTAGTAATTCGTTTTATGGCAATTGCGTAAGGTTTTACAATAAAATACCAGAGTCTGTTATAAATCTGCCAGAAAAAAGATTTAAATGTCAAATAAAACACTTCCTTTGCAAAAAAGCTTACTATAAAATTGAAGAATTCGTTAACGATAATAATGTTTTTGTAGAAAAATTTTAAATACATAGCACTGACAATATTATCTGATTACACTAATAATGAGTGCGTAGCGATTTCTATGTTGATTGTCGCATGCCTCTTACTTGTTACACTGTAATTATTTATATAAAAAAAACATCTATCAAAAAGAGCAACACACAAGTTTCTTGCTCATTCTTCTTGTGATGAATCTGCATTCCGAATGAGTGGTAGAATCAAAATATGACTATTCAAAAGTGCTTGTAATGAGTTTATTTGAATAAAGATTATTTCTATGTCTATTTCTATTTCACTATTATAACTTGCGCTGCTCATTGCCAGACACGTAGTGTGGTTCCATCCCCCCGCCGGACCCCCCTAAACTATACTATTTTAGAAATAAACTTACGTCATTTTAATAAAGCTGAAATTTATATATATTATTGAGAGTTCTCTCAAACTGAGTTTCCTAAATTGCCAGACAGTTTTCTTGGTTCCTTATCATACCAGACTCATTGAAACCGTATATTGGGTAACAACGGTGTATACAATTTCATATCAAATTCGTTATTTTAAGATGCTCCATTTTTTCACATATTGCTCGTAACAGTATTATAACTTGCTCTGCTCATTGCCAGACCTCTTAGTGTGGTTCCAACCCCCGCCGGACCCCCTCATAAACTATACTATTTTATAAATAAACTTACGTCATTTTAATAAAGCTGAACCTTATATATATTATTGAGAGAACTATTAAACTGAGTTTCCTAAATTGCCAGACAGTTTTCTTGGTTCGACAACGATCAGAGCAAGTTATAATACTGTTACGAGCAATATGTGAAAAAATGGAGCATCTTAAAATAACGAATTGGGTATGAAATTGTTTACACCGTTGTTACCCAATATACGGTTTCAATGAGTCTGGTAGGATAAGGAACCAAGAAAACTGTCTGGCAATTTAGGAAACTCAGTTTGTGAGAACTCTCAATAATATATATAAATTTCAGCTTTATTAAAATGACGTAAGTTTATTTATAAAATAGTATAGTTTAGGGGGGTTCGGCGGGGGGTTGGAACCACACTAAGGGTCTGGCAACGAGCAGAGCAAGTTATAATACTGTTACGAGCAATATGTGAAAAAATGGAGCATCTTAAAATAACGAATTCGGTATGAAATTGTTTACACCGTTGTTACCCAATATACGGTTTCAATGAGTCTGGTAGGATAAGGAACCAAGAAAACTGTCTGGCAATTTAGGAAACTCAGTTTGTGAGAACTCTCAATAATATATATAAATTTCAGCTTTATTAAAATGACGTAAGTTTATTTATAAAATAGTATAGTTTAGGGGGGTTCGGCGGGGGGTTGGAACCACACTAAGGGTCTGGCAACGAGCAGAGCAAGTTATAATACTGTTACGAGCAATATGTGAAAAAATGGAGCATCTTAAAATAACGAATTTGATATGAAATTGTATACACCGTTGTTACCCAATATACGGTTTCAATGAGTCTGGTAGGATAAAGAACCAAGAAAACTGTCTGGCAATTTAGGAAACTCAGTTTGAGAGAACTCTCAATAATATATATAAATTGCAGCTTTATTAAAATAACGTAAATTTATTTATAAAATAGTATAGTTTGGGGGGGTCCGGCGGGGGGTTGGAACCACACTAAGGGTCTGGCAATGAGCAGAGCAAGTTATAATACTGTTACGAGCAATATGTGAAAAAATGGAGCATCTTAAAATAACGAATTTGATATGAAATTGTATACACCGTTGTTACTCAATATACGGTTTCAATGAGTCTGGTATGATAAGGAACCAAGAAAACTGTCTGGCAATTTAGGAAACTCAGTTTGAGAGAACTCTCAATAATATATATAAATTTCAGCTTTATTAAAATGACGTAAGTTTATTTCTAAAATAGTATAGTTTAGGGGGTCCGGCGGGGGGGAATGGAACCACACTACGTGTCTGGCAATGAGCAGCGCAAGTTATAATAGTGCTACGAACAATATATGAAAATATGGAGTTTCTTAAAATAACGAATTTGGTATGATTTTTTTTACACCTTTGTTACCTGGTACCTGCCAAAGGAACCACGATCCAGGTTTCATATTTGGGGATCGTTCTTACCTGTGTTGGGGACACACATACAAGAACTTTCACGTTTATTAAAATGACGTATGTCTGGCAGTCGTGGGCTCTTGCTCTATAAGTGTTTCATTTGCAAATCGAAATAAGGCAATGAAATTACAAGATAATTTTAATCTTAAAGATAATTTCAATTATAATTAATTATTATTACTAGTATTAGCTATCAATAAATAACATCACAGTAATACCTGCCATTTAACCCCCCCACACTCTCCAGTTACAATAGGTTTTTAATAGGTTCAAATTTAAAGCCTTTATTAATTGACACAAAATTATACAATCTAATATAATATTTAATTTAAAGTTTAAAAGATAAAAGAAATATTAGTTATATATATTTTAATAGGTACTAAAATTCAAACATGTTTTAAAATCCTACACACATACATAAACTTTGTGACTCTTATACCTTCTTGTAATACAAATCCCACCTTAGCATGTAAAATAATTTACGGAGGGCCCCTTAGAATTATTACATAAATTAATTTGTACTCACAATTCATTCTGTTGTCTTTTATTAATTCCAGACATGTTTTCCATTAGAAGGCTGATAGTGATTCTTTCATTGAGCATCAGCACATTGATAAAAATGCCCTGATCATGAATCCAGATAAATCGGCTATGTTGGTAGACAAAATAGCGCAATTTATTACCCTTATGGTTGGACAAGTTCAGCTCAGTTTCCATGATCTTCTCTATTTTAAATAAACCATCCCCATCCAAAACTGCAAAGAAATCAAAATATATTAATAAATTTATAGACAGTCCATATATTAACATTAAGATATTATATTTATAAGACTTACTACAAATTTCTTCAGCCATTTTCAAACTGCATTTTATGTATTTGAACCGGTTGTATGAGGGATAAGAAGCCAAAATAAAATATGGTAGACCACATAGTAATATGCAGAAGGTATGAAAGAAAATTCCTCGTATTTTTGAATATTTCAAACCATAAATTTTGATAATTTGCTCATCTCCACTGTTCTCCAAAGTTTGCCATTGTGCTTCACCGATAACTTCATATTCGTCTGAAATTAATACATAGCATAGAAATTGTTTAATATCGTTTTTAACCTACATATATAAATACAATTATTAAAATTAACTACTTTTTACACATGCCTTTTGTTTGCATATACTTGCATATATTCAGTTATAGGTGTAGTATTAATTCAATATTAATTTTCCTAAAATGGCATATTCTTAGCGTACTATATAAAGCTTTTTAATTGGTATGGCAGCAAGGAAAATATGCAAACAGTAAGACATATGCAATTAACTTAATTTACTACAGATTTCAATGCAATTGCATAACTAATAGATAATCTAAATTGTGCAACCTATAATCAAATTCAATTGATAACATAAAATATATAGTAATGAAACTGACAGTTTACCCCTTATTAGTTACAAATAAAGCCAGCTAACTGCCCTGGATACAAATTTATGACTAATTTAAGATTCTAATATTAATTTTATATGTAACTGATAAGGGACCATGAGTTAATGGAAATGACCCAAATAACAGAACAAAGATCACTAACAGTAATAACTATTTAAGGAGTTCTATAATTGTTATTTCAAGATGATTAAGATTTGTATTGCACAACATTTTGATATTTATATTTCTTATGAATGGGACCAGTGAGTGCTTGTTTTTGCTATATGTAACATATACATTTAGGAGAAAAATAAAACAACAGATAAGTGTTTTTAGAACTTAATATAACAAAATAGACATTCAATTTAAAGCACATCAATATTCAATTAAATAAAAAAAAGGTTAAATACAAGTCCATAATTTTCAATAAAACTTATGACCTCACATTATAATATCAAGTAAATTGCAAGTATTATTTATCACTCTGAATATCGCAAGCTCTTAAATTTAATTTGATAACCTATAGTGATGCTGGATTTGTCTAAATTTGAAGGGTTGACAGATATAATAAAACCAGGTTAGAATTCTCTGTAACCTTGTAACCCAATTAATTAATCTTAGCGCTATAATTTAAATACAATGTTTTAGATTTTAATACATGATTTATTATATATTTTACAGTAATATAAGGTAATAAAATTAATTCATATTGCACAGCGAGTCAAAAGCGAAACGTCTAATTAAAGGTTTAGTAGTCATATTCATTATTGTTTACAATTGAGAAATATAGGAAAATGTAACCTTTTATAATTAATTTCAGTGGAACAAGTTTCAGTGATTCATAAAGTATTTAATCAAGTGTAAAATGCTTACCACTGGCGACGGTGGCATTGTTCAAGTTCAGCATTCCCGCAAAAACTAATGGACGATTTATAACAGAAAAAAATTAAGGCATATTATTTTGTGGTCTTTTTTTAGTTACTGTTTATCAGTGCTACCTCATTGCAAATATATAGTATTTTATTTCTAGTGATTTTTGTTGAAATATCTCGATCACATTACAACAAATAGGTATGGAAGTACCACAGATTAACAGAATACTATAGTCTGTTTTTTTATCTCCGGACAAATTTGACATTAACTATGTTGCCAGTTTTGGGCTGCTCTTGATACTTGGCTGCTCTTCTATAGTGTTGACGTACACTCGAAAATTAATACGAATTATCGATATATATCGGTTACACTCAAATAATATTTGGTATAAAAGTAGTAATTTTTAGTGACATATATTTCACTAAAATAAACAATAACTGCCTTTTTGCAAAACAAATGACTTTCGTACGTTGTCACATTTTATAAATCTTACACCTCTTTAAAATATTTTGCTGTTCGAAAGAAAAAAATATATGGTTAGTTTGTAGCTTATTTCCGTTAAAAATACAATACGTGCGGAAATACTAAATGTATTTTTGTGTGGTTACCTTACAACAATAACCTCCGTAATTGATGCTGGGGCAAAGGGACTCGCCTCAAAGCCCTAACCTTCACCCCTCTAGGGGGATGAAAAAGACCAGTCTCAACCAGAAAGCTTTTTACCTTAAGCCTATTTTGAGAGGTCTACATTAGTGACGCAGCGCAGCTAAGCAATTATGAGTGTCCTCCCGACTGCCTGACACAGTTCGTACACTATCCTATACTTCGTTCCAACAGAACTTATAGAAAACGTAAACAAACATTTTGTCGTCGACAATATTACAGAAGCAATCACATATCATTTCTCTACTTTTAGTAATAGTACTGTAATAGGCAAAGGGAACTGTGCCCATACGGCCATGTCTGCTTGTTATGGATACTCTTAGTTTATTTTATGTCTTCAATTGTCGAGATAATGTAGTTATAGAATAAAAGAAATGTTCTTGAGTTTATAGAGAGTGCGGGATATGTGCTCTTCGATATGATATATATCAATAAGTCTTGCGGATAGAAGAACTTGTTGTATAGAAAAAAATTGACACTAAAAATATCAATGATTGCAAATTTCCTGTGTTGCAGTGGGTACAAGTGGGAGAAGAAATCATATTAAACAAACAGAATACATTGTAATATGAATGAAATATTGATTGACGCCAACCGCAATAAGCTCCATTGTCAGTCAAGATCAAGCAGTCAACTTTTCCATCCACAGATTATAGTAAAACTTATTTTCTCTATATTTTTATAATGTAGGTAGGAATCACAGAACACCAATGCTTAAAAATCTTACTATTGCTATTTATTAGTTCACATTAGAGCACATAACTCAACATAATAAAGCTAATGATAACTGCAGTTTATAAAATATATAGGTAGGTAGTAATAAACATTGAGGAAAATAAAAGTACTGTTTACGTCCTTTTTGTAGCAATAAACAATTGAATATGTTTAATTGATCTCTTCTCCACAAGATGGCGCAAATTCTAGATTTCTGGGGCATGTCGTACAGATTATTGATTTGGCGCGAAGCTGCGAAGTGCGAGCAGCTGAAAAATTCGTAATTTATAATCACTACGAATGTCTAAGGACATATTTACAGTAATTATTTAATTCCAGGGACCTTTAAACTTTTCTAAAATAAAGCATGTCTCGTGGTGGATTACGGTCAATGACAGAATATTTGGAAATCGCCGAATATAATTATTCATGGCCTGGAGAAAATGGTACTTTTCAAGAATTCGGATCTGTTAATTACACAATGCCTTCAGGTAAGCAAATAAATACTTTATTAAAAAAACTGCAAAAAACCTAATTAAATATATAAAAAACTAATAAAAATATACATAAAATTTAATCCTATGTTTTAGGACCATGGTATTGGCCCTGGTGTCCGCTTTGGAGAGTTCCACAGCATCCTTTATTTCAGGTAGGCACATACTGCAATGGGTTAGTATCATTTGATTTTGGCCTTGTTTTGTGTAATATGTTAGGTTTCTAATCTAATAACGTTAGGCTTTTCTTTATTTTGTGGTCACTGTTTATCCTTATATATTATAGTAGGTAATCGTAAATTGAAGTAAAATAATAATTGATAGTGAAGAACACAATCTCTTGCCCAAATGTCAGTTACGCACCTACCTAACAGTTGCATTATCTTCCTGTAGGACTACTTCTAAATCTTGGTAAAGTTTTACTGCACACCAATATGCTTAAATATTAACCTTGGATGCTTGTTTGCGATGCCTTGAATACCTTGAATGCCTGAAGAACTAATGAATATAATGAAAACATTTTAGCTATCCAATGTATTGTTTGTGGCTTCATACTGCGCCCCAAGTACAAAAAAAGGCCAACTCTGGATGCATACAATTTTAATTTTCGGTAAGTAGATAATTATTAAAAAACTATTATTTTGTTTAAAAATAAAATATAATAATTAAATAACATACAACTAACATTATAAGTTACGTTAACTAACATTACAGTTCTAGAATTTATAAAAGTGTAATGTAGATTAAATCGCGTAGATACGTCATGTAGGTACCTACTAGTTGACTTGCACAACTTCGTCTGCGTTATATTTTACTCTTTTTTACAACATTTTTCATTACAGCTCTGATCCTATAAGTCGAAGCTAGAAGTATATATGTTGGTATAGATATCGCCATAAGTTTTAAGCAAGTAATTTTAATATTTAGGACCAAGTTATTTATTGATAATACCTATATTATCATTATACGTAAAAATATAGGTGGTTATTTTATAATTATAAATTTAATTACTTTATTATGAATTCATTAGGTTTCATGCTGTATTCAATATGGGCATGGCATGTAATTTGTTCACCGGATGCATTTTCCTGGAACTTTGGATTTGTGTTCCTGAATCTGGCCCAAGTCGTTTATTTGGTGTACGAGATGCGACCGGTAAAATTTGATCCGGAGCTTGAAGAAGTGTATCATACACTTTTTGAACCTTTTAGAGTGAGTTATATTTTTATAGTGAGATATAAACAAAAAAAATGTAATAGTTTTTTATTGTATATGATTATACTATTTCCCAGGCGTCCACATATTTAATCCCTCGGAAATTAGCATTTCTATTTATATATAAAAATAAGGAACTATACAAATTACTGACATAAGGGGCCGATATAATAAGTATCTTGTACAGTCGTGATACACTGATACACACGCGATATAGTAAGTATTTTGTACTTAATGTACCAACCATAATAATTTCTTTAACTGTATAGAAGTTTTATAAGGCCATAACTATAAGGTGAGACACAGGATCCGAACCTACCGATTTTTACATAGTTGAGTAATAAGGAGATTCAAAGGTAAAATTTTATTCGTTTCATTATATATGACAGGTATCGAGACTGCAGTTTAAACGGATGGTGTCACCGGACTTTGCTCACATTATGTCGCTCCACGCCGGTGAAGCTTATGCTTTGCAAAACTTAACTAAGACTGATCGTTTAGGACTTTTACTGTCTGGAAAGGTAAGTTATTATTAAAATTTACCTTATATATCTATCTGGCCTGGTAAATATGCTCCCTCTAATACGATTATGTGCAATGATGACTGGATCATTTGTCATACTTGCGAACGGGTGCTGCTAGTTATGTAAAGATAACAACCAGCTAGACACTTCCAAATTTAAGATAGTATGTATAGATGAGATAAACCAATAATATGCCGCTCATCTAATGGTAAATTCTCGCAAATAACAGAATATTATACGTAAATTGCAACGGTTAAATTCACGTAAATGTCGTAATTGTTTCAGTCACGTAAACGTTGCGGGTAAAAACTAGTAACCTATAAGTAGAAAATACAAATAGAATGGTTCGATAGATATAGATATTTGGTAGGTAAAATTTAAAACAATTGTCGATGTTCACGTGCCAAAGTTTGTAGTGTATAAACTGTAGCTATTCCAGCCGTTGGTTAACGACACAAACGTGCCTGAAGGCGTCATAAACTCCGCCGCCACATACAAATAAAAAACATCGATATCACTGTCATCAGTCGTAGTAATTTAAGGCAATTTCGTGTCATTTAGTTGAATAGCAATAACGGTACGAGACTTGTTTGAATTAATCAATAGGTATAATTTTGATATAAGTTCATAACCTTAAGCATGGCCATTATTATATATTAATATAATGAGATAGGGTGACTAAAACCATAATAATAATAACAACGCGCAACCTCTCCCACACTTGGCTAAGGCCCGTGTAGGTGAGTATTCTTCTTTATCTAGTTTAAAAAAAGGTCTTTTAAACTAGATAAAGAAGGGGAAAGAAAAGCTAAGTATTATTAATACGTAACTTTTCTTTCCCATAATATGCTTTGCACGGATGCATCATCTTTCAATGTCTTGGATAGTTCTATATAATAACACGCATGTATTATACATATAAAACTCCCCCTTGAATCACTCTATCAATTGCTGAAACTGCATTAAAATCTGTTGTGTAATCTAAAAGATATAAGCGAACGGCGGCACCTTTTTTTTATACTATGAAAAAATTATTTTTTTGTAAATCTAGTGCAGAGATACGAAACCATTTATTAATTATTTTCGAATTTTTTTTTCGAACGGTTTTCTTCGAACATATTTCTCTGTATGTACTATTTGATTATTTTTTACAAAGTTAGATCTTCAATTTGTATATTATTATTGTATTCATTTACCAGGTAAACGTTATGAGTGGTCACCAATTTCTACATCCAATTCTGCCCTGTGAGTTTTTGGACTCACCCGAGTTTGAGTCCAGTAGAGCCACAGTTGACGAAAAGTTTAAGGTGAGAATATAGGTATTACCCTAATGTTTAAATATTAATTGCCTCGCAATAGTATCTACCAAATTAAAACCTGTTGAAAATAGTAGATACTTAAGAAATTGGAGGTTCAAGATACGTAAGTTCAACTATTGTTAAAAGATTTATATATATACCTAGATATGTATGGGCTGGTGTAAATGAAATGTTTGTCTGGTACACTATCGGATTTAGATGTAGTCTTCATGATAAATGGGATAATACTGACATCGTTTAGATATTCAATGTTTGCGTTATACAATGTTTTAGTATAACGTGTAGCTCACTCACAAGAATAATGTAGGCATAGGTATTATAATTTCGTATAGACTCCAATATTACATTTACATTATGCATGCCAGCATGTTACAACATCACGGAGCTGCTTTCATATCATACGCCATCAGAAAGCTTATAACATACCTAATTTTTTGCTTTTCTGCAACGCCATTAAAATGAGATATTGTTGCTATTAAATGCCAACTCAGTTTCATCTCGGGCCTTATATCTTTTATGTCAAATGAAAGCATCTTATTTCACGCAAAAATGCTCTAGGAGGGTTTCACCTTGTTAAATAACGCAATGGGGCTAACTAACACGGCCGGGCGGTAAACTGATGAGATCATTATTCAAGGGAGAGCAGCGCTGGCAACGTTGTCCGAAAGAGCCTCAACCCTCTAACCTATATAAACAAATATTACAGGCGATGGATGGAGGCATAGAGGTCATGCTAATGCCAACTATAGGCGCCAAGTTTGATGAACGGATTGTGCTATGAATAGATTTTATACTATACTAGCTTTTTCTACTGCATACTCTTGAATTTTAAATATTTTTCCTTAGTGAATGCTTACCTAATAATTATATGTATTTATAAAATTTTAACTTTCTGTTCTTTAACCGTTTTAAGCGGTTTTGACTGTGCATTAGTAGTCAGTAATGGCAAGATTAGATTATAACAGTCTGAAACGGAAGATGGACGGTACGGTTAGTACACCGCTTTACTTCCAATTGTTATGGGTTCGATTCCTCGCACAGTGCAAACATTTCTATCCTTCAGAATGATTGTGTGTATCGATCTAGGCGCTGTCTTAATATATTATGTACATATATATTTAAAAAAATGTGTCTATCAGTTTTCTGGTATCCATAACAATCTCTGATTAGCTGGAGACCAAATGTGTGAAGTGTTCAGGGATATTATTGTTATTATACCAATTCTTAATCGTACAAATAAAAGTATGTATGGAAATTGGAAAAATTTAATAGAAATATGTATGTACCACTCGGTGTAGTATTCTTGTTTTAGATACAAAAGTAAGTTAGTATCTATAAATGGTTGTTAAGACACGAGGCAAATTTTGTACATTTTTTTCGTTACAGAATTACAATTTGTATACTTAACTGTACCGACATATAAATATGTATCTTTGCAGTATCATTATTATGTACAATTATAGTTACTACATCTATCTCTACTTAAGGTACATGCGTGAGTTTATTTTCGTGATCAGTTTGCTATGTACCTAGTGGTACGTCACTGCTCGCTTTGGCATTACCTACCTACCCCATTCCGTTGACCTATTTGTTGACTGATATGGCTGTGTAACAGCCAAAGTGGCTATAAATGCAAGAAACGGGGTTAAATATCGATGAAAGCCGAACAACGTTATACTATGTTTACAGTGATTAAATAGAGTCTGCTAGATAATGTTAACAATGTAATTATGTAGTGGAAAGATATGTGATCATCAGAAAATGTCGATATAGTACGTTATTTTTTTACCTTTTTCTTTTTCAATTCACATATATACATTTTATGTTTATATGCTATTGTTTCATGTACGGTATATTAATTTTCTAATGAGATTTTTAAAGATAGACTTCGATTCTCAAATATTTGGACTAGATATTTGAGAATAGAATTTTTATTTTCTGCTCTTCTGTAACTTAAAGTATCCTATCGGTGTCTAAAAATAATGTGTAATTGTAAGATTTATCTTTTGTATGTTTGTTATTTTAATAATAAGTGCAAATTACTTACTTATTCAATTGGGTTTACTTCAGTTAATATCAATTTTACCTTTTAAAGGTGCAAAACAATTCGGAATTCAGCTCCTAAAATTGAAGAGCTTTCGCTATAGAAGATTGATGCTTCATGCAAATTGCGCAGTCACGTGATCGATTTCCTACATACTATAAAGTACATACTTCATTTTCTTTGCTAATGGAGTGATTCTTCGTTATATTTTCATTACAGATGCAGGTAGTTTAATTAGTAGAATAAATTGGATCATTTAGTTCTTTAATTATTTGACGATTTAGATGAATAAAATTAGATATCTATGAAGTCTAAGAAAGCAATATAAATACTAGAATAAAACATACATATAGATATATAACTTTATTATAGCTAGTTGTTTATATCACAGATAAGGGAATATATATACAACTCAATTCAACTTTAAAAAGTAAGGTATTTTAATATTGACTCTTTTATATATGGTAAACTTATGTGTTTTCAGTTTTAAACCCATTTTGTAGCGTTTTAATTATACATTAGGGCTATTTATTAACGAATTTGTGTGGAACAGGTATCAATAGTAGCTGCATCATCCTGCCGCTACGTGTACTGGCAAAGGAGTTCCCTCGAGTATCTGTTCGTGAAAGAGCCTTATCTTGCTTGCGTGATCACTACACTAATAGCCCGCGACATCACCACCAAGCTGTATGCGATGAACAACAAAATAGTAACAGAGAGGGGATCCCATTTAGATATAAGATTACCAAGCATCTCCCACGCTCTAGCTCGGAGTCCTAGAAGACTACGGTCTGCTTGCAAGCCACCACCGCCCACAACCGTGCAGCCTGTGCCACCTGAGAAAAGACCCAGTGAGTACTTTATTCTTTGATCAATAATGCTAAGGAGGTAACCGGGGTATCATAGATAGGCAAACAAATAATAAACACCTAAATAGCATAGCAGAGCGATCAAAGAATAAAAAAGTTTGAGTCAGTTTAATTGTTTTTTAATAAGGTGTAAATTACATGAAAATTAATTAAAAGTATTGGTTCGAGGTAGTTAGAGAATTTTATATTAAAGTTTTTTTGTATTATTTGTTTCTTTGTATGTAGTGATCTAGTTATCAGCGGTAGACTTTCTATAAAGTCGTCGTCGTTGGTTTTGAGGCTCTCGTTCACCCCCACCTATTTATAATATACGGAAGCATAAACTCTTAGTCCTCCGGATTAGCAACATACCACGAGGACAACAAGGATGTGATGTCCATGGTGCTGTTCATGAATATAGGTGATAGTTGCCACTTACCGCCCAATAAACCGTCAACACAGTTACAAAAATAAATATCTTTACAATAATACAGATTGTTGGAGTCGTGAAGCTGATTCCCTGATTAACACAATAAAACGCAATGGCGTTACCACCCCTACATACGGGATAGGAGACGAAGAACTAATGCCCCTAGCAGCGCATGAGGCTCCAGCAGCTTCGTCGGACGACCTGTCTATAGCCGACAGCTGTCCCGATACTTCCTCCAAATACCACAGCTGTGAAGCCGTGGAGACTGATGATGAACTTAGACACTAAATTCTTAATTAGAATAATAGTTTTCAATTCTAGTCGCAGCAGAATTAGTTATATTGTTTTCTAAATATCAGTAGTTACTATACAGCGTTGTAGTATGGTACGAGTGACAGTTGATATTTTGGGATTTTTTTACGGTGTAAGAATTGCATTGAATGAGATTTGTGAAGGTAATATATATAATTGATAATTTCTCGTAAAAAAAGTTACATTGTCGTAGAGTAGAGAGTTACATTGTTGTAGTGAGTAGAGTTTGCTTACCTATCATCTGCAGCTTATTATCATGCGCAAATAATAAAAATAAAATTATATTAATTTTATTGTTTTTATGACCATGAATTGTTGTTGTTAATTGTAAAAGTTTGATGTTTGAATATAACTTTTGAAAGAAATGTTCATTCAGGTTCTTTAATAATATCATGAATACACTAGAACGAACATTCAGACTATATCGAGGTCAAATCAGTGGATTATGTTGGGCCATATTATGTGGTGTTATATTTATTTCATGAAGCTATTAACTGTTTATTCAAACTTATTCTAATCTGGGATTAGTACCCAGTTTTGATACGCACACAGTATTTGCGTATTATACTTGAAATTTATGTCAGAGAAAGAGAGACGAAGAGTAAATTTATTAAAGGACTATTCACATGCCTGCCTTCATAATCGTAATACATTTTAGAGTACCAAAGAATACCAGATTTGATACACGTAATATGTATTGGTATAAGTACGTACAATGGTTAAAATAAACTGTTATATACCATATACAAATCGTGAATGGTATAACTATCAATTATGTTTTCAACATATGTATATAAAGACTGATATATTGATGACCTGATCGTTGTACCAAGAATATGTTGATATATCGACGAACGCGATGAATATGAAAGGATTTGAATGTTTACGCTGTCAAGTATAACGTGGAAGAACATGGATAGGTATTATACATATTGAACAGAGCATATTTTAATATTAAGCACAAGGAATACATATTAACTAACTCGTAAAAACAACACGTTTAACTGAAAGAACCATACGTAAGTTTTAGATGACGATAGTCTATATTTATAAAACCAGGTTTCAATTATTTCTGAGAAAATAGTATTTGTTATATATATTTGTTAAAATAAAAATAAATTCTTAACAACATGTTATTTTCAACATACTTTTATTTGAAATGTGCGTTAACGCAAATGTATGCGATTTATTTATTGAATACATCTAGAGTACTTTATGTATATTGGTTTATCTTCTAGGATCCGTCGCTCTATAATAAAAATATATATTTATGTCAAGGTATGTAATTCACTATAAGGCTCATTGTAACTACAAAATTATTGAATATTGTATCTTATTTCTATAAACATATGGTCGAATAAACTGATTGCATGATTATGATGTAAAAAGGAATGCCCACTGCTTTTTCCAGTACATTATTAATGATAGCTTTGAGGTGGTCATGGATGTGGCACTATTGCCGATTGAGTGCTTTTTAATTTGTATTTACTTATTCTAGGGTTGCCATCTATGAAATCGGAAAATATGTAACCATGTTTTATATATAAAATAGCGTTAACAAATATACTGTACCTAGGTGTGGTGGTAAGAAGTTATCGTGGCCTTTGAAAACTAGCAACACCAGGGGTATCACTTACATGCCTCAAAGTACAAATTATAATACTAACTCAACGTATCTACGTCAGCAAAAATATCAAATAATTGTACAATAGTTATGTACGTTGTAGAGTATTAATTCCCGAAGTGTATCCATACTACAGGTTTTTATTGGTCGAGAGAGTTCATGTGATATTTGTATTTATATGATATTAGAGTAACCAAAAAACTTATGTACATCAGTTTCTATTAAAAATATTTATTGTTTTTAATAATTTGGTGACTGCCTTTGTATAAAGTTGTAGCGCTGTCCTCTAGTCTTCCAAAACTAGGGCAAATTGTAACAAACTCGAAACTTATGACCCTAAACTGGACAATGTAATCAATCAACTTCTTTCCATTTTGTTGTGTCGAGTGAAATACTACGAATACTTATAGAATCATTCCTATGCAGTATATCAAATAACACGATATTATCACTTTACTAAATATTACTTTTGAATATAGAATTACAGTTTTTAAAGCCTTCCTAAACTAGGTACAACTTTGTTATCCATGTTTTAGTAGCGATTGGTAGGCCGTTTGTTCTTTTTTTTTTAATCAGATATATTTATTTTCGGTAAAAAAACTGAGATATCTAAAACCATACCAAAGGTGGCTTTAAAAAATAAATAGTATGACATATAAAGACGTTAATAATGTCTTCTTAAAACAATTGAAATAAATCACTAAAATATTACCTGTAGGTACACTGAATAGAAGCGACTCAATGTGTGACTTTCTTCAGAGGTGACTTTCACTCGAAAACGTATTCATATATGTTTTTTTTTCAATCATTATTTGTAATAATTTTATGACTTTTGAGAACTAAGATATATTTGGAACTGTTTTGCTATTCTATTATAAAACACTCGTTACGTGATATACATATATATATAAACATAGTGATTAAAAAAGAGCGCAATTTGTAAAAAAATCATGAGTGCTCAAACCTGATTTGGTTTATAGAGTTTGTTCAGACAAGATAGAATAATTTCATGAATGTTAGTCTTGTAAGACTTATATAGCAAGTAAGATATTACGTTAAAATAGTTTATTTTATATACCTAAGTCATTGTTACATAAGAACATTGTTACTTCGATGCACTATTACATTTTATATAACCAATATGCTTTATTATTTAAAAAGTACCCTAACATTATTAAATTAGAAGCAATATTAACATTGCTTCTCTTTTTTAATTTTAAAATCATGGTACAACATATATATACATATACATAAAAATGTTCTGTGACTTCTTCGGGGTTAAGAGCTAGTTTGTTTCTATTATAAGCACTGGTAAATATTTTCATTCTAGTTTCAATATTTAAAAAAAAATGTGCTCTTAGAGCGACATTAGTAGAATATTTTGCTATTAAGTCCACCATAAAAAATATATTTAATGCCTGAAATAGATGTTTCAGGTTATTTCTTTTTATTTTATTAATTTAATTCGGATATATATCCATATTATGTTAGTAAACAACTTATAAACTATGTTAATAAATTACAATTTATATTCATTCAAGTATTTATGTCTATGTCCAGTCCAGAAGTACGGGGTTCGCGGCAGTGCAGTGATGTCAAGTGTCTCTGGAGCGAACAATCCGACATATGTCCAATATAAGGTGTGTAGGAGGCTGTTTGCGCTCCCAGATTTCTACACGTCACTGAAACAGTTCAAAGCCATCTATACGCACTGCTACAAACATCTCTGATGCGCTACAGAAATTACGATATTAACACATTGAAAATTATTGTTCGACTTTCGCGTTACTGGATAATTTGACTGATTTAAAAACTTCATTTTAAAAGATTAAATTGTACTAAGTTATAATACAATATAAATACAAAATATATATTCATAATAAATTAGGTAATCTAAATAAGTAAAATACAATAGTGTTTTTTATTAGCGTGCAACTCTGATTTATCTGATTAGTTACCTACATTAATTCCGACAATAGTTTTTACATAATGCTATGACTATAGGTTCCATACATAACTATGAGTATTGATTGAGTTGAATACAACATTATAACAGGTACGTATAGGATCTAGTAAGATTTATAATATTATGTAGGCCATGTTCTAAATTGTCACCACTACATATCTAATTGTCTACCTGCAGTGACAACGAGTCAACTTTCTAATCCTGTGCCATCTGTGGAATTAAACTCTTATGGTCTAGTCGTTTGGCGCGAGCCTTCGGTTATAGTGCCAGCAACAGTAGCAGATATCCGCTCCAGAGTGCCAAACACCAGATGTGGGTCTTACAGCCAAATGAACTAAACTCTAGGTAGAGACGAGTTGACCCGGCACTTTTTGGCCAGTGTAATGCGATGATTTGCAGTGGAGGTTGGTTCTACCTAAAGCATAAATTGGATGATTTAGTACAATACACAAAATTTACAGGAGAATTGTATTAAGTAATTATTTATAATTCATTCCACAAATAATTTTCACAAGCTATATGATTAGCTTTCTCGCACAGATATTCTTGCCCTGTTATGTTAATAAATGTTTTATATATTTATTTTATTATTTAAATAAGGTCGACGCATATTTTATGCCGAAATTATACCAAACAACCCCATAAGTATTTCTACTTCAACAGCGTATTTTCTCACGGGTACCACTTTGCCAGAACAGACAGGCCTTTTTTGTTGTTGGTTATATAATCTAATTCTGGTAATAAAGACCTCGATGGTCTAGCGGTTTAGCACATTGCTTTAGTTTCGATGATCGCGGGTTCGATTCCTCGCCTGGTGCAAACGTTTGTATTCATGAGTATGATTGTTTGTATCGGTCTGGGTGTTTTCTATGTACGAGTATATTATGTATGTATTAACAAAAACATGCTTAAGTATTTATATCACACAAGATCTGCTTACCTTGGGACTAAATGGCGTTGTGTAATCTGTACTAGATTACACAACGCCATTTCAGAATTAATTTGATATTCACTTATTAAAGTTTTATATTCTGATTTATTACGTGACAAAACAAGAGCACTAAATAAAAAGTAATTCATTTAAAAATTTGCAAAGCTACTATAGCTCACCTACATTTTAGATAGCATCGATTTAACATTTACGAACTAGCTGGTTTATAAAAGTTTGCCAATCACGATAATACTAAAGTGCTTCACTAGTTTTGGTTTAGAGTTATAACAGTAAACCAGCGCTTATTAGTAGATTAAAATATGAGCAACGTGTAATCCTCTTAAGAATGTAACTTTAATCGTGGTAGTTACTTAACTCGAGGGCCATAATTTAGAAAATACACATTTGTATATTACGTAAGAGGGTTTTTTGGCTTAGTAAGTAAATAGTATTTATCCTGAGAAGCTAATTTCGAGGGCAAAGGGTGTAATGATCTGAAATTTCGTTTTGATTCACGGTTAAAAATATTTGCGGTTTGGGTAAGGCTAAGATTTATGTAGGTAATAGAGTTAAGTACCAAATATCGCATCTGGATAATTTCATATATCAGGGTTATAGATTGTATTGTATTAGACTGTGATTTACGTCTCATAACTATGTCAGTATGTTTCTTATTGGCATCGATATTGTTGCCAAAATTATTTTGATAATGCATGTGTACCTACCAGTTAATATGAATAATTCACAGTAGGTACATATGTATACGTAAACAAAAAATTTCAACTGATTTAAAAAAGACGTATCGACTGCGTTTTTATATGTGTTATACATATATTATGAAGTAACTGAAGTGATTTACATTCGTATTGGTACTACACTGTTATGACATATAGATACTATTGAAATATATTTGTTTGTGGAAAATAATGTTAAATCATTTAAATATTATATTTCGCTTCTGTTTTATTGTGCTCTACATACCGTTTTTTAATAGGTAAATAAAAGTTTGAGGTATTTTTAAACAAATTTTGTACAAAGAAATAATAAACAAAGAATAACCTTGATGATGGTATGGAATGAAAAATATTAGTAGGTTTTGATTGCATAGTTCCCTGTAGTTAAAAAATAGCTCTACAGCGAGTTATACAGCTATTACTTTGTAATAATTTTGTTATTATTTAATCGTTCTTGCGTGACCACTATTCTGTAGGCCACCAAATGTTTATTTAAAAATATTTATGATTGCAATTTAAATACGATTAACAAACCATATTATAATTCAAAGAAATATGTCTTAGGAATCAGTATTAGATTAGTTAAGCTTTAGTTTGATCCATTTTTAGTATATAAAGAACGTTGTTATAAAAATACATAATTGAGGACTAGTATTATTGATTATGTCATAATTAAGAACCTCGGTTGTCTAGCGGTTTAACACAACGCTTTATTTCATATAGTCGCAGGTTCGATTCCTCGCAAGACATTTTCTTCGTGAGTATAATAATTTTAAAGCTAGTTTGCTAGCTATACTTTATTTTTGGGACTAGATGGCGCTATGTAAATTGTTCAGGGTTATTATTATATTATTCTTAAATGTAATTGGATAATAACGAGTGAATATTAAATAATTCAATGGAAACATTGAACATTTCCAAAACTAACACGTACCAAAACAGTTTATGATTCTGTTATCTATAAGCAGATCATGGTAACTTAGCACGTTTCGATATTAAAGTCGAAAAAGTATGTTATGACATATTCTGTATGTATGTCTTTATGTTTTATATGGAACTTACTTTTATATTTAAATGGTCAGAGACATTATCATGATTGTGGTGGACAATAGTTACATGATCACAAATCACTGTGAGTATTTGAATACGACGTGGAAAGGGCGTGCCAAACATTGTCTCTCCGATTAATTTGGTTTGTCATCGATGTTTTCGATCACCGAAAAGTTATAGATAGGATAACGCGACTTTAGAAGTCTATCTATGTTCATTATATCTCATAAATTAAATATATATCATAAATTAAAAAGTGGATTGTATATGATAAACAAAATTGAAGTTGTTTTATCAAGATACTCTTGTTATATATTTTTTTAACGTTTAAAACCACAAATTGGAACTAGATATTGTTGTTTTATTAATATATCAATTCACTTTATAACACTTCGATAATCAGTACAATGAATGTTATAAGCGTTTACAAAAAAAGATAATTAACAATAACATAAAATAATCCAGAGCATGGGTTAGGCAAATCATTTGCATTGTAAAATAAATTTAAAATATCACTTATGATTGCAAGGTATTTATTGTGTTTTGATTCGCCCGTATTTATTTATAGCAATAACCCACTTCACCTTTATCTGTTCAACCATTGCAATAAAGGTGATTTAACAAAGCGATGTGGATGATAGCATCGAATCAGTTCAGGCCGAGGTGGTCAAGGTTGGTTTGCCCTGCAGTTGAACATTACTGCGAAGCTTCCTTATCCACGATACCGTACTACATTTGAGTATTACGTGCGATTTACCATTTCAAGCCTTATCTGATGACCTGTACCTTTACTAACAAAGGAGCTTTGAATAATAGTTACTGGACTTAGATCGATACGCTCTACCCACCGAGTCTTCAAACATACCACATATTGTATACGATGCCCTAGGAAGAGGAAAGATCAGTTTACACGTCACATGACATAATTTTACCAATTCACCGTCCTCTGCCAATATATATTTTTTTTATTTGTTTATACATCAAGAATAATAATATATTATATAGTTTATCCTTATAGGTTATATAGAGAATTATCATTGAAATATTCTATGGCTTACTAATGTATAAACTTTTACATACTCTTGCTTAAGTACTAAATTTTATATATTCAATTAAAATAATAAATATAAAAAAATAGTAAATTGAATAACAATTTACTATCTTCCTTTACAAGTACCAACGCCAGACGGTTTCAAAAATTTGATTACATATTTGATCACCTTTCAACACATACTTCAGAAGTATGCCTGCCAGATATACTTTCCAAGCATTTGTACTGGATTTAGTGCAACTAGAGTAAGTATCAATACTATTTGTTGCATGTATTTGATGTTAAACTATGCCTGCTTAGGATTATAATTTTTTTTACTTAATTAGAATGGCAAACAACCGGCCCATCTGATGATAACCGTTGCCTATATACTTCTATCTACATGAATAGCACAGCGGTCATATTACTCCCGTGACATAACACTCATGCGTTGCCCTTTCAGAGGACTAAAACGACATGCGTCCGTAATTTCAATCTATTTCACCCTATAACCGAAATACACGCTATTTCGATAGTCGTGTCGTTTAGATTATACGTGTAAATCAACACAATGAAGCAAGATACATTTGCTAATATATAATTCAAGCGGTCTCCGTCTTGCTGTACCGTACAAGTAATAATTAATGTATGGCATTACTAAGTGTGCATCTAGACAAGGAAGCTGCAGGCTGTGGCGCGCGTCTGCGGCTGCAAGGTCCCTCGCTGGCGACGTCACACGTCACGCGCTGGATCTCTGCCAGCCGCTAATCGTCACGCAGTTATATCTATTGTATTCAATCGGAGGGTGCGATTTTCAACAGTTTTAAATGTATGCTTTAAAAATAGGAAATTATGGCTATACTTATATAAATGTTATAAATCGGCTTTGAAATTCGTAAATAGACCTCTTTTTCTATAACTAAATAATATGAAGCTTTGAACAAATATAACATAACCTTTGTTACAATATATATAATATATAAATGGAAGAATACTTTTCTAATTTTGACAAACAATTAAATATTCTAATGTATTATTAAATATTCGCATATTCTGCGTTTTAATGATATTTTCAGGGCTTCGTAATTAACTAGAATGCCTAAAGCTGCTGTAAACATTGAATAGAGTCATTTCATAGTAGTAGTAAAAGTATCTATAAGAGTGACCACGTGTACATTACATACGTTGGTGTATACAAACATGATAGTATTGTCCCCAGCATAATGTCTATCTACATAATAGACAATAACTATACATATGGCATACATTGGAAAAATGGAGTGGATACAAATTGGTCTGAAAAATTACTTAGTCAGTAATATACCTTTTTGCATAGAAATTTCCGTTTTGATACAAATTTGATTATACACCATGAATCTATATTTCTGACAGCTGAGCCTTATAATTTGTACAATCTGATTCTATACATTTATTGTAAAATATCTATTGTATTAATGGAAATTTTGTCGTTGTTAACGAATTATGTATGTACAATATTTTATCAATTTTCTGGAACAAAATACACATGTTATTAATATTATTATTAAATTAAACTTTGATCAATACCAACCATTAATTTATTGCCAAATTACTTGACTTCATGAGCGATAAGCGTAATATTTGACTGGTTGCAGCTATCGGACGAGTTCATGTCGTACAATAATTTTATTGATAATATCTAAGTAGGTAGTAGCGAGATGGGAGTAAGGGTAGGCGAGGGGTGCTGGAAGCGGAGTGCGGGGGTGCGCGCGTGCGTGCGGCGCCGCCGCGCCCGTCTTTTCGGAGAGCGGAGAGAAACGGGTGAGCGGACAGTCAGTAGTGTCGCGCGGCGTCGCGCTCCAACGCCGCCCAGCGCCGCTTGCGCCTCCGGCACACGCTACTATGCAACTCGCGTGCCGCGCTCACTCGTGTTGTGGTGCTTTATGATGGTACGGTATGAGAGTGCAAGATATGCGGACGTTCCGTGAGCGACGAGCAGTCGAACTCGCCACCACCACTGCTACAAGTGGGCGGAGAGACGGGACGCGTCCTCGACTACTCAGGTGAGCGGCCCTTCACATCTCACACCGCTGCACGTTGGGCAAAACCCTGCGAATTCGGGGTTGATATGGAAAGTTCACCTGGTTTTGCTATATGTTAACAGGATGTACTAAAGACATGCAAACTCATTGCTACGAAATACGTAGCAAATGCTACGGACGGTTGTTTTTTGGCTGTAACAAATGTTTCATTCGAAAAGATGTGTTTTGGTACAGAAATGATAATATTACATCAGATTTCATCCGAAATATTGTGTCATATTAACATTTTGCATTATTATTAGGACTTCACTCAAGGCAGCTAAAACAAAATGATCAACAGATGTGCCATCTTACTAAAACGTTTTATGTCTGTAGAATATACAGAACGAACTATCGATACACTTGTACAATCTGTATCCAAATGCAATAACTGAAAACCAGGTAGATAGTTCATGTCTCATTATTTTTATTTGTTAATAATGCTGGTATGCTTTATTTATGGTAAATATACTTATTGTTAATTTTGGTTTAAGGTGTAAATTTTAAGTTGACACATATATAATCTCAGGACAATTCACACAGCGCCATCTAGACCCAAGTTAAGCTAGCTAAAGCTTGTGTTATGGGTACTAGACAACTGATACAAATACATAGAAACCAATACAAACAATCATACTCATGAATACAAATGTTTGTGCCGTGCGAGGAATCGAACCCGCGACCATCGGACATAAAGCGGTGTGCTAGACCGCTAGACCACCGAGGTCGTCGCGACATATGATCACAATAATTAATTTCTTTTAATATGTTTTTTAGTATGGTTGATTTCGTAATATTATCGATCACATAAGACCTTTTTTTGTCAAGACTTTTAAAGGTGTAGGTGTGCCTATTGTTGTATATGAAATTTATCTAGAGTATTCATAGTATAATAAAGCTGTTCATTTCAAGAATGGAGTATAAAATGTTTCTATGTACAAATTAAATACTTAAAGAGTAAGAAAAAATATTTCAAAACGTACACTCTAAAACGATTTTCTATACATAGAAAGTGGAGAGTGAAATCAGCCTGTGTAGGTACGTCAATAAAATCTGAAAGCATATTCGTAAAAATGCTTTGGATCGTGACTTGTGAGTCGTCACGCAATACCGGGAATACACGTTATCTTTGAGTCAGAAAGCTTTCATTCGATCGTCATCAATCTTAAGCCTTCGAACGTCACAGGATTGATAGTACTCTACCTGTACATATTGTATAAATATGTAGGTACAGATTCATTTATATTTATAGTAGTTGTTCATGCATTGTTGAACGCTACTCTAAAAGTAATATATGTTGTTATTGTTATAAAATCTTCTCTTAAGAGACTCTAAAGAGATTGATTTGCCGTCTTCTGTATATGACTATGTATCTACTTATTTTGGGTTTATCTAAAAAGCAATTAAAAAGAAAACGTAAAAAAAATTATTGTGTGATTGAATAAGTACTCGTGGTAATGATACCTAATACTCATTAATTCTCATAATTACTATTGTTTAAATATATGGGTGGTCATTATTAAATAAGCTTAAATATGGCCTTAAATCAATTGGGTACATAGTTAGAATATATCTATATATATATACTATGTACAGGGGTTTGCGCGATAATATAATAGAGTAAAACATCTGGAAAAGTTACGATATAACTGTTAGTGAATAAAATATATAACGTGGTAAATTTTGAAAAGACAAATATATTATAACAATTTCATTTACAAATATATACGTAGAATTTCACTGAATTGTTTAATTTATTCATTTTCAATACGTTCAATGTAGGTAAAAACACAAAAATTTTGCCCCGGCAATAAAAAATAACAAAAATATAGATAAGTTAACTGTAAATATAGATAATTTAATTTAATGAACAAAATTATCTATATTTTTACTGTAATAATTTATATAATATTTATTTTAAAACTATACCAACATGTCACTACGAAGAGCACATCTATAGATATTGTTAGAGATAATATTATTAAAATTTACGCCGTGCAGGCGCCAGTGCTCTTACCGTGCTCTTATAGTGCCGTAACTGACCGTGCATTTGCTAAGTGGCTCATTAGAAATAATTATACACATTTCTTTTCATACTTTAATGCTTGCTTACACTTTTTAAATGACACTAAAGTATCTGTCGAAAAAAATAACATTATCTCATCAAATAAAATAATCAATTAATACTATCATATTATGTCCTATACCTAACCGAGTTACACATTGTACAAAGTCGATTTCTTCGTCCACCTATTTCTACCGCAAAGTAACTTGCTTTATAAGATTTGTTTTCATCGTTAGGCCTCTGAAATTACAGGTTGCGGAGGCATGATATTTTATCCGTCCGGAATGACAATGCAACGTGATATCTATGGTGATGTTTATGTAGCAAAACAGCTTACGGCTTAAGCTTATTATTTAGTGGCTAAATGGTAAGCGGTAACCGTTGGATATATAACCGTTATATATATATATATATAACTGTTGCCTATATATTTACATATGTAACGGTCATCGCTTTCCATCTAGTAGACCGTAAGCTTTTCGCCATTTTATTTTCTTTAAAAAAATGTGCCGATTCAGTAATTAGGTTTCTCGTGAATATTTACCTCCGAATAATTTGGAGCACTTCCACCAAAACTTTGCAATATGAAAATGCATACTGGATTGCCATGTTTGATTAAAGTGGAGTAGTATTTGAAGAGTAAGAAAATACGGGAGTTGGAGACAGTTAGACGGCCGCGACATTCTGTCGCCATAGTTGGGTTCAGTGCCAACCCGCACACCCCGGCATTCTACAATAAAGCCTATTTATTATATACAAAGGAATATTAAAATAATGTAGCTTACCATTATTATTTCACAAATTGTGTTTAATTTTTATTGACTTAACTTTGGTGGACTTATGTATCTCTATATATTAATAGAATATAAGTATTAATAAGTATCTACATATATTTTGAATTAATCCTACCTGGGTACTACTGCTATTCCTAGCATAAAAAGGACTAAAGGTTACTCGAGAATAAAATTTATTCATATTAATTGTATTATTACATAGTACTGCCACTAGAAATGCACATGAGTGTGATATGCAGATAACTTAAAGGTGAATGTATCATTTATGGGACACGTTGTGAGTATGGCGCTCCCATGTAATATCCCTAAGGGCTTTTAAAACTTGCATATCGCATAACGCTTTCTATTTCTACCAATTATATTATAGATAATATTAATATATAGTTCTTTCTTTATGTATATCAAGTCAATAACAATTTTTAACAACTGAACAAGATTTTTCTCTTATTTTTAAATTGTACATTGACACAAGATGACGAATAAAATAAATAAAATTGTGGTACATACACGAATTCATAAGAATTCCCGAAGAGAAGAAAATTCGTCACTGCATTGTCTCTAATAAAATATTTTAGTCTGCTATAGTTTTAAAGCCAAGCCCGTTGCCACTATAAACCATTGATGGCGCTGCACTATAGAAACATTTTACAACTTCGGAATATAATCTAACTATAATTAAAACTAATTATCTGTATGTAGTTCCTAGTACTACTCATATATTATTCAGTTGTACGAACATGAACACATGTATTGTGATTACTATAACATTATTTACCTACTTCTCTTTTAATCTTATCACTTTAAACCTTATCTCTGAAGTTTAAAATTATGACACCCTACAGATGGGCACGGGTCTGGCCGTGAGGTATTGCTTAATGCAGACCTACAATAAGACAGACAGACTGTCTTATTGCAGGTATGTATTTAGCAATATGTCCAAAGTACGGATTTGTTTACATCCAAAAAAAAACATCAGTAAGACATCTGTAAAAGTTTGTTTTATATTTTCTAATTATTTGTCATATGATAATTTAATAATATAATTAATTATTAATTTATAAATAATTTGTCATAATTATTTGGATAATACCTTGTTTCTTAGATTTCTACAATGCACTTTTTGTCTATAGTCATAAAAAGTCATAAAAAGTATTATATTAACGGTTTTGGTAAAATACCGCAGAGTAGAAGACATGCTGTACAATATCGACGTCAAAAGTATAGTTGTTGTGCAGGCCACAGCGAATGCAATTTAATGCAAATGTCGCGATAACCAAGCGAGAGTATAGTGCTATGATTTTCTATAACCGACTATACCTACCTGGTTAATAGCGGCACAACCGCTTGAATTTAGTCTAGGAAAACTACTTAGTATGCGGTCGTATAACGTCTAACCAAAACAGCATGTTCAATCGTAAACAAAATATTAAACTTATTCTAAGAATGCACCTGTGTTAGTATACCATAATTTTACAAACTATTATTACAAATAAGTAGTCCATACTAATATTATAAATTGTATCTATGTATGTAATGTAATATGTTTGTCTATCTGTTTCCAATCTATTCACGACTAAATGGTAGACCGGATCTTAACAAAAATAGTCATTAATTTATTAAACGCAAACTTAGCCGCGATAATCTAGTAATCTATATATTACTGGTAACTCAGCTATTGAAGCTGTTAAAACAACAAAAGTAGTTGATATTCTATAGGTACGTGTACTTACATGCAATATTTCGATGATTGTAAATATCGTGAATATACATTACGCTAGTATACATTTGTCTCATTCCTTTTCATCCTAAGAATGTTGTAAGAGGATAATGAGAAAAAAAAAGAAATACAGCAATGCCAGAGAATAAAACATTAAAATAATCTTCTAAGCCAAGTCGCCTAGGTAACATGGTAATAGTAGATGAAATGCGGGCCCAGTAATGAGACGACAATGACTTAAGATCATGATAGAAATAGGTACAATTGTTTAAAAAATGAGTATTATATATAGGACAATACATTCGTTCATAAATCGATATTCGTTCTAGATTTGGTCTTCAAATTTAATAAAACCCGTACAGAGTTGCTATTACTGGAAAAAATCTCATTTATGTAAATAAGTATTCAAGCTGGCATGATGAAATAGAAGTCTTCATGAGAAAGTGCCCGAAAAAACTTTGTGAGTGTAGAAAAAGTAATATTGGGAGGGCGTGCAGCGCTTAGACAATTGTTACAGCAGGGCTGTTACTTGCTTGAGACTAAACCCGACATCTGGTCGATTTTTATGCCTGCATGCAAGTCATTCCATAATTATTGGGCAATGATAATAGTATTGAATGTTTGGTAAATATGACTTTAGATAGATATGAAATTTCACAATTTTACAATAAATACTTATGTGTAAATCATTATATCTGAATTCTGATATTTGTTGTTATTTTTATAATCATTGTCCCACCAATTTTGTCTAAGATTTTTGGGGTCACCTATGATACTCGTTACCTTATTCCGATACATTTTCTTGATAATATTATAAAAAAAGCTATTTAGTGTAGAGCAAATCACTTTTTTAATTTAGTAGGAATTTATAATGTAACAAATATATGTATATAGTAGTAAGTATAGCAAATTCATGTTTACCTATAATCACCTCGCAACCTCCATTAGACTCGACGCAAATAGCTTCAGGTTTGTTACTACATGGAACATTTATTACTTAGCATAATAATCAAGATCGATCATCAGGAACCTACTATATGTTACGTTTCTTTAATTTAAGTATTTTACATACGATTATTTAGTATTTTAATTATATAAGTGCCTATGCTACTTAATAGCGTCTAAGTGTTGTCATTGATGATTATGCAGAGGTATTATTGTATTATAAATCAGTAAATCCCTGTCATTATATATATGTATATATATAATTATATCTATGTTATCATATATATTATAGTTATATTTATTATAGGCCCAAAAATAATAATAACAACAGTCATTATTCTATTCCGTATCACGCAGTTATGACGCAGACGGCGTAGAACCCGTTAAGTGATGGCCCGTGGGAATATCTGGAATACCTTTTACACTTACTTATCTTGAATGTTGATTCACAAACGTCTATATAGAATTCAGTCAGGCGGTTTCTCTTTTTATGTAAAATAAAATGTAGTTACTCGCACTCGTTCCTAGTCATACTAATACTGTACATTGTCAGGTTAACCAACACGCGTTCCTACTGAAAATGAAGTGATTTCATTACAATGATTTAACACAACGCATCTTATTATCCCCCACTGGTACCCCGCCAGCGTTTACTGTTAGCGCAGACGAGACTTCCATTGTAATCCATTTAAAAAATTTACAGATGTAAAAAATTACTTTTGACGACAATATTATATTACTATAATACTAGCCAGTAGATTATGACATACGATAATATAAATTATTTATAATATGTTTACAATTATAATGTCTAAACATTATTACGCATTTTTCTATAAAAACTGATAATTTGAATAGGGTCTACTCATATTATTTTGTTACAGATAGAAAGGACGCGTTGCTCGTACATGAGGTGTGTTCCAGGGTGTGGTGATGGAGTTGGTAATATTGAAAGCGAGAGCCCAACTAAATCGTCTTTTATCATCGTCGTCGAGTGAGCGGCGAGCAGGGCGCGCGAAGAGCGAGGCGCGCGCAGAGGGCGGCGGCGGGGGCGCGCGGGCGGCGGGGCGCGAGCGCAGCATGGCGCCCGCTGCGCCCGCGCCGGCGTCCGCTGCGCCCTGGCTCAACGCCACGCTAGCGTACAACATCTCGCGCCTCAACACCAGCTTCGATACAGATTACGAGCTACTCAATGGCAGCTCCACCGAGGAACACAACAATCACTGGTTCTGTGCCAAGTGGACCAGTGCACAGCAGGACCTTTTTCAGGTCAGTACTTATAATATCAGTGCAATGTATTTTCTAAGATATATTATATGAATTACGTAATACTTGTCTGTGATATGAAATGAATGGATACGAATAATCGTAAAGTTGTGTATATATAATAACACATTGACTTCTTAACAAAAAAAGAAGTGTGATTTTCATTTTATAACAATCTAGCAGTCCGTCCCGCCTTCTTTTTATTTTAGAATTTATTTTTATGTTGTGACTTTGTACATACTCATCTGAACCTTTCAAATGATGAAAGAGTTTTTCAATTTCCGGTTCCGGGTCGGAGATTACCCTTCACATACACAAAAAACTTCACATCCAACAAAATTGGATCTCTCTATTTATTACATCATATTACGAACTTTTCCATCTACATATATAGTAATTAAGCTGATAAATAGATAATATAATATTTTAATACTCCGAAACCAGTAGAAGTTTAAAATTAAAAAGAACACAATAACTCACATTGTATAATTTAAAGAGCGGTGTTTATTAATGTTATATAGACTTTTTTTAACAAATAATCTACAGATAGGTGAACTTAGGTATATTTGTGTTGCAGTTAGATATAGGTATACATATAGAACTCAGATAGAATAGATAATTACAAATGTTATTGTTGTATACAGGCAGCAAACCTGTGCTTCGCGATCGCATTCTTGGCGCCGAAGAGTTTCAAACAGAGTATCTTAGTGTTACGAGCGCTGGCTGCAGCGGGCGCCGTGCTGATGGGGATGTGGGCGGGCGCCGAGGTCTGCACGCCTGACGTATTCGCCTGGAGCCTTGCGCTTGTTCTCGTCAATTCTGTACATACCATATTCTTAATAATAAGGTAATGTGTGAAGAAATTATTATATTGAAAAATGTATTTATTGTTACGCAATTATATCTTTGCTACCGCAATCATTTAAGTAAATCAAAGGTATAATTATTTGAAATTTAAATTTTCGGTAATAAAGGGGAAGTTTTTACACTTATCTTGCATAGAATTGGTTTGTCTGTAATTACTGAATAAGACCTATTAAAGTTTGAAATATGATTTATTGAATTTATGGATTACGTAAAAAGTTAATGTCTACGGACATAATATACTGCGCAATTCCAACAGATTCCTTCCACCGGCCCTATCGCTGGAACTGACTGAACTGTACCTGAAGTTGTTCAAGCCTTTGAAGGTGAATAAAAAGCACTTCCAAGAGCTAACGAGAGAAGCACGCATTGTTCGACTCGACCCAGGAGAAGCTTACGCGGTAGAGGAAGTCACGCCCGCCGATGAGAGATTATCTATACTTCTAAAGGGAAAGTATGTACTTCCATATATGTATATATCTGTAATATTTAACTATTGTCTATATACTTTACTATATTTTTGAATAAAATAGTAGTTAAAAAGAAAAATGTTTAATAATATAATATTCTTCATAATCTTAGGAAGTCGATATATTATTAGTTATAGTATATATTATAGTATTTTTATATTTATATTAATTAAGATATTGACTATTATCTAGTTATAATTTAACGCATTGAATATTATTACAATTCAACTTACCTACATATATTTAAGAAGCAATAATCCTATTTTTATGTCTTATCAGAATGAGAGTCAGCTGCGACGAGACCCACTTACACTTTATACAGCCGTACCAATTTGTGGATTCACCAGAATGGGAGGCTAATCGAGAACAGTCTGACGATGTCTTCCAGGTAATGTATTACTAATGTATTACGATTTATATAAAAACCACCATATGAATTATTCATATGGTGGTTATATGAAAAATAAAAGTCACGTTGCAGAAGGTAGGTTCATCATCTGTTCAAACTGCCGGTTCTCAACCTACGCAAGCAACACTCCTCCGCTGCTGATGGCGTCAACCTGCTGTAAAAGTGTAGATATGAATTTATGTGTTTAGTGTGTAGGTGTTTTGTTCATAGTATGAATCACACTATGAACAAAACACCTAAAGCGGATAAATTCGTATCTACACTTTTACAGCAGGTCTTTAATTTTCTGTAGGTTCTGGAGTCTCCTGTTCTTGCTCACTTTTTAAATATGTAATTCCTTAGGGTATGGTTTGATAAAAAGAAAACATATATATCATATCCTACATTATGATATGATCAGTTCTTCGATCTAGCTTCGACAGACTGTTATTTTGATTGATTTCAATAGTCTTGGAAACCCACAAGGTATGTTTTTTTTATCAAACCATACCCTACTTTTCACAATTAATCCTAATGTAACGCAATAATCAGCCTTATGGAATAATAATACCGCACACATCGAAAACTTATCCAATAACTCATGGTAACTTGTTCTTCATATTTATTTGAACATTTTATCAACAGCAAGTTATCAAAATTTTGAAGTACCTAATCTTTGTATATTAGTTTTGTTATATACCATGCCCATATATATTTTCAAAAAAACATTGACACAATTGGTTTACCTAACTTGATTGATATCATATTTTGGCTATAAAATCCAAATGACAAAATTGCCAGCATGTTCTAATCAAGTCGATTGACATAAGGTTCAATCCAACAGAATAATTTGCAGATCAGGGATGGCCTTAAAGGCCCAAACGTTGTGATTATCTGTTACGCTCGACAGCAGAACCACTGACACGTCTCATTGTAATTCTGCGCACGATTACGCTAAATAATTCAGGGGCACCTCATGAATAACGCATTATCCTTATGACTGAAGATTTACAGCTAGAAATTAGTAAATGGTTGATATTAACATATCAGGACCTTATAGTTCAAAAAACTATCAAGAGTGCGTTTCTGAGAATATACTGAGGACAGTTTTGTGGTCGTAATTAATTCGTATTTACTGAATTGCTAATAATTTTGTGTTGAGTTACCTGGACATTCCAGTTATTACTAAATTACGCAATACTGAGTCTCCTTAAATATTGAAACATTTACTATTAGTATGTAATATTATGTTATCTGTGCTATTAGTGTAAATATTTTGTTATTGGTTTTTAATTGACCTATGTGTAAAACAAAATAAAAAAGTCGTTTACTTATATCTGATACTTCTCGTATATTCGTCGACAGAACTTTAAAGTTTATATACCTATTAGTGTATTTCGCTCATGATCAAACTCATGACCTTGTTTTGTATGGTACATATACAGAACTAATGTAGCGAATAGCATTGAGGTGACTGAAAACAACCCTTTAAAGTTTAAAAAAAATTTGCTATAGTTATATATGTGGAGACGAAACTGTGTTAGAAATGTACATTAATATTATTTTATTAATTTTTCGTAATAAGATTAATTTAGATTCATTTTAGGGGTCTTATTAATAATTCATAATTAGCATATAATAAATATGTAATATCTTACTCATAATTATGTATATTATTCAGAGACGTTGGACGTTAAGTGAGGTAACTATTTCATTTAGCTTAATTCTATTAAGTTTCTTACGGTACAGCTAGAGATAGTTAAGTGCAAAGTTCTCTCTATATGTTGGCAGGTGCCAGATCCCTCGTCGCTTTTTATCTATATATTAGGGAAGTGCCAAAAACAAGTTTCATTTAACTACGGAATATATAGCCGAATTTCATTTTAGTTATCTATTCAATAATATAGGTTTGTAGGTATTGCTGTGTACTTACTGTAACATAGATTGGTTACATATCATATACTTTTTTAAATATCATGTGTAATGTTATACAGGTGACAGTAGTCGCAGAGGAGGTGTGCACGTGTGTGTGCTGGCCACGCATGCGTCTTGAGCGAGTCCTGCGTCACCGGCCCGCCCTCAAGGTCGTGCTTGACTGTCTCATAGGTCAGTCCACCCGATGTGTTTATTGCTCTCTAAAGAACATTGATAGATCCGTGTTTGCCCAGTTTATAACCGCTGACCCTTTTTTTATACGACCACAAACAGCAAAGAAATTAATGGGACACCGGATGCATGATATTAGTATACTGACATGAATATTATTATGGATAACACAAAATGTACACTGATCCCAGATTAACTCGCAAGCACCGTACTTCGGATGTCAAAAATGTTATGGTACCGTACATAATTATTAACTGCCGCGTGCCCCTTGAAACTGGAACAAAGATTGCATGCAAGCTGATGAACGTCGTGACGCGCAATTCGTATGAAATTTAGATAATCTACGTGCCTAATTATAAAACTGAAATAGGTCAATTTTGAATTCACATACAATGTTTCATTTCTTGATTATAACAATACTGACATTAATTTTCTCGATGGCACTACAAAGAGAAATTTGGACCTGCGCGGACTCTTACCTCAGGGTACCGAGCACTATAGTGGATGTGTATAATTTTATTTATTTGTTTACGCTTTATTGTCTCCAAAGGATACGAAACTTACAAATTGGTAATTGTAGCATGTACTGCAGTAGCTTCATAATTATCTTATTTCATTTATGTACATATATGTACTTATAGAATACATGTCCATAGATTTTCTATTTTTTAAATTCACAATAATATGCATATTTTATATATGGAGTTTAGTATCTACCAATATTCATTCGAAAGTACCCAATAACAAGTCGCCTAGCAAATTTACTGATGGAATCGCTGGCACTTGTTCTGAAGATTACATGCCAATGACGTGGCGTTTCTGCACGAACCCTATTGTATTCGATAGTAGGTATGCCTATATTTAATCTATAATGTTGCATAATATAAAGATCGTTTTATAGGTAGCTAGGTATATTCAAATTATAAGATAAACGGTAATAATTGTATTTTGTTTTATTTCAAAAATATTTGCCAATAGGTATTTGTATTTCAACATTATCTAAATAAGAGAGAAATTGATTCGTTTATATTAAAATATTTTCTTCATTTATTTTAGACGCAATAATATAAATTAGATACATACCTTACAATCTAATCATTTGAAAATAAACGGGGTACACAAGTTTTCTAAGTTATTTATGAAACCTTTGGCCCATAAAGTATGGATTTTATAGCCTACACGTGTTTGCTAACACTCCGACATAGGTTCAAAGGGTTCATAAAATTACTAAGGTAAATCGTACATGACAGGTATGAAATAACAAACTTAGGTATTTGAGCGAAAATTGTTTGTAAATACATAAACGTGCACTTTAGTTCTTACTTTAGTCTATCAAATAACTGGATGATAGAGAAACAACATTGCAAATAATTTAAGGTTTACATAATAGATCTATTTTAACCGCACTCCAATATCAAGCCTCATCTTAAGAAGAGATTGTAAATAACTTGATTGAGGTGATTTTAAAACATAAAACTTACTTGAATGATGTACTAAAATATAAAATTTTACTGTTGTTAATTATATGCTATTATTTTCATGTCCGATCGTTACTTAATTATAAGGTACTAGCTGTGTCTTTGTCTTGGACCACGTGGAATAGTGACCTAGACCAAATAAAGAAAATTATTTAATAATCTAAGCCAAAAAACCAGACATAAAGTATCATCGTTCCAGCTACAAAAAAGACAGTAAAATTTTCCATTTGAACATCGTACTTATTTATATTTATTAAACAGCGTAAAAATAAATTTAAAGCATCATTCACGGTAAAGCTACCATAAAAATGACAATACTTACATACAACCTTTTAACCCCTTATTACCATTTTTTCGCATTAAAAAGTAGTCTATATCCTTCCTCTGGATCTAGACTATCTGTGTGCCAAATTTTATTTAAATCGGTTCTTTAGTTTTAGCGTGAAAGCGAGATAGACAGACAGACAGATATAGTGATTTTCTTTATTATATTATTGATAAGGATATGGAAATAAAGCGATGTACCTATTTATTAAGAAACATCTACAATCATGTGGTTATCTCTATGCTAATCATTTAGAATCTTCTAATTTCCAATGTTCTAGGTAAAGATATAACGCACAAGTTGTATTCTGTAAGCGAAGGGTTGAGTGCGGGAGGAGTGAATGATCGGGAAGGCGCATCGGCGCACCTCACACGCTCGGCAAGTGTGGACGCCGTACACGAAGGTGCGCGAGGTCGTCTCCGCAGTGTTGCATGGCGAGCGCGAACTACCACACCCAAAGGTATATTAAAATATGCATACCTTACTTCACTTCTGAAAGAGATTAAATATAAAATAGTATTGTAAAGTTTTTTTAGAATTTGTTTTTTTTTATTTTGGACACCAGCGTGATAGGATAAGGTGGTATGATCACTTCACCATACGGCGACCATCAGATCACATGACAAGAACAATAGGGACTTGACATGAGTACCTACCCAGCCCAGAAGACGCGACTGACCCCGCCTCACATAAATGTGTTCTTAGTAAGGACCCAAAAACGCTGCATTAATACCCCAGATGACCCTTGACAGACCGTACTGCCGAAGATTGACGGACAGACGGACCGACCCCAAATAAATGACACTAAGGCCAAGCAAAAGAAAGAATAGGATAATTGGAATGGCAAAGACAAACTAGATACCACGGTAAGCGGTAACCGTCGCCTATGTACGCTACGGATATCAAGTTATCATGTGACACCAGTAATACCCCTTATATGTTGCCTTTCCAGAGGGCCAAGATGTCATGCCTTTTAAGAGCTAGAAAACTTAACACACCAAAACATAACAGGATACAGAAAAAGATATAGAATATGGCTTAAACATAAAAGAAATCATAGAGAAAATTAATGAAAATATTAAGGAAGAATTTATAAAAAAAAGAAATATTGTAATCATACTATTATACATTTTATAAAGAAAAACGAAACAATTCTTGTATTTAAGATATTGCAGATTTTATAAAAAAAAGTGTAGAGAATGTGATTATGTATGTATAATACTTTCTGTATAACTTACGTATGAATACGAATAGGTGATATTGAGGGTTTATGTACCGCCATGTTTAATAAACCCCGTATCCTTGTCACGTAACCACTGTATAGTATTTTATAAAAAAATATATATTTTCAGGAAATTCATACTGGCAACCAATAGTAGCTCGACAATTTCTGCGGCAATCGCCATTCGGGCGTAGCGTTCCTCAGCCGCCGCGGCTGCTGACACAGGTGTCGTCGGCCAGCCTGCAGCCGCCGGCGCGCCGCCGCAGCCCTCCGCGCCGCACGGCGTCGTTCCGACGCGGTCGGGAAGTAAAGTTTGCGGAGGTGCCGTCGGCCGCGGAGCCTGCCGTGTGACGTGGGCCGCGGCTCCAGCCCGAGCTGGTGCCGCTGGTCGCGTCACGTCCTGCCACACCCACTTCGCCCACCACGAGCCCCTGACCACAGGACGAGCGAACGATCATGCCACATACGACTGACTTCTAAGTTGGAATCTAATGCTCACACACAAAATAATGCTCCTCGATGCATTTGAATCTTTAATAATCTCTGGACTTATAAAATGGGTGTGCCGATGGAAATGATTCCAATATATTGAGTTATTTAAATATTAATAAAAAGAGCTTCCTGTCACAATATGTAAATCAAAAACACTGTTCAGTTGTTGTATTTCTAACGTTCTGTGATTAACATCGTTCGCTCGAAGATCAGACATTACAGACTGAAATGGTTATTGTGATTGTTGGTAACAAATGACAATTGTGTGAATTGCTTAGTAATAAACAATTGGGTTTTGAGGAGAGAATAAGTAGTGAGTATTAATCACTTGAACTGTAATGTTTGTGTGAGGATTTATATTAGGTATAGCATAGAATGTAAATATTATAATACAATATGTTACGTTGCAATATTACGCTCAAGCACCTCGGATAACACTACAGTAGCGATACCAAAGTGCTAATTTTTATAACTTTAACATTAATGAAACCGTACTGAGAAACATTAGTTAAATTGCTGAATGTGGATTTGAATTTATGATTATTTAGCAAATGATACATTTAAATGTGGCATTCTAAAAGTATTTTAATATTACTGTAATTGTTTAATAGTATTAAGATGTGTTAAATTCGTTATAAAAGTATTTAAAGTTACCGCGAGAATTTATATACAATATTATTCAACAATGTACCTTTTTTCGTTATTCTATTGTAACAAAATGAATGGTCGCGTTATTATCTAGTATCATTCACGCTTTGAAACTGTCAGTGACATTTGTTATGCATAATAAACATGTATTATACACAATGTATGAGCACCATACCAAATTCAACTTGTAAAATCACATAACAGATCACAATACTTCATGTCTAGTTATCTTTACACTACTAAAATACGTATATATGGGGCCTAAGTTAACTAAGACTCCATTAGCATTTCTGGAATTAGGAATTCTTGTAACTTGCTTATTGTTTTGCTTGCTTACGACTTATATGAAGAAATGTTTCTGACTTTGTTAATAGGATTTCGTTATATTCATTCAATTTTAATTCTAAGACCACCGCTTTATAGAGGTTCATAATATATATACTTACACTGCAGTGGTTCGAAAAGACATAAACAAAGTGATATAAAAATGGATAATTGTTGACAACGAATGGTACGTTGTAAGGGACGGATGGCCAAATGTGAGTTGTACACTATACAAGTACGTCGTTAACTTTATTATTAATAAATAAGGTAGAATTAACGGACAAAACTGAGTGCATTAACTAAATGTCAGCAAAGCCACTAATCATAAATAAGATCGAATCATCATTGTTTTTTCAAACTAAATAATAAAATATGTATCAGAAAATCGCAGTTATAATTAATATAAGATTTTATATAAACATACAGAAAACGCACATTGATATTTCTCGTATAAAATTGACATAAATGCTTTAGTAAGTCTTTAATATGTATCATCAGATCACTGGACGAGTTTCATCCTTAGCCGTGTTAAATTAGGTGTTCTCACATCTGCATAATAATTCACGTCGTCGGTGTTTAGTTGATGTTGTTGCTTCATTACTGTACGGTGTCAGACTAGATGAGCAAGTAGTGTTCGTGTTTATTATAACTTTTGTCGAAATAAAAGTTTACCCTTCGTCAATATTCGTTACATCCATAAATTATAAATCCTTTGAAACATTAATCAACCTCACTCATTTGCTACTTACCAAACGAATCTTTTATATACTTTAAAATTATGTAAAACACTTTATAAGAATTTGTACTATCCGACAATAGATACTTAAAAGCAATAGGCATTTAGTGTACGTGTCGATCGTATGTTTTGTTTAGGTACACATACATATCGTTCTTTATCTTGTCATGGTCCCATTACTTATTTCTATAATGATATTATTCAGACGTCCGGAATAGACTGCATTTATTTGTTTCAAAATAATTCAAATAGATTTATCATACTCGTAACTATCATGACGACTATCAATGTCTTCGATGATATCTTAAGACTTCGACAAAGAGAGCAGTGTGAGTTTAAAGTATAATGTCATAAGTATGTTATATCTATGCTACCGTATATTTTTAATTTTATGATCATCTATTACCATAACTAGAGCTTATGCACACTTTTCTCTTTGTCGATACCTTGGATAAACTACAAAAATTTTGGCCTTGCTCTTATGGTGTAAAAATATAACATTGTAAAAGGCTAGTGAAATTTTGATAACTAAATAACAACTAGACTTGAAATTATAAATTGATAAGATGTAAAACATAAAAATTTGAATAAAATAATTATCGTATTACTCATATCCATTAGGCTTTTCATCTCTAAGAAAAATATTATTCTTAGCTTCATATTGATTTTCTAGGAAAGATCAAAAAGGTTAAAGTTACATGCAAACATACCTAAATAACACAATTTCTTTATTTAATTTCAAGAATATTATAATTAAAGTCTATGATACTAAACAAATTGTTCTTAACTTTGACATCTTTATTCAACGTCTTCCATTTTCATTTACCATATATCAAATACAGATTTATCAATAATTTAAAGTGTGTTGTGATTTTTCTAATTTGATTGAACTTCCATTTTAATTAATAATAAATGCAATCCTTTATTATAAACATAGTATTATAAATTTTAACTGTAATCATTGATTTTGTTATTAGATGTATTCAGTGATATCGCTATATACATATAATCACCAATAATTTGTATTGTTACAGCACATTATGGTAAATAAATATATTATATAATTTATTCCAAATAAGAAAAGTTTATAAATTTGACTTTGTCTTTTCACAATGATATTTATGCGTAGAATTCAATAAAATATCATGTAAAGGAAATAACTTACATAAAAGTCCTAGCGGTGGCTATGACTTTTATTACGCATACACACAGTGATGTGCAAATAAAAAGAAATTAAATGATAAAAAATATTTTGTACTGACAATGTATATCGGAATTAACGTCTTCCTTCAAATACGTTAATTTAGTAAAAAAAGACAGTAATTTTATTTCATTAAGGTATTATTTTTTAAAACAATTATACAATTCCAAAAAAATATGACTTAATGATTATTAAAAATAGTAAATTGGCTGATAAATGAACTACGTAATTAGTTATTGAATATAAAATTGAGCATGAGAGAAGAAATTTGGCGTGGACAAAATTACCTAATTATGGGATGCAAATAGTATGTGTATATATAATATAAATTGATTTTGAAAGTGATGAATGAGCATTAGCGTTACATATAGCATTATAAAATATCACTTTTTCTTTTATATTTATATATTATTTTTTAAGTATCTATATATTTTAAAGCCGAGCAGATTCTAGACAACCTGATTAATAAAATGCGTTAATTCCGTTATATGTTCTAAGAGACCGTAATAGGTTCACCTATGTATTAATACCCGGTGAAATACCTATTATAATTAGAAGTTTTCTAATAAGAAAATTGGTGTCCCTCAAAACGTTAAATCGTGAATTATAGTGTTAATTCTTAGAAAATACTGAACTAAATAGATTACAAGGTATTTTTATATAACACTTCATTTAAATGTTAATCTTGTAAGCATATTCTTCGAATACCTTCGTAACCATAAAAATAATACGTGAAGGCAGTTGTAATGTGATAAATATCGGCATTATTTAGTATTGTTCAAGGCGCGAGGCAATCTGCTCAAACATTGTTTTAGTTCTTTTCTAACATAGTATACCTTTTCATTAAATTCTTGTTATGTACAGTAAAATATAGAATTTTTATATTTGCGAAATTCCAATAATATTGTTTTATACATAAGTATATAAGTGGTATACGAAATTATTTGGATACACTACTACACTACCTCAAGAATGACAAAAAAAAGTGTAGACTTTATACGAGTCTGTAGAGGGGCTTGGTATCAATGAAGCTCATACATTTTGCTATTCGTAATTCGTAACATAAATATAGGGCTATACCTAACCTTGTCTGACCCGTTGCCTATATCTGTAATTAATGCAAAAACAGTGGAAATTGTACTTAGTTGCAATAATATGTAGATATATTATTGCAACTAAGTGAATTGCGAAGCTCTCTGTTTACAATTCGTCTAAAAATATCTTACAACTATCCATATCGCAGTAAAAGTAATGCTTTTACTGATATTAATAATGAATAACTATAAAAGGTATTGGTGTGTACAATATCAATATATGTCTTCTTTTTATTTTATTTCGATATTATATAAGTTTACAATCCGCGACCACATGATAGCTTAATAAATATGACACTTTTCCAATTGAAAAGATATTTTGTGTAGAAATCTTGACAGGTTTAGATGCAAGTGTAAAAACTAAAACAATGACAGCATACTCGCGTAAGAGCGCCTCTGTGATACACGTTAGCTATATAATAGGAGTCATCGCGTTTACCATTATTATTGTACCAGTAATCTGTTATTCTATTATAGGTTGCCCTCTGCATCTCATCATTACATTTATCGAATATATATTATTGTATTAATTCACTTTATTAACATGTTTATTATGTCTTTAATAAAACAATTGCTTATTGTGTGGTTTCCTTTTGTAGTGTCACTTTTACGTTAAGTACGATAATATTTATATTACCTTAGTATCCGATAGTTTTTCCAGTATATACTATATGTATAAACTACTAAATTCAATTCTAACCGATAGATATAGGAATACGCTTTTTGCAGCATATCGTACTGTTGAGTCTAGTGTATCTATATCTACACTAGTAAAGTTGCTTTATATATGTTTATTGAATTAACTAACCCTTAAACTAATTTTTTCTGTTATTACTCTATATCGGTCGAAACCAATGCAATCCAGTATGAATTGTAAAGAAAATAGAGATATAGATAGATAGATACTAAAGTTTAAAGCGTATTCGAATTATTTACTTCCTATTTAAGTGCTGGTCGAGTGTAATACAAAAATTAGAACTCACTTTCATATAGAGCATTTCTTTATAACTAACTAGAAATTGAAACAGAAATTAAAAACACCTTTTGTAGGTACTTTTAACCTGCCTGTGGTTTTAACCGATAATATTTATCATTTAAAACACATTACATAATACTGTACACAAAATAGGTTTCAATAACTACTACCTACTTGTCCCAAATAATATTTACAGCCATTTTATTTCATTTCTGGATTTCATATATGTAGTATAGCTATCTAATATTATTACTAATACAAACTGTGACCTCTGATACTTACGCGTCGAACTACTTACAATTCAACTTGATTGTATTATTTAAAGTTAAAATGTTAATCGTGCTCTTACGCTGATAATACGATAGCGTTTATTTAGTTCGACATCGGTCGTCACAATGCTAGCGGCATCTGTCCTCGATATGCTCAGTAAAAATAGTTTTACAATAATTTAATTCTGTAGACATAAATTACTCAAATAATAGTAGATATATTTGTGTTTGTGATTGTATAATTATGTCGTTTCTTACGAGAAAGTGTATAGTGACATTAAAAAATCTCCATAGATTTCAGAAATTGTGCTCGTTGAAATATAGCACCGTAAGTATACATTAAATATTTAAAAAAATAACCTAAATAAAATCTTACTTAAACTTCTTAATATTACATATATTGTAAGTCGTCGCCGCTAACAAAATAGGTAGATAATCATATAATACTGAAGTATTTTTTTATTGATGATAATGGAATGCTCCCGCCTGTTAACTATTTACGCTGGCGGGGCTCCAGTGGAGGATAATAGGATGAGTATGAAGTTAGGTTAGTTAGCACATCGTGACTACTTCACCAGCAAATAATCACGATGGCTTCCAGAGGAGATTACATGGAGGTCGACCTAACATGAAAAATTGTTAGCAATGGCGTTACAATAGCCCGTTTTACTAACTTTAGTCCGTAATACTATATTATATGTAATATTATATTATGTGTGGTAATACTAACAGTTCGTCTCCCAACATTTACCTATTTATTCCATGAAGTGGTTATCTAAGTATATTAATTCAGAAAAGTAAAAAATGATACACTTAACTTATTTACTATTTCAAACACAACTTCGACAAGTAGAATGTGTCTGCATAACGCATGTATTTTGCACGATTACGTCTATGTTCATTGACGTTTATATTGAATATTTACGTAAAAAAACACAAATATTTACTGTAGCTAGGTTATTTAAGTACTTAGATACATCATCCATCCATAGCAGCTATCTATATAAAAATATCTGTATTAACAATTAAAATTACAATTATGATAAACCGGAGATAAAAGTTACGAATATTTAACATGGTCATGAAATTAACATTAATAACGTTTAAAACAAATATACCTACACAATCCTGATAAGCAAGCAATAAGATAACGATTACGAAATAGTATGCTGATATTTCAAACATCTGCTTATCAAGACAGCAAATATAAACACGCTATATACGAAATATAATTGTATTTAATGTAATTACCATCGACTTTGTTAATTAGGAATATGTACCTAAATACTTACTTTACTTACATACTTACATGGACCGAAATATAAAAAAAAGTACAGTGGAATTAAGACAAAAATAAGAAATCACATATTTTTTACAGAAGAGTAATCTGCTATGCTGTAATACCATATTACGATACTCCAGAACAAAAGCATATGTACAGTGGCGCCAGTTTCATACAACTCAACTTGTTAACAAAATTATCGCTTTCAATTTATCTGACATTGGCGAGGGAATACGAGAAGTTGTCATAAAAGAATGGTAAGGCTTCGAGCATACACACTACATACAGTATCAATGTTTTATGTAAAGTTTGTTTTTCTAAGTAAATAAAAATATCTACCCCGATAATGAATCTTGACCAAGAAATCACTAAGCCTAACATAAATAAGAGAGTAATCAGAATAATCCCAACTAAAACCTATCAACGATTAAAACAGGTAGGTAAATACATAGGGAAGTCAAGGGTCCATACACCTCATAACACATACATTAGACAAACTAATTTAATTCGAAACAGAAAAAACGACGGAAAGAGTTCACAATGTAGGTATTTATATTGTAGTAAGAGCAATTACGTTTTCATTTTAGGTTTGTAAAAGTTGGCGATAAAGTTCAGCAATTCGACAATATTTGCGAAGTGCAGAGTGACAAGGCTGCAGTAACCATTACCAGCCGGTATGATGGTGTTGTTAAACAATTGTACCACGAGGTTGATCAAACAGCGTTGGTTGGTCGCCCGCTGGTCGACATCGAGATCGACAACGATGATAATGAAAATGAAGGTAATTTTATTATGTAATTGGAATAGTAAACACGTAATATATGTTATTTACAACAACAGCTATCGTATGACACCCGTTGTATCACTAATGCGTTGCCTACAGTCTACCTATGGAAAATTAATAATTGTTTGTGCAATTTCCAATTATTTTAAATTGATAAAATGATACATAAATAGAATGATTGAATATTCAAGGCATTATTTTATTATTAGTCTATGTAAGAACTAACACTGTTTTAACGAAAATGTCACGGAACATATAAGTATACAGAATGTAAAGCATTAATATAAGGGGACGGAACTCTTACAATTACTAATTTATTTGCAAATAACTCTAGATAGATAACACAGCGTTATTTAAGTCGTATTATTTAATAAAGTAGAAATAATTTTTAACTAATTTTTCTTTTAATATTACAGGTACGTCACTCGGATCAGGTATAGAAACAAGTTCAGAGGAGGTTCCTAAAACAGATGTAAATCAACGACCAAAAGTATTGACTACTCCAGCAGTTAGAAGAATTGCAACACAGTTCAATGTCAGTGTAAACAAAAATTAATATATTATACTCATATACTACTTTCACGGTATTAGTAGTACTAGTTAGTTAGTTATGATTAGTTAGGTAGTTATGATAAGTATGTTATAAGGTTGATCAAGTCACACAGTACATTACAATTAATAAAAAAATTAGACAAGTAAAATGACCACAACAAATTCTTGAATACTTACGAAATAATAATTATTTTACATTGATATCTAAATGAGAACAATAACGAAAAACATTTCGTAAATGTGTTTCATTTTATTCATTTCATTTCATTTTATTTCAATTAAAACCTCGATTTACAGGTAGATTTAAGTACGGTAAAATCAACAGGAAGAAATGGCAGAATTTTAAAAGAAGACCTTTTGGCACATTTAAATATAAGTTCAGATAAATCGAATGAAGTTCCAGAAATAAGTGAAATAATGGCAGTCCCTATATCAGTAACAGGTGCACAGGCTCGAACAGAAGTTTTAATAGAAGATAGAACAGTGCCGGTAACCGGATTTACGAAAGCAATGGTGAAGTCGATGACTGAAGCAATGGTAATATAAAATTTAATTCACATTACAGTTTTTTTTACGTTAGAGTTTGAGTTGTATTACCAACTAACAGTTAAGTAATTAAGCTCTATATCGTTGTGACATTTACGGATAGTCTTTAAAATCAAGCGTATTTCTTGGTCACACTTCTGTGAGATTGTAAATATACAGAAAATAAAATCTAGCAGATTTTATTTTAAGTGAACATATTTTAGTTCAATTGAGAATTTATGCCTAATGAAGAATGTTAATTAATTTTGAATATTAGCTTTCCATATTCTCTGTCAAAAATAAAAAGTATAGTGAAAGAATTACTTCAATACATCAATTCGTTTCTGATTTATAGAAGTAAACATGCGATGCGGACTCGTGTGACGGTGTGACGTCATAGTACAACACTCGCTCTGTCCGCTCGCGCTCTCAGAACCACGTCGTCTTACGTTTCATTAGAAATTATAAATATCTTCAAAAATTAACAAAAATTAACCAAATACTAGAAAATCATGTGTTGTGCCGAAATACATAAATACAACCACCAAAGTAATAGTTATTTTTATAATAATCACAAAAAAATTCAACAAATTTGATAACAGTCGTCGGGTCCTCTCTTTGGCGATGTAGCCACATTAAAAATGCTATAGTACGTTTACAGCCTCTGTTGGCGGCACAATCTTCGCAAGTTAGTTTAAAACTTCTTGGTTGTTTTCATTACATTCTAAACTGCAACGGTACCGTGTGGTACGTTCGCGCGTGATTCACGCTCTTTTTACTTGTATGTAACCTATAGCATCATCACCAAAGCTGTCTCTTGCCGACTTGATAAGTTACAAATAAAAATAAATAAAACGGCCTACGTACTTTATTAATAAGACAAATCAAAATTAAAAAAATATTTAGTATATCTGTTCAACCCACTATAAATCAATATATATATTTAGTTAAATTTACTAAGAGAAGTACCTATATTTACAGATGTACATACGTACTTATAGATATAAAAGTCTAACACATATTTGTTGTCTATAACGTAAAACTTAAAAGTTTTGGTACTTCTGCCTATTTTAGTTGCAATACTTGCAATATGACATCAGTTGGGTATTTCTTTTAACAAAACAATTTAAACCAGATAAATTATTTTCTAAATAGCAAGAAAAGTTTTTTACTTGCCTTTACATTTTTATTCCTCGCATTTCGGCGTCAACGATATCACTATTTGTTGATAAATAATGGGCAACCATTAATGCATCTATTTTAAGCATATTATCCGATTGCTATTTTTCGAATCCCTCATTCAACGTAATGGGCGGATAAAAACAAAACAAAATACTGACGACTCGCTACTAAGCGGGCGTTGTAAAATGACGTCACACGTCACGTGACTGTTAGCGGGACTCGAAATTTATCGTAAGTTTAAATTTCGAGATACACTTTTTAAAAATATACTCTTTTTTTTTAGAAAATACCACATTTTGGATTTTCCGATGAATACAAAGTATCCAAGTTGGTTCAATCGAGGGAGAGTTTAAAGTCTTTGGCACTGGAACACGGAGTGAAACTGACATATATGCCGATAATTATTAAAGCTGTATCATTGGGATTGACCTCGTATCCTATACTGAATAGTAGCTTAGATAACTCTTGTAACAATATTATATATAAAGCAAGTCATAACATAGGCGTTGCGATGGATACTCCCAATGGCCTTGTAGTTCCTGTAATAAAGGTAAAAGAAACCTAAATATTTAAATTTTATAATAATCAGACCGTCTAGTATTTGTAACACTTACATAACTTATCGGTTTTCTTATTTATATGTAACTTGAAAACTTAGATTTATTATGTAAAAGAATTATAGCGATTAACTATACTAATTTTGAAGACCTACCTGCCTATCTAGGCAGTTATCATCTGTATGTTATTTGAAGGCATCTGTATATTTTGAAGAGTTATTGTTTTTCAGAATGTACAAAATAAAAACATATTGGAAATAGCACGTGAACTCAATGTTTTACAAAACAAGGGTTCGCAAGGACAGCTGGGACTTAATGATTTGACTGGTGGTACATTTACTATTTCGAATATAGGCATTGTAAGTCAATTTTCCAATTATTAAAATACAAATCAAGTTATAGGTATATAATCAATATTAAAAACGTTGAAAATATTCTCATTTCAGGTTGGAGGAACTTACACAAAGCCCGTAATTTTTCCACCACAGGTCGCAATAGGTGCTTTAGGAAAAATACAGGTATATAATTATTTTTGTTGTTACAATTGTATTTTGTAGACACAATAAAAAATATTTTTTACTTCAAATTTTGTTTTTCAGGTACTACCGAGATTTGACGTGGAGGGAAATGTGATTAAAGCACACATATTAACAGTTAGTTGGTCTGCGGATCACAGAGTCATCGATGGGGTCACGATGGCACGATTCTCGAATCTCTTAAAAAGATATCTCGAAAACCCTTACACACTTATATTAGATCTATAGATATTTCTTGTTATTTTATGTTAAAATTTTTGTACAAATTTGTACTAAGAAAAATTAAATAATTTATATAATCTCAAGCACTCGTATATTAAAATGTATATGTAGCTTATATATTAGTGCTGACCACTCGCCCTTATTTTTTTACCATTTCTAAGCGTTTAGTATGTCGTACTATTACTAAGGATATTATTATAAATTGCACACATTTTCAAAGTACCAAGTTAATTAGTCCTTTTGTTATATAACAAGGTATAAACTTGTTGCATGTACTAGAATAGCAGTCGACTCTATGTAATTATTGTTTACAAAATCGTTCTGAATATAATGATTTATACAGGCAACATTAATTCATAATATATATTTATTGAAACACTTTTACAAAGTATAATTGTCATTTCACTTTTTACTCTGGACCATAATTATCGACGTAACACTTCAAACCGTGTAACCTTAAAATAAGCAATGGTCCATTCTGGAATACTGTGCGGAGTATATTCGCGATGAAATCTGGCAAATATTTCTGTGAATATCAAAGCATCGATGCTATTTATAGGAGTCCACTTAAGTGCCAAGAACGCCATGTCCACATCACAAAATTTCTTATCTATAAAGTAAAATAGCAAGCTATGAAATTTTCGAAATTAAATTACGATCTTTAATAAGGTAAAGTTTGGGCATGTTCTATATTGATGCCCTATAAAAGCAGCATATTTAATTTTTTAATAACCTGCCCCTGCTTTATGTAAACCGCCTGAAAATACTGTCAGACGCGGCGGGGTGCTGTTCTATATATAAATATGTATGAAGTATCTGCGACAAACATTATGCTTCAATTTTAATTTAATGTCTATATGAAACGTTACCTATAAGTGTACATACCAGCAATTCTAATAAAATAAACCTTGCGCGGAGAAGATATCTGAATATCGTCTCTATGTAATGCCAGCAGGGATCGCTGACGCTCGTTCCAGTTGCGTTCAAGCTCACGCAACAAGCTTTGTCGAGCCGCTTTTGTCAGCAAACCATTCAACTCAGCATATTGTCCTTGGCTTATCACTTGAGTGATTCGGGATATAGCCTACATGCATAAACACTTGTGTAAACAAAAATACTCTAACGTCTACTAAGCAAAAGCAATTTAATTATAATAGCACGACAAAAACGGCCACTATTTTCATGACACATTGCGTAAATTTATTTCAGTATAATGTGATAGTAAAATTACTATGAAGCTATAACGCCTCATGCATCGAAATGGTAATGTTGATATTTCTTTTTCGATTACATAATAGTAACTTTAATTATGCATATTATATCTAACGTCAAATAATTAAAAAAACTGTTCTTACCTGCTTTGTACCAAATTTAAATTCTTTTTCTATAAAAGTGGGATCCCAAATATTTCTTAACACGCTAAAATCAATTTTTAACATTAACCATGTAAATGGATTCTGGACCAATATAAGTTTAGGTACGCGTTTTTTCCGTTTCTTATTATCTCTTTTGCGAAAAAAAAAAGATTTTGGGAAACCGTTAAGGAAATCAAAAGTTCGCTTTGACCGCTTTTGTAATAATTTTGGGTCGATTAGTTGCCTTGGAGGATTGAATTGCCGAAATTGGAGTGATGGTTGAAATTTAAATCTCGATGAAAGTAAGGTGGGAGTGGGTGTGTGCAATGGAATAGGCAAAATCCATGTTGAATTATATTTACAACATGTCAGCAATGGTTCAATTATATATGCAACTGGCCAACTGCATTTTACTAATAATCTTGCTGCACCTGCCATCTGTAACATACAATATAGAAATAGTGTTTGTAACTACTTACAAAACTCTACTGAACTATACTTATTTCTCTTCTTTTTTTTACTCGAAATATAACTATTCTTATAATAATAATCTGACAATTACCGCAATCCCATTAACAAGACATATAAAATGTTTCGTTTATTGTATTTTTACAACTGCATTATTTTTAAACTTGTAAATTTTACCATTTTTACTGATTATTTTTGAGTAATTGTAATGAATTCTGAGTTGTCGTAAATGTCAAAATGATTTCTTTTTATTAAATGTTATAACAAATAGACAGTTATTTACAAATGATTAGACCTATTTTTAATACGTTCAACATATTCTAATAACTCCCTGTGTTGACATCAAAATCTACAACATTCACGTCTGCTCAATCTTTCTTGGTTTTGTCCTCAATTTGTCTTATCATTATGATTAATTTGTAGTATAAGCTAACTAAGGGCTGTGCTAAGAGCTAGGTCATTTCACTACACTAGAGAAATACCTACCTACCTCTAATCGACACGCTAATATATAATCTGCTAATTGGCTTTATTAAATATATCCAGACAGACCGAAAATAAGCATTTAAATATTCTAATGATAATATTGTCGTATATTTGTTATAGAAATAGAAATAGAAATAGAAATAATCTTTATTCAAATAAACTCATTACAAGCACTTTTGAATAGTCATATTTTGATTCTACCACTCATTCGGAATGCAGATTCATCACAAGAAGAATGAGCAAGAAACTTGTGTGTTGCTCTTTTTAATATATTTTTTTTTTATATAAATAATTACAGTATAACAAGTAAGAGGCATGCGATAATCAACATATCGCTACGCACTCATTATTAATGTAATCAGATAATATTGTCAGTGCTATGGATTCAAAGTTTTTCTATAAAAACATTATTATCGTTAACGAATTCTTCAATTTTATAGTAAGCTTTTTTGCAAAGGAACTGTTTTATTTGACATTTAAATCTTTTTTCTGGCAGATTTATAACAGACTCTGGTATTTTATTGTAAAACCTTACGCAATTGCCATAAAACGAATTACTAACTTTAGCTAAACGACATTTAGGTAAAATCAGTTTGTTATTGTTACGTAAGCTTTTATTAATGCAATCACTAACTCTTTTGAAACTGTCTATATTCCTTCTGGCATAGATGATATTTTCATAAATGTATTGAGAAGCAACGGTGAGGATATTTGATTCCTTAAAACACTCTCGCAATGACTCCCTGGAACCCATACCATAAATGGAGCGAATGGCCCTCTTTTGTAATGTAAATATTGTATTTATATCAGCTGCTTTGCCCCATAACAAAATACCATACGACATAATGCTATGGAAATAGCTAAAATAGACAAGTTTAGCCGTTGCCACGTCTGTTAATTGTCTAATTCTTCTTACCGCTTATAAACTCTCTTAATATTAATAAAATATATGATGTGTAATTTGACGTACATTGTCATCTATGAATTCAATAAATTGTTACTACTAACTATAAATACTTATTTTAATTTATAAAAATATTGAAGATACTTCATTAGAATCGAGCCGCATAGCGAGTTTCATGATGTTTATGTTAAGCTGCTTAATTCCATTTAATACTTTAAATAAACTAAACCAACATAACTGTACTTTATTTTATAATATATATATATACTACCTACGTGTTCTGCTGCAAATGAATCATTAAGTAGCCCACTTCCAGTAGCATAAACACGTATTTTTGTATGTTCAAGGTTTGCATTATACGTTTGAAATGCATGCATCTTATATGTTTTTCTTTGTATATATATATATATATATTTTATATATATATGTATTTTAACTTTCCATCGCCGTTATAATAGGTATTGTAAAGGTTTAAACAGACAGCTATTTGTATGTAGCATGCAACTGAAAATGAATAAGTTGATCTAGAGATAATGATCTATTATGGCATTGGTTTTGCGTGCATTGCGTACATGTTATTATGAATTATGATGTCACAGTATAATAATATGCTCGTTATTTAGAAATAGATGTAAGATAATTATGCACTACTAACAGTGTATCCGTTATACAAACGCGATATGGAAACATTATTCACTTAACAGGTTAGTAATTTATTATTACTAGTTTCAAATTTATACGTTATCAAGCTTCCATTGTTAAATACTATTTGTTTATCAAACGAAGTGTATTCCGTGTAATATTTTTTTTAATTTCTTTTGTATTAAAAGAAGTAGCTGATTGATTTTATTTTTTATTTTATTTAAGTAACTTTAATGTACTTCATACATAAGTTAAAAGTACATATGGCGGACTTAACACCAAATGGCATTTTCTACCAGTCAACCATGAGTTGTGCAGAGATAAGTTGTTGGCGGTGCGAATAATGTTATAATATTTTTATTAAAACATAGACAATCAGATATATATAGATATATATGTTTAGCATTATAGTAAAATGAAGAGAAATATATTTGTGTGTGCGTCAGTATGTAGGTATATATGAGTGTAGCGTGTGTGTGTGTGTGTGCATCAGGTAAGAAAGAAGTAAATATATTGAACAATGTTTTTTTTTTATTCGACTCAAATATGGTTTACGTAATGCTTAGAATTTATTAATTACTCCTAAAATTAGACCCCTTTAAATTATCATACATAGCTATCATTGTACGTCTGTAAAATGCGATTAATGGTGTGCGAATGTTATTAATTCTTTCATTAGTTCGATTAAAGAAAGTCTATATATTGTTAACTATCGTGTGACGCACCATTAATTAAAAATGGTAAAGTCAATATCATGTAACCTGAAACGGAACGTCAGAGGCCAGAGCCACAGTAATCTATGTGACATTGACAAGTGGAGGACGGATGATTGAACGTAAGCAGCGGGAGTTTTGGAGCGAAAGTGTTGATATTATTATAAAAACAAATAAGAGATAGGTAATTGTGAATATTGTAGGCATTGAGGTGTTTCTCTCCCTGACTAACCGGCATTACGCCTAAGTCGTCAGAATACTAGTGATTTTAAAAGTTCAGAAGCGGTACCAATCCCGCCTACAAATTCGACCGTAAGGTAATTCTGACTAGAAGTTGTGGTAAGTGAATTTACGTTAATAACACGCATACCATTAAACGCAGTATCTCACTTGTTTTATTGAACTTTTGGATGAATTGCTTTCTACATATTAAATAGATTTAGTATGTACGATAACTTGCGAGAGTAATGACATGACATGTAGCACGATATTGAGGTATACAATATACCTAAGAAAGAAGTATTATGAATACATTAAGTATAAAACAACATGGATATCTAATTAGTTTAAAATACAGAGTAACTATTGTTATGTTATTAATGCCTATGATAGAGTATGATAGGATATCAACAGATTAGAAACAGTTACATCAACTATGTTGACATACAGGTTGAACATGAGAACACATACCATGTTATACATATAAACAGTGTAATGGTATTGCTGAGTTTGTTGCTAATTCACAGTAAATTAGTCAAACTTACTGTTCAGTTTTGTGTGTTTGTTCTACATGAATTGAATTGAAGAATTGTTATTATTTCTTTACATAGGTACACATATATGTTTGATGATCCCATTTCAGATAAATGACAATCACAGGCATAGTCCAGGTATATGTCTTGATTGTGGTTATATTCCCAAATTGAGATACTGTCATATATATATTATATTGGTTGATACTTTGATATGTGTTTATTAATGAATTAATAAAGCATATTAATATAGATAGACACAGTATATTGTTGACATAAACTGATACAAGCTACATAACATGTTATATTTCATAATATTACATATTAAAGACATTTTAGATGCTATCTCAGGATTAGCTGTGAAGCTCTCAGTGAAAATAGTACTTAACTCTGATAGTACAATTATTATATTTATTTCTTGCTGTGTTTTGAATTTTATAAATGTATATCTATATATGTATATATATATAGCAATGGCTAACAATTGGTAGTAAACTCCAATGTTAAAAACCGAATAACTGTAAACTATTATTATTAATAGTTCCTTATTTAATTATTAATTAGTATAAAATCCAATTGAGATCTATTAGGATCCTCGAGGTTATCATAATCATATGATATTGATTATTAATGTGTTGAAAAAGCACCTAGAGATGATATCCAATTCCTCAAAGGTGTCATATTATGCTGGAATTATATATTATATGTATGCTCATATTGAATGTATTATATGTTTGAGCAATTGGTTCACTTCTTTGATGCTTCTCTTGAAATTCATTAGAATGGCCCTTAGCAGCCATTGTTGAGCAATAAAGGTACTTAAAGGTCCTGTGCAGGTACCTGTAGCTATGTACATTTGTCATTTGAGACAATGTTTAGTAAGTGATTGTTGGAATTTATAAGCACCCAATTAATATGTGACATGTTAGAAAGTGATAGATTACAGGTAAGACTATTCTTACATGGTTCAGTTTTGTAAACTATGAAGTTGTCTTTTAACCTAAAGAAAGGCTTTTGGTAAAGCCAGAAATGGATGTTGTTGGGTCTTGATTGTACAAAAGACCTGTTGACTTTAGTTTAGTTTTATAATTTATGAAGTTGTCTTTTAACCTAAAGAAAAGCTTTTGGTAAAGCCAGAAATGAATGTTGTTGGCTCTTGATTGTATTATTGATTGTACAAGAAACCTGTTGAATTTTCTAAACAATACTTGAGCAACAAGTTTGTCTTTAAATTTACTATTAGTGTTATGAATATGAATAAAAGTTTTTGGAAATAAGTTAATATTTGTGTACATACAGAATGTTTGGATATATATATTGAGTCGCAACAGTGAGAGTATTTGCCTTTTGATGAGTTATAACTCTCCATACAGTAAATTGCACAAAATGTCATGATTTTATAATTTGAATATGTACAACATAAGACAATTGTTATCACAATAATGAAAATAGACTATTGTAATATATTGCAATGTATTGCTATATTGTCCAATCTTGTGTACTGCATAAGCTAATGAACTGAAGATTTGCTGCAAGGATCTGAGCTTAAGTTATCCATTGAGTTTTATTATTTAGTGTCATTTGTAGAATGACAGTACTAAGAAACTATAAAGTGGACAGATTCATTGTTAAATCTGTATTGGAATTGAAATGTGAACCAAGGAGGAAATCATAATTGTTTAAATTCAAATTGTATTATATATTTGTGAAGTACAGATAATAAAAAAAAAATAGAATGTATAGAATGTATTATTGAATATTAATATAAATAAATGTATATCAGAAGATGATAATAACTGATTTAAAGCATTCATGAGTTAATAATGAACTCATCTTGAAGTTAGTACATGGATTGTGTCAAACAGTGTGGTCTAGAATTGTGAAATTTGGATAATAAACTTTATAATTCAGATATTATGGCAGGAAAATGGAAATAAATGAGTGCATAGCACTCTTTTGTTGTATATAGGTATGGACAGATGGGAGAGAATTAAGTGAATACATGTAAACTGTGATATGGTGAAATAGAGGAGAAAGGAAAAATTGGATACTATTTTTAAATGGTTTATGTAACTTACCTTTTATGTATTTGTATACTACAG